TAAGCACCAATAATTTGTACATTTAATATCTAAAAACCAACTATCAAAACAGTGCCCAAACAACATCCAATTACATCAACTACCAATATATATATATCTTTATTTAAATTAGCAGTGTTCAATGTTTTAAAATACTAAATAGAACCAGTTAAAAATTTGTGCTCCCCTCCTCCAAACGCATGGTTGGCTGCCCCGGAACCTTCTTAAGGTGCTCTGGCTCCCCGGGGACTCTTTTGGCCAGAGCACCTGCGGCAGACCACACCAGAGGGTAAGTACAATTACTTCAATTTAAATGCACTTTTACTTTTACTTATTTCCTTTTCTTTTACAGGTAACTTCAATCTGCACATACATTTTCAATAAACATTTCTAAAACTTTGTTTCAGTTCCTCATTTTACCTTTTAACTAGTCCTAGGCCCAAGTAATGGACTGGCTACATTACACATAGAAACAGGTAGCGACAAAACACCAACAAAAATGTTTCATAGTACAGAATAATTACTGGTGCACTAACAAAACAAAAACAAAACACGGAAACGAATGAAATTACTGTTAAAAATATTTATTATTTCAAAAGTATATTATAAAACAATACAATTATTCATCTTTAGAAATCAATCAGATAAATGACTTTGTCCCCACGACCCCCCAAGACGACAAAAAAAAAAAAAAAAAAAAGGACCTTGTATTTGTCATTCATATTATAAAAGGTGTCATACTGAAAATTACATGAACAATAAGAAGTGACGGTTAAAACGTACAGCAAAACAAAGACAAGTGGGTGTTATTTTATTAATACTAGTCATATTTTAAGTTTTTTGTTCAGTATTTTAGAAACGCATCAACACCGTTAAAGTTCACAGTAGGTAGTAACGAAATACCAGAATTATGACCGAAATATTGTAATCATTTCGTAATTTAAGGAGCTACAGTTTTGTTTTTTTATGCCATTCAAAATAAATTGTGACTCTACGCCGAGAATTCTGTTTGACGTGACTTTGTTTTTAATCAGGTGAGGCTAAAATGTGAAGTTGTGAATGGCGTCTTTGGTCAAAAAAGCGCAAAAAAAAAAATTGAAACAGAATAATTGTTTGCCAGTGCACTGCAAAAAGCTGCTTTAAACAGTAGGAATGTAATACACACACTGCAATGATTGGTCATAGAAAACACACGGGGCTCTTGTGTTTGTTTGAGGGTTCAGATTTTAGATTTAAAAGGTCTTATATTACTCAAAATTGTGTCTTCTGAGTTTTAAGTCATGTTATATTGTTGTGTCGTTATCAAAACAGACCTGGAGTTGTGTTTTGTTTCATTCACACATGTTTGAGTAACTCTTTATTATTATTCTTAGTGCTGTAGTACTCGAGAGCGTTTTTTTACGGTCATCTCAGACTCGAGCGCATTTGGACTGTCTCGTCTTGGTATTAAAATTGCTTGGACTCGATCTCGATGGCGATCGGACTCGGTCTCGTCTCGATGGCGATCGGACTCGGTCTCGTCTCGATGGCGATCGGACTCGGTCTCGTCTCGATGGCGATGGCGATCGGACTCGGTCGGTCTCGATCTCGATGGCGATCGGATCGGTCTCGTCTCGATCTCGATGGCGATCGGACTCGGTCTCGTCTCGATGGCGAAGGCGATCGGACTCGGTCTCGTCTCGATGGCTCGATCGGCTCGATCTCGGTCTCGCTCGATCTCGGACTCGGTCTCGATCGGACTCGGTCTCGATCGGATCGATCGATCGACTCGGTCGATCGTCGGACTCGGTCTCGTCTCGATGGCGATCGGACTCGGTCTCGTCTCGATGGCGATCGGACTCGGTCTCGTCTCGATGGCGATCGGACTCGGTCTCGTCTCGATGGCGATCGGCTCGGTCATCGGACTCGTCTCGTCTCGATCTCGATCGGACTCGGTCTCTGTCTCGATGGCGATCGGACTCGGTCTCTGTCTCAATCTCGAAGGCGCTCGAACTCGGACTCTATCTCGTCTTGGACTCAAGGTCTGACGCTCAATGACTGCGATTTTATTTCATTCCGGCCGCTGGTGTCGGCAATAAACCTACACCCTCAGAGGTCTTTGTCTTGTCTCGGTCTCGGGACCCTGTGGTCTTGGACTCGTTTTGGTCTCGATTAGTACAGGCTTGACTACAACACTAGTCTGTCTCGATCTCCAAAGCCCTAAACGCTCTGTTCCTCCTTGTGATGTCATGAAAGATTCATTTTCAACTCCTTTTACCTTTTGTTTAGTAGAAACTGGCAAATCCAGGTCTGAAATCCAATCCAATAGTTTCTAGTGAAAGTGTGTAGAGTTTAAAACGAAACAAAACAACTCCAGGTCTGTTTGTGATGAGGAAACTACATTATAACAGATCAGAAAACGGCGTAATATGAGCCCTTTAAATTAAAAAGTGTTTCCAAACTTCTGACTGGTAGTTTTTTTAAACATATTCATCGGGAAAACGCTAACACTTGACAGAAATACAGTAGGCCGGTTCTGGAATGTTCACATTGGAATGGCTTGAAAAACACTTCCGTATTTAAGTATGTATGTGCCCAAGGATTCATTTGGCTTCAAAAGTGCTCAAAAACACCGGTCCCCTCTCCCTCCCAGGCCGAGCCTCATTACTCAATTTCTCTTTCCTCGCTTCCTTCTCCTTGATTCGAGAGGAATCAAGGAGAAGGAAGCGAAGAAAGAGAAATGAGATGTGGCCCTGGTCTTTCCCTTTTGTTAGAGTTAGAGGCAGATTGTCTAATAATACTACAGAATTATACAAAAATACTCCTTTTGTGATTGTACCAAAGTTAGAAAAATACACAAAGTAAAGGCGACGTGAGCTCGGGCTGCACCGTGGGTTGTAAAAGTTCTCGCAATAAAGGCTGACGCAATAATAGTTTGGTTTAGACCTGGTTTAGTTTTGTCCTGCCGTGGTTTGGTCGTGGTTTGGTCGTGGTTTGGTCGTGGTTTGGTCGTGGTTTGGTCGTGGTTTGGTCGTGGTTTGGTCGTGGTTTGGTCGTGGGGGAGTCGTTTCTTCCTCGGTCCAGTCCTGGTTTAGTCCCTGTTTAATCCTCGTTTTGTTTAATTCTGGTTTAATCCTGGTCTTTGGTCCCGGATTAATCCTTTTTTTTTTTAGTTCTGATTTAGCCCTGTTTTGGTTGGTTCAGTCCCGGTTCAGTCCCGGTTCAGTCCCGGTTCAGTCCCGGTTCAGTCCCGGTTTTGTTTAGTTCTGACCGAGTTTGGTCTTGGTTTGGTCAGGGTTTGGTCCTGGTTTGGTCAATTCTTCCCTGGATCAGTCCTGGTTTAGTCCTGGTTTAATCGTCGTTTTGTTTAGTTCTGGTTTAGTCCTGGTTTTGTTTAGTTCTGACCTAGTTTAGTCCAGGTTTCATCCTCGTTTCATTCATTCTGCCCGGATTTACACTTGGTTTAGATCTGGTTTAGCCCCGTTTTTGTTTGGTTCTGACCTGGTTGAGTCCTGGTTGAGTCCTGGTTGAGTCCTGGTTGAGTCCTGGTTGAGTCCTGGTTGAGTCCTGGTTGAGTTGGTCCTTTTGAATAAATCCTTTGACGGCGTTTACAAAAATATAAAAAAAGTGTAATTTTATTCAAGATTCTCCTTATTTAAAAAAGATGCATTATGGAACTTTTCAGGTAGAGTGTCCGCCACCTTTTCGTCTCCATGGAGATCTTCGCAGTGTGCCATAAAACGCATCTATCACATGTTAAACAGAATTACAGTTATTTTTATTGCTCAAAAACAAAAAAACTTAAAAAAAAAAAAATGCAGATTCTGATTGTCAGCGTAGTCGCCCCTCCGCAGATCTGACCTGTAACTTGATCTGGGTTGGTCTCCGTGAAGCTGGAAAGGTTTAAAGCCATACTGCGAAACATTCCAGACCAAACATTTGACGGACCCTGCACCAAAAAAGTTACACAACGCAGCTTTGACAGTTTTTGGTCATAACTTTTTGCGTTTTTTTTTTTTTTTTTCTGGTCTTAAAAAGTATATTAAAATATCGTAACAAGAGTATTGCAGTACCGAGCAGCCTCATCGCGTTACGGTGCAGCCCTAGAATCAGCAGAAGAACCAGGATTGTCCGAGCAGAGTGCGTAGAGCCTGGAGGAAGGAGGTTGGAGCTCTGGAGGTGGATGGAGAGGACCCCGGTTTCCTCAACTTGAAGACCCCGGTTTCCTCAACTTGAAGACCCCGGTTTCCTCAACTTGAAGATCCCGGTTTCCTCAACTTGAAGATCCCGGTTTCCTCAACTTGAAGACCCCGGTTTCCTCAACTTGAAGACCCCGGTTTCCTCAACTTGAAGACCCCGGTTTCCTCAACTTGAAGACCCCGGTTTCCTCAACTTGAAGATTTCCTCAACTTGAAGACAACTTGAAGACCCGGTTTCCTCAACTTGAAGACCCGGTTTCCTTTGAAGATCCCGTCCTCAACTTGAAGGCCGCCCGTCTCTGCTTCTGCTCCTCGGCCTGCTGCTTCTTGGACTCCTGCTCCTGACGGATCTCCGCCTCGAACCGGTTGGACTCGTTAATGGCCTGAACCTGGTGGGGAAAAAAAAAATAAAAAATGAAAAAAATACATCTCTAAATGATTTGTTTCTTAAAGGGTTTATGTTCTAATGCCGTTTCCTCATCACAAACACACCTGGAGTTTTGTTTGGTTTCATTCGTACATGTTTAACAGGTTTAAACTCTGCATATTTACACAGAGTTTTACAAACGGGAAACACTCATGGAGGAAGTGTTCCGTGTATTTTTAAATTCCACACATTCAGTAGATTCTAAAGTTCTGGCAAAAATCTACAGCAGGTTTTAGAAACAATAACAACAGAAATTAACAAATGAAAACACTGGTTTGATCAAAACAAATTGTCTCTAAATTTTTAGTAAAACAAAAGTTATTTGGTTTGGAAATGTCTTGTTCGTTTTTTGTTTTTTTTTGTTTGTCGTTTTTGTTTTGCATCTAGTTTATCTAATGTCAAATGTCGAAATATCATGTAGATTAAATATTGTTAATTGTAGGGGTAGGATTACTCCTTTTTTGGAACATTGAATATTTTAACCATTTTGTTCTCTTTATTTTGTTTGTTTCTCTGCTAAATGTAAATGTTTTGGAGACTATGTTGTGCCTTCATACCTTTAATTAAAATTTTTAAAAAAAAAGTTCAAATAAGATTAACTCTAACGCTCAACCCTTAAACTCTGGACGCCCCAAACCCTGGACGCCCAAACCCTGGACGCCCCAAACCCTGGACGCCCCAAACCCTGGACGCCCCAAACCCTGGACGCCCAAACCCTGGACGCCCCAAACCCTGGACGCCCCAAACTCTGGACGCCCCAAACCCTGGACGCCCAAACTCTGGACGCCCAAACTCTGGACGCCCCAAAACTCTGGACGCCCCCTCTGGACCCCCAAACTCTGGACGCCCCAAACCCTGGACGCCCCAAACTCTGGACGCCCCAAACTCTGGACGCCCAAACTCTGGACCCCCAAACCCCGGACGCCCCAAACCCTTTACTCTTTAATCATTTGGATAATTTCATCCCTGGAATTGCCAATCTCTAATGAACTAAAGGCAAAAGGAGCTCCTGACTAAAAAAAAAAAATACTGCTTCATGACATCACAAGGTGAAACAGAGCATTTTGAGCTCAGGAGATGCAGACAGACTAATAATAAAGTGTTACTTAAACATGTGTGAATGAAAAACAAACACAACTCTAGCTCTGTTTTTGATGAGGAGCAACATTATAATATGACTTAAACCTCATAGGCTTACTTTTTATTTATCAGTAGTAATGACTTATTACTTGAACTTAAGTGAATTTAATTTATGTACGTGCTAATTTGGGTTTTTACTGACCCTGTTTTAGGTCTGTTTTTTTCTACTGAATCATTCTGCAATAATTCTGCAACACCACAAACCATCGCTGAATGACAAGCCACCCATTCCCCACATAATCACAGAAGGAAATATCAGACCTTTTCATAACCCCGGAACCTATTCACTTTTTGGATTATAATAACAATCTGAACTTTGGCAAATACAGTAACTCAAACGGACCATAACACTTCCTACAAACACTTATGAACTGAACTCAAACTTTGAACATTACTGACCAAAAAAGTATTACCGTCTGTGTCATTTCATTTTTGTTTTGTTTGTGTACAAGTATATCTACCTATAACCATTAATTAAATATTTATTATCTGCACCTTACTAATATATACAAATAGAACTCATATGTCACAAGTCATTTTGAACTGAATTTCTGGTTTCTGTGGTTTCATTCACACTCTGACTCCTGACGTTCCTTCTTCTGAGCCCCTTTAGGCTGCAGTCAGTTCCTTTGCCCCTCAACTTAATATTATTACTGTATACTTAAACATTTTAGTTACTCTACCAACGTCTGGCTATGGCTCTCACAGTAATCAAAGTATTTAAGGAAAAATTATAGAGTTTGTACGAGTTTCTGGGTAGATTTTTGTAGTGAGAACATGGAGCTGGAACAGGATGTTTGTTACCATGGCGATGATCTTTCTCGCCCTCATTACAGATTTAGACATCCTGCTTTATACTGACATACGTAAACATAAGTAGAGCTCCACACTGAGCAGATGATCTCCCTGAAGGACGCTCTGACCACAGACTGTTGGACTGTAACGATGCTCCTCTGGGTGTTTTATGACGACAGCCAACCACAAACACCAAACTGAAGCTGAACGTGGCGCTTACCTTGGCTTCAAAGAAGGTTTTGGCTCCCTTCACTCCCTCCGCGGACACGTCGATCTCAGACAGACGAGCCAGCATCTCCAGACCGCTGTCCTGGGCCAGCTCCCCCGCAGCCGCCTTCCTGAAGATCATCAGGAACTGTGGAGACACAAACATCCATCAACATCTCCAAAATACACCTCACCATGGTCCACAACACCTCCAACGTACATCTCACCATGGTCCAACAGCATCTCCAATATACATGTCACTGTGGTCTATAACGTCTCATCGTGGCCAACAGCATCTCCAACATACATCTCACATGGTCTGCAACATCTCACATGGTCCAACAGCATCTCACATGGTCCATCAACATCTCACATGGTCCATCAACATCTCACATGGTCCATCAACATCTCACATGGTCCATCAACATCTCACATGGTCCATCAACATCTCACATGGTCATCAACATCTCACATGGTCCATCAACATCTCACATGGTCCAGCAACATCTCACATGGTCCATCAACATCTCACATGGTCCAGCAACATCTCACATGGTCCATCAACATCTCACATGGTCCATCAACATCTCCAACATGCATATCACTATGGTCCATCAACAACTCCAGCTTACATCTCAACATGGTTCATCAACATCTCACCGTGGTCCAGCAGCATCACCAACATACATCTCACATGGTCTACAACATCTCCAACAGCATCTCCATCTTACATCTCATCATGGTTCAACAAAATCAACAGCATCTCCAACACACACCTCACTGTGGTCCAACAACATCTCCTGCATACATCTCACCATGGTCCAACAACATCTCACTGTGGTCCAACAACATCTCACTGTGGTCCAACAACATCTCCTGCATACATCTAACCATGGTCCAACAACATCTCCAGTTTACATTTCACCATGGTCCAACAACATCTCAAAATGGTCCAACAACATCTCCAACATGCATCTCACCGTGGTCCAACAGCATGTCCAGCTTACATCTCACCATGGTCCATCAACATTTCCTACATTCACTCATCATGGACCATGGGGTGAGATGTATGCTGGAGATGTTGCTGGACCATACATGATGAGATGCAAGTTGGGGACCATGATGGACCATCAACATCTCACCACCATCAACATCTCCAACATACGTCTCACCGTGGTCTACAACATCTCACCTGTGTTTTGTTTCATTCACACACGTTTAAAACCCAAACCCTGCATATTTAGGCCGAGTTCCTCTCAAAGCAAAAACTCTGTTCTACCTTGTGATGTCATGTGGTAATACAGGAAGTGCTCCACTACGTTTTTAAACTCCACACACTTTCACGAGAATCATTTGGAATTTGGATCAGCTCTGGAATTGCCAATCTCTACTAAACAAAAAATAAAAGAGCTGTTAATTAGAAAACGAGGTGGAAAGAAGCATAAACTAGGGACGGGCATTTGATGAAATTTTCTTAATCGATCGTCGGAAGAATTAATGATCGATTATCGATTAATCATTAACGTTTTTATATTAAAATGATCATCATTATTATTACTATCTGCACTACTAATCTGCATAAATAAATTAAACATTACGACATATAAACCGTAACGACTCAAGAGCCACATCAGCCCGTTTTAGATTATAATGGGTTTAATTCAGTTTTGTTCAAATCTCACAGAAACAAAACTTAACCGCATCGCTAATTTGCATAAACTAAGTGAAGATAAAACTCCAGCTCTTGTGTCGCTGATGTGGTTCAATTTCTTTTGGATTAAAAGACACGACTCAGGTGAATACAGGTCAGTGTGACCAGATTTGTGTTTGTCAAAACCAGGACAGCGTACGGGGGGAGGGGGGCGGGGCCTCGTCATCCACATTGAGCGACTCTCACCTGGAAAAACTTTTTCCCACTGGACACAGAAACATATGTGCTGCTTTATCCACTGTGCACATGGACTCACACTTGTCCCGAACACAACGGAAAGTGTGGAATTTCTTGTACAAATCATCGTTAAATACACATTTGTGCTTCGATACGTTACAGACTGTGTGTGTCTGCTCGCGCTTTCTGAGTGCAGAGAGACACATGTATGGACCTGTTTGGTCACTACACTACACACAGCAACCTACATTCGGTTTTGTCGATTAAAATGAACATAATCGATGAAATTCTTAATGATCAATTATCGATTAATCGACTAATCACGCCCATCCCTAGCATAAACATAAAAAAACTTAACTCCAGGTCTGTTTTCGGTGAGGTATTTTAGTATTTGTCTAAAAGCTCATAGACACAGAGGTTTTTCTTTAACGAGGAACACGAGGAGATTAAGTTATTTACACGTTATTAAGTTAGAGCGAGAGTGACCAACAGAAACACGACTGTGATGAAGAAAACAATGGAGTCTGCAGCGATTGGACCTGACACGATGACAAATTCTCCAAAATACCGTGATATCGTATCGTCAAAAGTCTCAATAATATCGTGGACCATCACAATTATATCGAATTATAAGTTTCTTTGCTTAAATTAAGAGTTATGGCGCAGGAACAAACAAAAACTACATAGACCATGATCCTTTGCTCCGTTTCAGACCAATCTAAATGCTAAAATAACTTAATAAGCACTTTTAAATCTTAATTATTTGGATTATGACACAAGAAAAGTCGTATATTCACAATTTTGTTCACCTCCACAAAATATCGCAATAAATATCGTACCGTGAGATGCATATTGAGAAAATATTGTATCGAGAAATCTGGATATCGTAACATTTCTATTCGATATATTGCTGATTTATATGTAGTTGACACAAAAGCCCAAGAGCAGAATTAAACTACAGGAACGATTTAAACTAAACTAAAAACAATATTGTCATGAGCTGCAGTAAAAGCAGAAGGAAACGCTTGGTACATGGTTTGCAACAGAAATGAGTCATAGAAGTTATTTATTCAAACTTTTCCAGCTCAGATCTAACCAAACAGCCTGAAAAATAACCACAAATTTGCCAGTAGTGCAAAGAAAATATACACGTGATAACAGGGACATAACGATATTTTCACGATAAACGTCTGAAGATCCGATATTTAGTGCAATATTTTGTGGAGGCTGAAAAAACTTTGAATTTTTCTCTTAAAATGCCTTGACAAGACTTAATCCAAAGAACTAAGATTTAAAAGTGTTTAAAACTCATTTCTCCATGTAGTTTACACTAAAACAGAGCAAAGGATCATGGTCTATGTAGTTCCCTTTGTGTTTATAGCTACTCCTGCACCATAACTATTAATTTAAGCAAAAAAAGACTTGAAATTTAGTGGGTGTAACGATATTTGTGATGTCACGTCGTAGTAAAATTATCACGATATCGTTGGTCTTGTGACGGTGTTAAACTGTATGTCTTTAGGCAAAAATAAGAATGTTCAGTCGGCTCCTGTGGCCCATAAGCACAGTAAACTACATGGACCATAATCCTTTGCGGTCGCGTCATCGGCCTGTGCTCCCGTTGTGGACGCACCAGCGGCTTTTAAGTCTGAGGTCTAGAAGGATTTTGGGTTTGTCGTGACACGAAATGAGGAAAAAAAGAAAAGGTGACGGACGAACAACGCAGCGTGCGGTTCAACTCGGGAAATAGAAGGACCTTTAGAAACCCACACGCCCAAAATGTTCAAGAATGTGTTCAGAAAATCAAGTCGGGACAAAAAACTATGTGAAGCTTCTACAACAGCTCAAGAAATGACGAAATACATCACAGAATATGAAGTGAGTGATTTGCATCCATTTTCCATGGTGGACGGCGTCGGGTTTAAAAGGTTAGTTCAGGAGTGTCAAACTCATTTTGGTCTGGGGGTCGTATCCAATCTACTTTGATCCCAAAGTGTCCGGATCAGAAAACTCACGTCATATAAACCCCAAAAATAACAATAAGTTCAAATATTTGTGCAGAGAAACACAAATCTATTACAGAAATCTTTTTTAATTGATGAACTCTTTCTTTTACAAAATATTATAATATTATGAACAACCTGAAACTTTAAGAAAAATGCAATTTCAACACAATGTTTTAACATGAACTTGTATGTAAATAGGAATAAGTAAATTTTTGTTGTAAAATCCTGCACTCGGCTCCACTTTTCTCATGTTGGACATTTTTCTGATGAGGGTGTCACGGTCAACAGTCAAAACGATCGTCCTTTAAGAGCGTTTGGAAAGAGACAAGTCTTCATTTGTGCTGCTCTGGTGGGAGGGGCCACGTACAGAGACGCTGGAGACGCTGCTGTGATAAACACCACAGAAAAATTACCAAGATTTAATAGAAAATATAATTCAAATATTTTAGTAGAAAATCAGCTGAGGGCCAGATTAAAGGTCTTGGAGGGCTGGATCTGGCCCCTGGGCCATATATTTGACACCCGTGGGTTAGAGGCTAAACTGGAGCTGAAATATAAAATGCCATCACATTAAGTTTTTTTTTATCGCCTATGAGGAGGACTCAAATATACATTGAGTAAAAATGTGTTTAATGCAGCTTTGCGCACATTTGTTTACGTTTACAGAAACAAAACTTAAAACCACATGGCTCATTTGCATAAACTATAAGCACTGGAAAAAAAAACAAAAAAAAACACCAAAAAAACAGTTTGCTCCTTGTGCTTGGATGCGGTTCAGCTTCTGTCAGATTTACTCCGTGAGACTCCTGACTACAGTCGGCGTATTGCTCTGACAATTCATCAAGCGGTGCGGCTTCGTAGTTTACCAAAGTCGCACTAAAACATTGATTAGTTGTTAAATGGATTTTGCACTTCAGCTTCAACAAGGTTTTTCAAGCTGTTCAAAATGTCACCGATATGAAAATAACAATAAATGTTTTACCAAATGATGGTCAAAACATTTTATAACATCATTCTTGTTATTATGTATAATATCGTAATTATAGTGAGCCTCCCCACCATATCGTGAGTAGGGGTGTGCAAAAATACTGAAATATCGATATATCGTATCGCTTAATGTGATGATACAGTATCGATATCGTGGGCTGCTGTATCGATATATCACCAAGAGTATTTTTTTGGTATATTTTACTAAATTATTTTGTTACAGCTACAGTTTTGGTGCTTGTTTAAAGCAAGGAAACTTTCTTATGCAACACATTTGACATTTGAGGATTAAAATGTTTGTGTTTCATTTGAACTTTGCAAAAGAAGAAGTGGTTTAAAAAAGACTTTTAGTATCACAGCCATGATTTAGCCTTTATTTTTATTGTACTGTGTCGAATCGATTTGAAATATATTGCATTGAATCAAAAGTGCAGTGTATCGAGATATGTATCGTATCGTGGCCTATGTATCGAGATATGTATCGTATCGTGGCCTATGTACCGAGATATATATCGTATCGTGGCCTATTTATCGAGATATGTATCTTATCGTGGCCTATGTACCGAGATATGTATCGTATCGTGGCCTATGTATCGAGATATGTATCATATCGTGGCCTATGATATTCGTATATCGTATGTCGTATCCTAATCGATATCGTGGCCTATGTATCGAGATATGGATCGTATCGGCAAATTCTTAATGATACCCAGCCCTAATCGTGAGCTTTCCCACGATATCGTAATAAATATCGTACCGTGAGGTTCAGACCATGACGATATCGTACCGTGAGACTCTGATATCGTTACACCTCTAATTGTGACGCTCATCGATATTGTTGTGAGACCTTTGACGATACGATATCGCGGTATTTTGGTTATTGTTACATCCCGAGTAACGAGTCAAGATATTTATTCAACCTTTTACAGCTTAAATCTTATGATAAAGCCAAAAAATAACCACAAAATTGCCAGTAGAGCAACGATAAATTGGTGTTTTTCAGATTTGCGAATGTGTTTATGTCCCAGATGAGGAGCAAGAGATAATTTTCCCTTTTAATAATATTTTACTTTGTCATGAAATATCCAAAGAATGTATTCACAAATCTCTAGTGTAATCTTCTCTACTGGTGAATAAACCATTAAATTGCAACAAAAACTTATATTTTAACTGTATTTATTTGAGCTGCCAATGAACTGTGAGATTTGGGCCACAGTCTGTACATGGACACATTTTCTAAATAGCAGCTACTTTTATGGTTGTATTTGTTTTTATTATATTAAACTGTAGATTTTTTATTACACTTTGGAAATGGTCTTTGTTTATAAAATGTGGATTGATAATATTCTGTCAGTGAGTGCTTCAGCCAATCACAGTGAAGCAGAGTGAACTTTTATTACTACCGCTTTAAAAGGTAGTATAAAAAGATAACAAGTGTGAAGATAAAATGCAAAATCATTAACTGGCTCCAACGGCTGTTCAAAAAAAAAAAAAAAAAAAAACGTGTTGCGTGTCGATGGGAGCAGTTTTAAGGGCCGTTCACACCAAAGCGTCAAAAAACGCCTTGACGCCTCTATTTGGACGCTTTTGCATTTGAGTTTAGACGCCCCCGACGCGCGTCTTTGACGCCGTGGACAAACGGGACAAAAATACTTGACGCGCGTCCATTGCCCTGGAAACAAGAGCCCGCAAAAAATGCAGGACGCTCTAGTCGCGCGTCCACATAGACTTTACATTGAAACTGGACGCTTTGACGCCTTGGTGTGAACGGCCCTTTAGACTTCCTTTCCTCCTCAGAGCTCTGAAGCCCATCCCATGGAGCTCACCTTAGCAGCTTCCATAACCTTTCCATTACACACCTCAGCATGGTCCAAAACATCTCCTGAACACACCTCAGCATGGTCCAAAACATCTCCTGTACACACCTCAGCATGGTCCATAAACCATCTCCTGTGCACACCTCAGCTTCTCACCGCATCCTCCCGCTCTCTCGGGGACGCCCGCTCTCTCGGGGACGCCCGCTCTCTCGGACGCCGCTCTCGGGGACCCCTCTCTCGGGGACGCCCGCTCTCTCTCGGGGACGCCCGCTCTCGGGGACTCCGCTCTCGGGGACTCCCGCTCTCTCGGGGACCCCGCTCTCTCGGGGACGCCCGCTCTCTCGGGGACGCCCGCTCTCGGGGACCCCCGCTCTCTCGGGGACCCCCGCTCTCGGGGACTCCCGGGACTCCCCTCCCCGCTCTCGGGGACCCCCGCTCTCGGGGACCCCCGCGCTGGTCTCCTGGTGTCACTCACCTCTTTGAAGTTCAGTTTGTTGTCCAGGTCTTCGTCCACTTCTTTCATCATGTTCTTGAGGCCCAGGTGAGTCTGAGGAGCCCCGAGCTTCTCCATCATCAGCTTCAGCTCCATCATGTCGATGTAGTCGTCTTTGCCTGCGTCAAACCTGGAGGCACAAACACACGACACTTACATCACATGCTTTTACACGTTCTACGGTTTGTAACTTTTCCAGTGGAGGGTCCGTCACCTGCTCGTCTCTATGGAGATGGTTTTGCTTCATCTGGAATGTTCCACAATATGGCATTTCAGGTATCCACCATGCATTTATTCAACTACCGTTTTCATCGTTAAAATAAGAAAAAAACAGTCATTCCGTGGCTCGCCTCTCCACCGACCCGACCTGTAATTTGAGCTGATGGCACCGCCAGTTTGTCTCCTTAAAGTTACACAAGTTAAATGCCATACTGTGGAACATTCCAGGCAATCAAGATCTCCATGGAGACTGTATGGACAACTGTACAACAACTCACCCTTATGTAACAGATAATACTCCCTACAACTGTACAATAAATAATACTCCCTACAACTGTACAATACTCCCTACAACTGTACAACAACTCACCCTTATGTAACAGATAATACTCCCTACAACTGTACAACAAATAATACTCCCTACAACTGTGCAATACTCCCTACAACTGTACAACAACTCACCCTTATGTAACAGATAATACTCCCTACAACTGTACAACAAATAATACTCCCTACAACTGTGCAATACTCCCTACAACTGTGCAATACTCCCTACAACTGTGCAATACTCCCTACAACTGTGCAACAACTCACCCTTATGTAACAGATAATACTCCCTACAACTGTGCAATACTCCTACAACTGTGCAATACTCCCTACAACTGTACAACAACTCACCTTAAGTAACAGATAATACTCCCTACAACTGTACAAGAATTCATTCTTATGTAACAGATAATACTCCCTACAACTGTGCAATACTCCCTACAACTGTGCAATACTCCCTACAACTGTACAACAACTCACCCTTAAGTAACAGATAATACTCCCTACAACTGTACAACTCATGCTTATGTAACAGATAATACTCCCTACAACTGTGCAATACTCCCTACAACTGTGCAATACTCCCTACAACTGTACAACAACTCACCCTTAAGTAACAGATAATACTCCCTACAGCTGTACAAGAACTCATTCTTATGTAACAGATAATACTCCCTACAAGTGTACAACAGATAATACTCCCTACAATATAATACTCCCTATATTTATTTTAAATCTGAAAATGTTGTGTAAATTACCAATAACAAAGTGTTGTTGTTTTTTTGTGAGAGAGAAAAATACTGAAGTAATGCACTGTGCAACTAAAAAATAATCGTTTGAATAATCGCAATTTCGATATTGATCAAAAATAATCGTGATAATGATTTTTTTTTCCATAATGGTAAAATAGAATAATAATGCTGATACCTTGCAGTAAAACTTTTTTTTTTTTTTTTATCCATAACCCAAATGTGAGGCTCATTCTCTTTTCTGACGGAACAAAAACACTAAATTATAACATAAACAACTTGTCCGTCATGTCCAGTGTTTTTATAATTAAAACTAAATCAGCTTTAGAATCGTTATCAGTAAAACTATATTTGATTTGAACATGTTTACCTCTTATCTGGACGCAGAAAGGTCACGTTTCTGAAATTTTAAACCTAAATCTTACAGTTCCTTTAAAATTTCTTCATCATTGATCCGTTTAATTCATCTTCTCATTTTTATTTTGAATTGTTTTTTGTTCTAAATCGGGCTCTTGCAGCTCCGGCCTCTGCAGTCTGAGCGTTTACATCAGCGCGTTGTGATTGGCCGCTCGGCTCGAACAGGAAGTTGGCGCGGCGACGCAGATTAGATTAGAGGTGCTGCTGCGGTGGGCGCGACTCGAGCTTTGTTCCGGTCTTGAGTAAAAAGGAACATTTCTCGTCATGAGCCTAAAGTCAGAAGGGTCAAAGGGAGAAGAGAGGAAGAAGAGGAGGAGGAAGAGGAAGAGGAGGAGGAGGAGGGACAGACGTACAGGCCCCTGCAGACTTCAACATTCTTTCTCTGCTCCTCTCCACAAGGGAATTCTCGACGAGTTCAGTCTTGTGGAAATGCCGAGTGTGAGGGTTTGGTCTGGTCTGGTTTGGTTCAGTTTGGTTCATCCTTTTCAGGGTCACGGTTCGTTCACGTTATTCAGAATTTCATCAATAAAAATCAGGAAAATGTGAAGAAGATTCTGAATATAACGGTTTGAAAAAGGCACAGATGGAACAGTTTGAACACAAGAAATCTCACAAGAAACACTGGGGGTTTTTTGTGAAGGCCAGGACTAAACCAGGACTAAACCAGGACTAAACCAAGGACTAAACCAGGTCTAAACCAGGTCTAAACCAGGTCTAAACCAGGTCTAAGCAAGGTCTAAACCAGGACTAAACCAGGACCAAACCAGGACTAAACCAGGTCTAAACCAGGTCTAAACCAGGTCTAAGCAAGGTCTAAGCAAGGTCTAAGCAAGGTCTAAACCAGGTCTAAGCTAAACCAGGGCCAAACCAGGTCCAAACCAAGGACTAAACTAGGGCCAAACCAAGGCCAGGACAGGACTAAGACAGGACTAAGACAGGACTAAGAAAGGACAAAGACAGGACCAAGACAGGACCAAGACAGGACCAAGACAGGACCAAGACAGGACCAAGACAGGGCCAAACCAAGGCCAAGCCAGGACTAAGCCAGGACAAAGACAGGACTAAACTAGGGCCAAACCAGGACTAAAACCAAGGACTAAACTAGGTCTAAGCCAGGACCAAGCCAGGACCAAGCCAGGTCTAAACAAAGACTAAACCAGGGTTAAACCAGGGCCAAACTAGGCCTGAGCCAAGGCTAAACTAAAGACTCTATAAGGACTAAACCAGGGCTAAACAAGGGCTAAACCAAGATCAAACCTGCACTAAAACCAGGAACCAGGAAACCAGGGCTAACCAAAGAAAACCAGGACTAAGAAAAGACTAAAACAAGACTAAAACAGGGCTAAACCAGGATTATATCAGAACTAAAACAGGTCTAAGAAAGGGCTATTGCAGGACTAAACCAGGACTAAAATACGACTAAACCAGGTCTAAACCCAGGACCAAACCCAAGACCAAACCCAGAGTAAACCATAATTAAACCAAGTCTCACCAAAGACTAAACCAGAACTAAACCAGGTCTAACCAAAGACTAAACCAAAGATTAAACCAAGATTAAACCTGCACTAAACTAGGGCAGAACTAGGACTAATCTAAGACTAGACAAGATTACACCAGGATTAAACATAGTAAATTGGGTTTAACCTAAGATTAAAATGGGTTTAACCAGATCTAAACCAGGACTAAAGGTGCATTCACATTTATCCTGTCTTAATCCCACTTCATTAGACCTGGTTTGGTTCTGTTCTAGTTCTGCTTAAATTTAGGTGTGGTCCATCTTTAATTACAGGTCGTTCCAGTTCAGTCCCAGTTGTTTGTTTGCTAATGTTAATGAACCAGAAACCAGAACTAAACCAGGACTAAACCAGGACTAAACTGTAAATAAACCAGGATTTAACCAGGATTAAATGAGGACTAAACCAGGATTAAATGAGGACTAAACCAGGATTAAATCAGGACTAAAACAAGACTAAATCAGGGCTAAACCAGATTTAGACAAAGACTAAGCCAAGACTAAGCCAAGACTAAGCCAAGACTAAGCCAAGACTAAGCCAAGACTAAGCCAAGACTAAGCCAAGACAAGACAGGTCTAAGACAGGTCTAAGACAGGTCTAAGACAGGTCTAAGACAGGTCTAAGACAGGTCTAAGACAGGTCTAAACAAGACTAAACCAAACTAAACCAACTAAACCAAAACTAAACCAAAACTAAACCAAAACTAAGACAAGACTAAGCCAAGACTAAGCCAAGACTAAGCCAAGACTAAGCCAGGACTAAGACAGGACTAAGCCAGGACTAAGACAGGACTAAGACAGGACTAAGACAAGACTAAGACTAAGATAAGACTAAACTAAGACTAAGCCAATACTAAGGCAGAACTAAGATAGGACTAGGACAGGAGTAGGACAGGACTAAACCAGAACTAAACCAAGACTAATCTAGGACTAAGATCAAGTCAGAGCTCGTCAAACCCATGACTAAATAAGGGCATGAACAGGCCTTAACCAAGTCTGCATTAATTGACAAAAGGAGGAGCTGAACCAGAACTAAACCAGGTCTAAACTTAGGTCAGGACTAGATCAGGACTCAACCTGGACCCAGGACTTGCCCAGGAGATGACCCATAAATCAACAAATCCACACCAGGTCATAAAAAGTCTATAAAACTAGAACCAACTCAGATCTGGGTGGGTGCCAGTGCGTTATCTCTACGGCCTTTACGCACGGTTTTGCCCACACACGTCGTTACGCACGGGCACGTCACGGCTCGGCACGGCTCGGCACACTCACGTTTTGAACATCTTCTCCATATCTTTGATCTGTTTTCTGGAGAACTCCTTGAACTCGGTGTAGGGGTTGAACACTTTGCTCATGTGCACCTCCCCGCGGCCCTCGTTCAGCTCCCCGCGCCGCTGCAGCTTCGCGCCGAGCTCCGAGTCCGCGCTCTCGGTGCTGGGCTTGTCCTCCGGCGCCTGGTCCCCGCCGCCGGACGACGCCAGGTCCACGGCCACCGGCTCCGCGGCACCGTCCTCGATGAGCAGGCGCCGGTTGAGTTTGGAGGAGAGCTCGTCCGTGGCCATGGTTCGGTTCGGTGCGTCACGGCGCGTCACGGCAGAGGTGTGCGGAGATGGAGATGGGGATGGAGCAGGACGCACGGGACTGGCGCACGGGTTCAGTGAGTGAACAGTGAGCGTGCTCCTCTTCCTCCTTCCTCTTCCTCTTCTGAAGGGCTGTGCCGCGGAGACTTCTTTGGGGGTTTTATAGAGCGCGTCCGTCGCGTGAAAACATCGCCACCTGCTGGATACCTGCGGAATAAAGACGGACAGAGGCGGGGCCGAGGTTTTGTTTGGCGCGTCTCGAGTCGAGTCAAAAAGACAGGAAAGTTCAAGTCGAGTCTCGAGTCATTGGCCAATCCAGTGCAAGTCCAACTCGTCTGCTTGGAGCTTCAAGTCATTTCAAGTCTTTAAACCAGGCATGTCCAAACTATGGCCCGTGAGCCAAATGCGGCCCTCAGACAAATTTTTCTTGGCCCTCAGACGTCCTTGTGAATTGGCCCAAATTACCTTGCATCAATTAAAAATGAACTTTTTACTGCAAGGTTTTGAAAATCTACCTTAAAAGAGCCAGTATTTGATATTTAGTGTGTGGTTTTGAGGATCTCAGCATGAATAAAAGAGTGACGACTCATTCTAACGCGGTAAACATGCACATATTTCAATTATTCACTGTACTGAGCCCCAGTCTACGGCCCTCGATCGGCCTCTGCTTCATCTTTGTGTAGATATGTGACCCTTGATGAAAAAAGTTTGGACACCCCTGCTTTAACCCAAAAAAGTATCAAATATGGCTTAGATTTTTGCAGTTTATTTGACTTTTAAACTAAACTATACTTAAAAACTCGTGGTATATTTATATATAAGTATTTATATGAGCAAATTTTTCTTTTTTAAATGTTTTGACAAAATCTTAGTGTGAAACATTACGGTCAGAATAGAAAGAATTCAGATTAATGAGTTATTTTGTCGTGTAGTCTGCACTGAAGTTGAAGGATCATCTAGTGTTGCAGGACTCGAGACTAGTCTTGGTCTCTCGTCTTGGTCTCGTCTTGGTCTCGTCTTGAACTCAACCACGCTTGGGCTCGGTCTTGTCTCGGTCTTTAAGGCGCTTGGACTCGGTTTTGTATCAGTCTCTGCCTTTAAAAGTCTTGGTCTGATACTCGACAAGTGATAAAATGGAGATAGATTTATAAAAACATTAATATATTTGTGCATAAAATAACTGTAAAATGCAAATAAATGTAGAAAATGACAAAGGTGGTCTTGATTCGGTCTCAGTGGCCGTGGTCTTGGTCTTGTTTGAAATCTTGGCATGTTAAATATGTCTCGGTCTTGTTCGGTCTCATGAAAGAGGTGGGACCAAAAGTCATTGTTTTGCAAGTCTGTTTTGTCAAACAGTCAAACTTTGAGTCAAGTCCAAGTCAAGACACAGTCCAAGTCCAAGTCTCTGGTCTCTGTGGACACAGTTCAAATCACAGATCATCACATGATCGATCTGCTTTGTTGTACATTTTAAAGTACATTTCAAAGTACTTAAACCAGAACAGAAGACCAAAGCTTAGAAGTGTTTTTGCCATTTGTATGACTTAAACACAGTAAATCTGGTACTCCTAACAAAGTCATGGTATATTTATGTTAATGAAGTATTTTTATATTTAAGAGTTGAGTCATGTAGTTGCACCTGAAATGGAAGGATCATGTAAGTGTCGTCAGTCCTCAGACTGGTCTTAGTTTCGAAAACACGGCTTCGGTCTTGAAGGTCTTAGACTCGTCTTGTCTTGGTCTTGAGGTTTTGAACACTTGACGAGTGATAAAAATGGAGATCGATTTATAAAAACACTGATATAAAGTACAAAAAAAAACCCCTGTAAAATACAAATAAATGTAGAAAATGACAAGATGGTCTCGATGGGCCATGGTTTCTCAGTTAAAACATTGTCTCAGTCTCTGCCTTTGTAAGATCATTGACTACAAACTAAGATCAACCTCTCTCTTTTGTGTAGTTCCCTCTGTTTTACTGTATTGTACTGTATATTATTGTATGTTACTGTAGTACAGTTGAGTATCGCAGTACTTCAGTTTCATCCAAAGTACCAAACAGAAGTGGGAGCGACATGTTCCAGTTTGTTCTGGAAATTTAAGCACCACATTTATCAACTGTAAAGAGAAAAGTATTTTATAAAAACATATATATATATATATATATATATTATATATAGATATAATATATATATTATATATTTTTAGAGAAGCATCAAGTTTTCACAGGCCTCAAGTCTGAGTCAAGTCCCAAGTCACTGACCTTCAAGTCCAAGTCGAGTCCCAAGTCTTTGTTTATTTTCTCAAGTCAAGTCTCAAGTCCTAAAAATAGTGCCTCAAGTCTGACTCGAGTCCAAGTCATGACTTGTAAGTCCCTCGTCTGCTGGCTGCTGTTTATGAAAACTCGATCTGTGAGTTTCACAATGATGAGAAATGAGCACAGTTGCCATAGCAATAAACTATTTTAGGAACCATGTGTAACCTGAGCTCTTACTGGTAAAATAAATAAAATAAATAAATAAAATAAAATAAATAAATAAAAGTAAACAACTTAACCGGGGTTGATGGAGCTGTAACCTGCAGGTAGAAGACACATGTACAAGTTTTTCTCATAATCAGAAAGTTCCACTGTATAAAATTAAACTTGTTTATCGAGTCTTTAGAGTGACCAGAATTTAAAGATGAGAAACTGGGACACGCTCGGTTTGTGGAGGTTGTGAAGCGAGTGTGTAATTAAAGAGAACTGTTTTGCACTCGGCCCCTTCATGACAAACACATGAACAGTATTGTCACATTTTCTTTGTGTTTTGGTGATTTTTAAGCAGCTTTTCTGCATTTTACCTCAACAAATGATCATTTATGTCTCTTTTTACTGTTTGCAGGGATCAAATTGGTCAAAAATTGGGACACCTGCGACATTTCTTGTATAAAACTGGGACAAATCACTTGTTTTGTATAAATCTGCTGGGACAGGGGGACACAGGCTCATGTCCCATGTAAATGGGGACGTCTGGACACCTTAGTCCAGGAGTCATCAAACTAAGGCCCGTGGGCCAACTCCGGCCCTCCACGCCCCTTTGACCGGCCCCCAGCCCCTCTGTCCTCCAACACTTGAACTGTCCCTGTGACTCAGTCCTCAAAAGTGTCTTGGCCTATTTTTTTTTTACTTTTTGGCAAATAATAACACGTTTGCATCTTGTATTTTGTAAATTTTTTCAATTAAAATTATATTTATATGAAGTGTTTATATTTAAATAATTATATGACATATTTACATTTGTCGCAGAATTTTCATCACCTGAAAAACTCACATGTCAGTCACAAGTGCAGAGTTCTTTTGTGCAGTTAATGTCTCGTGTTAAAGTATGAAAAGTTGACAGGGTGCAGAGTTTTCAAATAACAGTGTGAGGAGCGTGCAGTTTGTCTGATATGTAAAGAAAATATAATCTTTAATCTGCGTCGTCAGGGTCAAACAGTTCTGTTATACGGCCGACCCGACCCCGGCCCCGTGACAGTCAGGAGCCAGAATGTGGCTCTCAGAGAAAAAAAATTTGGTGACTCCTGACTTACTTTATCTCCATGAAGACGAGCAGCAGGCGACACGACCACGTACTGTCAAACTGCAGAGTAGGGCTGGGCAACATGGATCAAAAAATATATCTCGATAAATTTGGTATATCTTGATATACAATATATGATACGTGTACAGGAAAAATAACCCCTGAAAACTGAAAACTGAAAAAACAAATATGTCAAATTCTACAAGGTCTTTTTGTTTTACTGAAGTGCAAGAGGTCGGCAGTTCATGTAGGAACAAAGTGCTTCTACCACATTTAAGATTACAAATATTAATAATTACATAAATAATAATTTAACTGTAAAATAAAGAAATAATACATATTGCCTTCTTTTCATTCATAAATTAAACAACTCAACTCAAGATCATCGTTGCATTAACTCTGTAACCGTACGATAATCATGAGCTCCTTCAGCAGAAGAAGTTCAGGAGGTTCATTATTTTAACAGATCCATGTTATTATCCAGCGTCAGGATCTGAGGTTTAATCCCACAATCCACTGCAGATCAAACCCAATGATTCCAAACACTGTTGTACAAGTGACACTGCAGCAGATTATTCATTAAAATCTTCTGCATAAATAAACTTTACATGACTAAACTTTACATTTAAAGCTTAACGACTCTAGAGCCACATCAGCCCGTTTGACATTATAATGTGTTTAATGCAGTTTTGCGCACGTGTGTTTACGTTTTACAGAAACAAAACTTAAAAGCTCACGGTTCATTTGCATAAACAGCTGCTCCTCCTGCTGCTGATGTGGTTCAGCTTCTGTTGGACTAAAGGGCTCCGGGAGGAGCTCGGAGTAGAGCCGCTGCTCCTCCACGTCGAGAGGAGCCAGTTGAGGCTCGGGCATCTGTTCTGATGTCTCCTGGGCGTCTTCCTCAGGAGGTGTTCATGTCCCACCGGGAGGAGGCCCCGGGGAAGACCCAGGAGGGACTATGTCTCTCGGCTGGACTGGGAACACCTCGGGATCCCCCTGGAAGAGCTGGAGGACGTGTGTGTGGAGAGGGACGTCTGGGAGGCCCTCCTCAGACTGTTGCCCCCGCGACCCGACCCCGGATAAGTGGAAGAAAATGGATGGATGGATAATTATATTTGGTCCGTGAGATCATATTAAATCTGTATTAGAGCTGCCCACCGGTTACAGATCGACTATAGAGACTTTTTTTTTTTTAATGTTATTATTTTATATTTTGCTTGTTCTGGATTCAATGTTTAAGCAAAACTATTATTAAAGATTTATTGTAATAAGAAAAGGTTTAACATTACAGATCTCGAAAGAAGAGAAAACATGGAGATGTTGCTGAAATTTTTCAATAAATATTTAGTTTGGCCCACAAGTCAGTCCCAGGGTTTTAATTTTGGCCTCTGTGAATTTGAGTTTGACTCTCCTGAGTTACGTAATGAACTCAACACAACTCCAGGTCTGTTTTTGAGGAGATAACAACATTATAACACAACTTAAAAGTGGACTTAAAAGATTTTAAAAGTGGAGAAATGAATCCAACTGGACTAAAAATAAATGGGTTTGTCATGGTGATACTTTTCTGTTTGAGAGAAGAACTCAGTTTGTGCGTTAAACACGTGTGAATGAAACAAAACACAAACTCCAGGTCTGTTTGTGACGAGGAAATGACATTTTAACAAATCAGAAAAGCTCCAGATGACGATTCTTTCAGCTCAGGTTGAAGTGAGAAGTTTTTCCGAGTGAATTTCGCTGGTGGTTCCACTTTGGTTTTATATTACACACACTTCATCACAAAGAATGACTCACACGTGTGGGTTTGACCGAGCCCGGCTCCTCAGGCCTTAATCTGATCTCGAACAGATATATGAAACTTTTATAGATTCTTTTTTTTTTTTTTTTTTTTTACCTCGGAGCTATTCTTTCTGTACATATTTCATTTCGCTCACGCCCTTTTTCACAACGCCAACGGCAACGAATAACAAAAAAATCCTGCATATCAAGTCCAAAAGTATAGCACGTATCCTTTTTTTTTTTACTCTTAAAGCTGCATTATGTCACTTTTTGGTTGCAGGTTTCCATGGATACGCCTCTGCTCGGCTTAAAATGTCCCACAGTCAGTGTTGGGGAGTAACAGATTACATGTACCAGAGTTATGTAATCAGAGTACAGAAATGATGAGTAACTGTATTCAGTTACAGTTACTGTTTCAGTGAGTGGTAATTGGATTACAGTTACTTTGTTAAAGTAAATGGATTACACAGCGGGATTTTCCTGTTTTCACATTTTGGGCTGTTTCCCACGTCTCAATCCGTCCTGCGCGGACACGACCGCGCTCTTGTGCGCCTCTAAACCAGAACTAACTCCAGGACTAAACCAGGACTAAACCAGTCCAGGACTAAACCAGGATTAAACTAAGACTAAAACTAGGTCTAGACCAGGACTAAACTAAGACTAAACCAGTCCAGGACTAAACCAGGACTAAACCAGGATTAAAACAGTCCAAGGTCTAAACCAGGACTAAACCAGGACTGAACTAAGACTAAAACTTGGACTAAACCAGGACTGAACTAAGACTAAAACTAGGTCTAAACCAGGAATAAAACCAGTCCAGGACTAAACCAGGATTAAACCAGTCCAAGTCTAAACCAGGACTAAACCAGGACTGAACTAAGACTAAAACTTGGACTAAACCAGGACTGAACTAAGACTAAAACTAGGACTAAACCAGGACTAAACTAGGACTAAAACTAGGTCTAAACCAGGACTAAACCAGGACTAAACTAAGACTAAAACTAGGACTAAACCAGGACTAAACCAGTCCAGGACTAAACCAGGACTAAACCAAGACTAAACCAGGACAAAAACTCTTCTGTTAAGATTCCCTGGTCTTTGCTTCTCTACAGTCAAACAGTCGCTTATTCATGGAGATTTGGGCTCAACATCCATTTTGAAGAAAACAAACATGAATTTTCAGGATGTGTTTGTTACATTCATGTAGTTTTAAAAAACATGACAATATCAAGTAATCCAGAGTAATCAGATTACATTACTCACTTTAAGTAATTTAATGGATTCTGTTACAAACTACATTTTGGGGTATGTAATCTGTAATCTGTAGGGGATTACATTTTAAAAGTCACTTTCCCAACACTGCCCAGAGTGTGACATTAAACAGCTCTACTTTACATTTATTCAGTTACAGGTGGTTTTAGAGCGCAAAAATACTTAGAAAAACAGACATTCTGACTGGAACGGGGTCGCCTCTCCACTGATCTGACCCGTAACTTGGTCTGGTTTGGTCTCCGTGACGACAGGAAGGTTTAATGCCGTACTGTGAGACATTCCAGACAAAGCAATAACGTCTAACATCACGGAGAAATTGAAGGGAGGCTCCATCAGAACAGATTCTACACACATCTGCACCAGAAAAGTGACACTACGCGACTTTTCTGTAGCCATGGAGATGTTATTGCTTTGTATGGAATGTTCCGCAGTGTGACATTAAACTGGAGGAGTTACTAAAAGGGAGAAAGTGGGAAAAGGGAGGGGCAGGATCCAAAGTTATAAGAAATAGTGCGATTGGTCGAACAGGTTTTCACGTACGGTAATCGGGGCAGTTCTGTGTGATGTCACGTAGTACTTGAAACTGCAGTGGTCCCTAGAGGAAGCACTAGAGACGAGCATGATAAGTCGACTACTGTATTTTCCGGGTTATTAGGCGCTCTGGATTATAAGACGCACTGTCATTAAATGGTTTATTTTTGAACTTTTTTCACAAATAAACCGCGTGGGACTTTAAAGGAAACCCAACAGTGTGATGGGTGAGTGGTTTTGTTTGTTTGTTCGTTCACGGTGACTCTGGGTTTGTTCAGTTGTGGCGTGTAGGGAGGGTGTGTCTGGGACCAGCGGATTGTCGGCGTGTTCGCAGTGACTCAGTTGTTCAGTTGTGTCTAGAAGCGGCACGTCGCACTCGCTTTTTCGGTTCGTTCCTCCGTTCCGTTCCTCGTCGGCGTGGAGTGATGAGTGTGTCTGTGGGTGTGTTTCTCTGTGCGGTCGCTGTCTGCTCCGTGTGTGTTTGCGTGTTCTGCGGGTGGTGCAGCTTTGTAATCCGTGTATCATTCGTTCATTCGTTTTTCAATATAAAACCAAAAATAAGAAAACAAAAAAACAACAATTTTCTTCATTATTTGTCTCCAAAACCAAAATGAAAAAAATTATTTGTTTTTTCAGTTTTCGATTTTGTGTTTAAATGAAAAATGGAAAAAAACTGATACCGGCCGTTTCCTGTTTAGGTGACTCCCGTGATTGCGATGCCAGACTTTTGCACCACAAACGCACTGAACCAGGACTGGTCCAGGTCCGGGACCAGACCAGGACCAGAGTGGACTCCGAGCTTTGACTCTGAGCCTCAGCTTCGAGCTCCGGCCCTGCCATGGGCTCTGAACCTCCGGGCTCGTCCTGGTCTGGTCTCAGTCCCGCTCTGGTCCCGGTTTGGTCTCGGCCTGGCCCCAGTCTGGTCTCAGTCAGCGCTTAGAATTTATGTAAATGAGTCATGTGGTTTTAAGTTTAGTTTCTTTAAAACATAAACAAATGTCAAACAATGTCAAATCTGCATTAAACACATTATAATGTCAAACGGGCTGATGTGGCTCTAGAGTCGTTATGTTTATATGTTGTAAAGTTGAGTTTATAGAGATTAGTAATGGTAATAATAATGATAATTTTGATATAAAAATGTTAATGATTAATCGAAAATCGATCATTAATTCTCCTGACAATTGAGCACACACTAATTTCACACTCAAATAGGCACCAATGACTTGTAGGAACGGTAGATAATGGACAGTAAACAAAGGACTGAAAACCAGCGTGAATTTTTTAAGAATGAACCATCAAAACACCAAACTATGACTTAAATCATGTAAAAGAAGTTGAACATTTCGAGAATTTTGGAGAGATGTTTTCTTAATTTAAGAGACACCAGACACAACTAAAGTGTGTGTGGTTGGATCATCTCAAGTTTGGATGTTGGATTTTCATGTTCTATGCTCCAGTTCCAGACCCTTCGGGTGTAAAACTGAATGTAGAAGAGACCAGCTGATCAGGTTAATATTTTAACACACTGAAGAACTCAAATCCTCTAAGGAACTTGGATTTAAGTCAAGGACAAAACTCCCAAATTGAATTAAAAAAGTTTAATATGCAGTTCTAGAGTAATGGATCTGCTCACAAAGCAAAGAGTACCAGTAAAATGTTCATCATAAACTGACCACATCTCCACTCAGGATCAGACAGCGCCCCCTACAGAACACATCAACATCGACAAGAATGTCACAGTCCAGAAGCTACAGTCCACAGAGGTCTCAGAGCCACGTCCACTGCACATGTCCACTGTATGTGTCCACTGTGTATGTCCACCTCCACCTGACCAACCCACAGCCCTGCCCCACCCCCATGCACCTCCCTCCACCTCCCAGGAGCTCCAGAAGAACAAGCAGAGGAACACAGGATAAGGACTACCATTGTAGTCAGACGTTTCATGAGAACACAGCACTTTAACTGGACGGGTTTCCTCTACAACGGGGAAGTAATCAGGCACAAACGTGAGGGAGTAACGTGTATGAGTTTGTGTTCTAACCAAAAGAGAAAGTCTTTAAAATAAATATCTAAAATATCGTGTGGAGGATAAAACAGTGAAAAGTAAAGTCCATGTGCAGTGTGTTTCATTAATGTTCCCTTTCCTGTGTGAGTCTACACTCTGAGTGTATGTCCTGCTCTGGGCTGCCTCCTGTAGGACTGGAGGACAGTGGACACGCGCAGTGGACATTAAGTGGAGGCTGAAGTCTACCACCGAGAGGAGCACAGCTCTCCGGTCACCAGGTTGCCCAACAGTTTGCGGCGGCCGGCCTGGTAGTCCTCCTCATCCACATTGACGAGCAGCTTGATGGCCTCGTGGCCCACGGCCTGTTTCAGAGAATCGGTGATGAAGACTCCTTTGAGGGCCTCCAGTAAAGAGCCGTTGATGTAGTCTCTCCAGAAGGCGTCCAGGTAGGTGAGCTCGGAGAACTTGATGTCACAGATGATGGAGCCCAGGTCTCTGGATTTGAGGATGGTGTTGGCCTGGTTGAATCTCTCAAACTGACGCTCCACAGCCTCCTGTTTGTTGGAGAAGACGTTCCCCTGAAGAGCAGACTCGTGCTGGCAGTACTCGGCCCGCACACGCAGCCGGATGTCTGCATCAAGAGAACAGAGAGCACGGAGAGCACAGGGTCAGGGTCAGAGGTTCTGTTTATGCTTAATATTTACTGCAAGTACCATGAGTCGTTATTCTTACCACACGTCTGCTTCTCTTTGCAGTCGGCCACACTCTGACTCCTCTTGCGTTTGTGTGTGGGGGACGTCCGGGCCGGTTTACTCACTGAGGGCCCCACCTGAGAGGGCCCCACCTGAGAGGCTCCGACCTGTGGCCCTGCAGGAGGGCAGCAGATCAGCGGCTGTGGGGCTGAACACAAACAAGAATTATTATTAAAAATATTTGCATGTTTTCTGCCAAAATAATGATGGTTTTCTAAAGCCTAACACAGTAACATACACACACAGGGGGCGCTCTCACCTGCTTTCCTCTGGCCTGAGGGGCTCCGGCTCTGCACACTGCCTTTGGACGACTCCTCCAGGTATTTGTCCACTGGGTCAGGACAAACTGTGCACAGGAAACAGAAGAAATCAGCAAACAGCAAAAACATAACTGACAGAAAAAGGATATAGAACCATAAACAGTCCCATTGTTCTTGTTCTGCTGAGGTTATCACTCGCCTTTACTGGCCTTTTTCAATAATAATACTGTATTGTATTGTTTCTGAAATATGTTACTTATTTTCCTACTGTTGTCTTTGTCATTATCTGTGGGTGAACTAAGAATGACTTTTGTCTTCAGTAAACAATAAACCAAGCCCACTAAGATGTTTCTTGTTTTTATTGTTTTGTACCTTCTGGTTGTTGTTTTTGTTAATCATACATCCTCTGTCCTGCCTCCTGCACAGGCGTAATAAAGGCCGTTTGAGTCCAAAGAACACGGATTAATAATTCCCTTATGATTCATCAGGGTCACTGCGTAGGTCTGTCCTTTCTCCTCTAATGTGTTTGTGTAAGTCCACAGCCACCAGGGCTCTGGTCGGTCGGGTCTGTGGGGGTCCGTTGGGGGTTAAGGTCCGGTCGGGGGCTCAGGTCAGTCAGGTCTCTGCGGTCAGGGGTCTCACCGGTGTGGCGTTTGCGCAGGCTGACGTAGGGCAGCAGGTCGTGGCGGGTGATGATGCGCAGCAGCTGTAGAACGTGTCTGAAGTTGGACTCGTCACAGCGGCCCTGACGCTCCAGAGCCAACAGGAAGTCCCGCCCACACCTGATGCCGCCGCGCTCGTACTCGTCGATCACGTCCACAAACAGGAAGGAGAGCACGCGCACGTCGCGGTGCGTGAGCTGGGAGCCAACAATGTCAAACATGTGATGCAGAGAGTAGAGTCCAAATGAGTTATCCACTGCCTCCTCAGGCCACGGCTCGGAGCAGCGCGCCCGCTTGGCACAGGGTGGGGCACAGGGGGTGCCGCTCTCCGGGGATAAGGGCATGATGGCAGCTTCCAGCGCCAGTGGTGAAGAGTCTGAAGATACGTCCTAGCACCGGTGTGGGCGCCGAGACGCGCTCTGCAGAGCTGCAGAATAACAACAAAAACAAAAAGGTCTTTCAATGCAAATAAGCAGAATATGCACAGATCACAGAGGAGACGCCTCACACCAGTAACATTTACATTTGGGCAACAGAAAACACATCTGTAGAGTTATTTACTACCTGTAAATAAGTGAGAGGGCACCAAGTGCAATAACTTAATGTTTAATAGCTCTGTGATTAACAGGGGCCACATCACGGCCCCGGTCTGTGGCGGGACCAGCCCCACACGGCTCCTCACACACGGGGCAGGTGACTGTGTGCGCCCGGGTGTTCTGGTGCCTTCTACAGCCTTTGCAAGAAGACATGTGGGAGAATTTAACCGCAAAAACGGTCTCAAATAGCCTGCGTTGGAAAACCAGCTTCTACAATTAGGAACAAAACGTCAGACATTTGCTATGGCTAACGCGCTGCCAGAGCATTCTCTGCGTAACTCCAGCGCCGCGTCTGCCTCGGTTCTGTCATCTGCCCTGAAAACGGCCATCCGCGTTTAAAGATCACGGCAGTGGGTCGGTGTGGTTACCTTTCTGTCTCGTGTCGTAGATCACGGCTGCACAGCGCGCACACACACAGACTAACGGGGTTAGCTCGTCCAGGCGCACTCCGCAGCTCCTCAGTCCCACTCACAAAGAGACATCGCAGACATGTCCGCCGGACTTCACTCGATTCCTTCACAGACGCGTTTAAACTACACAGAACAAACCCTCCGTACTTCTCCTGTAAAGCGTCGGGCCTGTGCAGTCGCGGTAAAGGCTAAAATCCTCTGGTCAGCAGCGCACACACTCGCAGTAAAATAAATGCATTTCCGTTTTACGCAGCGCAAACATCCGGCGGCGCGCGCTGCTGTGGAGCAGGGCCGCGTGGGGCCGCGTGGGGCCGCGTGTGGCCCTCCACAGTAATGCACGAGGACAACAATGACAACAGTGATTCTGCTGAAAATAATAAAAATATTATAATACTACTAAAATGCTTTTCAAACTGTGGAACAGACTACTCTCTACACGTCCCGATATTTTTTTATTATATTTTTTAAATAAAAATAAAAAAAGAAACCAACACACATTTGCTGTTTTGTCACTTAAATGAATCTGTCAGTTGTCTCTCATTTTTCAGTCAATAACTCCAGCCTTTTAATGTTTGTCTACGTTATGTTCGTTTGTAAAAATTGACTCAGTTTATTATTATAAAATACTAATAAAGTTATAATATCTGAGCCTGTATGAGCCCGGGTGAGGGGAGTTGGTCTCCTGCAGTACCGTCCGCAGCCTGGCGGGGGCAGTGTGTCCTTTACCTAATGTTAACTTTAGCGTTAGCATTAGCATTAGCTGGTTCTGATGTAAACGGAGCGCTGCGCCTCCGCCGTGTGTGCCTCTACTGACCGCGGACAGAGGACATAAGCCCGAGAGGACCGAGAGGACCAAGGCTCAGTGTCCGGTAGTGTTTATCCAGAGCCAGTGTGTTTACAGATCCTCCGCGAAGGATCCAGAGGGCGTCTGTCCGCTCCGGTCTGCCCCGGACTCAGACTCAGGTGGACGGATACAACGAGAACAAGAGCAGGGACAAGAGCAGGACATGACCGTGAAGCGCCTCTGAAGAGCGAGCACATCTACGGTGAGTCCTGTCCCCGTGTCCCTCCTGTCCCGTGTCCCTCCTGTCCCCGGGGTGTGGGTCTGCGGCCCCGGGTTCCTGCTGCAAAAACATGATGGGCTTAGGGACTTGGCGGCACCCTGGGGTGCCATGTCTGATGTGTACGTGCAACACTGAGCTGGTGCTTCAGGCTGAGTCCTGTTCCGGTGTCACTTGGGTAACTCGGGTGTCTGTTGGTCTTTACTGTTCCAGTGGCACACGCAGCAGAACAGGGCTAACCCGGGCCCCTGCCCACATCCCGGGCACACACCTGCCAGCCGTGCCAAGGCAGAGTGGCACGGGCACGGCACACCTGCGCACTGCCACAGGACACAGGAGGCCCGCAGCCTGTGTTTCTGGGACTTTCCCTGTTTGTTTATCATCGAGGTAGTTTCATTTTATGATCAGACATTTTCTCAAACAGAATATTCCCCAAAGCAAAAGTGTCCACAGTGTGTCCTCTGGAACAAGTGTGTTAGTGTCTATTTAAGAGACAGTCTGAGACTGGACCCAGACCAAGACTGGACCCAGACCAAGACTGGACCCAGACCAAGACTGGACCCAGACCAAGACTGGACCCAGACCAAGACGGGCACTGTCAGACCTTGCTCCATGTTTAGGGTTTATGATTGATCCTGTTAAATCTTATCAGTCTAATTCGACTGCGCCCAGTTACACACAAACCTTCTTTAAACTGTTACAAGGACATTTAAAACAGTTACTTATGAATCAGAAATCAGGACAATGGTGCAAACTCTTGACTCTGTTTTTTTAAGTTTAGGCACCATATTAAATACCCTTATCCCTGTGCTGTGCCCAGTGCCATGTCTGTGGTGTTCCCACGTGCCAGTGTCAGTGCCGCTCACAGTAAGAAGGACAAGCGCCTGATGGCCGAGGTGAACGCTTCGCCGCTCAAACACTTCGTCACTGCCAAGAAGAAGATCAACGGCATCTTCGAGCAGCTCGGCGCCTACATCAAGGAGAGCTCTGTGTTTTTAGAAGGTAACAAAACAATGCACAAGAAGAACTCCAATACATGTGTTTATGCTAAAGAGTACCAATACCTGATCCAATGAGACACAAAGTCCCCTGTGTAATGTTCTGACTTTTCCATAATAACACGTCTCTGTCCTTTTGCAGAGACTTATAAGAATGAGGAGCTGGACCCGGTCACCACAGAGGAGCAGGTGCAGGAGGTGTGTGCGTACCAGAGCAAAGCAGCGGGCATCGCAGAGGTGCTGGCGCGCAGACACATGAAGGTGGTGTTCTTTGGCAGGTACGGACTGACCCCACCACCGCTCACACGGTCTGCTCCAGTTCTAAAGGCACACACGTCTACACGAGAGCTTTAATTCCGAATAAAAATATTTAATTCTGCTTTAAAAAGACCACGTAAACACTTAATTCCTAATGAAAATGATAATGACTTAATTCCGAAGTAAGTGGGTGGTTTATTCCGATTTTTAAAGCCGAATTAATTTATCCCTCGATCATGTAAACGTTTATTATTCTTAAAAATAATTCCGGTCATTTGGCGCATGCTTGTTTTTTAAAATTTAGGTTTATTAAGGACATCACAATCGCATTAGACAAGCCAGATGAATTGCTTTGAGTGTTTTAGCACAAGTATTAGCTTTCAGCAACTGTCCATATAAAAAACAAACAAAAAACTAATCTACATGTATTAAAAAAGATAAGACAAGACACATAAGTTACATACAGATAAAATATATACAGTACATTTTTAGTGGATGCATTTTTGACTGACAACGTACAATAATTTAAATTTACTTTTACATTTGTTGTTATCAGTTTCCAATTTGAAATCATTTGGTAAACAGTTCCACAGTCCGGCCCCTTTGGCAGAGAAAGAGAATGACTAAGAGTTTGTCCCGTACATAGCAACAACGCAGTTATCACTAATAGCAGCTCTTGTGTGTACATTTTATGGTCCTGGCAAATTCTGAATACAGTGGTGTATCACAGTTAAGACTAAAACGAATTTAAGATTATTAAAATTGGTTAAAGGGACAGTTGGGAATTTTGGACATAGGGCCTCATTTCCTCATGATTGGAGTGTTGGAGACGTGTGGAGACACTTTTTTAAATAATCCATCCAGTCCTTGTGCATGTCAATGGTCATAGTTCTCCTGCCACTATAAACAGTCTTACCCACTCCACAAAACACCCGAAACAAATTTATTAATACGCCAGACTGTCGATGTTTAGAAGTAAAACCAACCTTGCATTTGGAGGATTTATGTCTGAGCAGCAGCAGTGAGTTGTTCTTCCTGATAGAAAGCTCGGCAGCGGTGGACTGGTATCACCTTGCACCTATGTTACCGGCAAAATAAAATTCCGCTGCTGCTGAGAAAATCGTCCCTCAACATGTGACGATTCATGTGATGCAAGGTTAGTTTTATTTCAAACATTATACACAATACCAGTACTGTATGATCAAATTAAACAATACGATAAATCAATATTTCAGTATATGCACATCCTTAATCGGAACACTAAATCTGAATATTGTCCCATGCTGCTCTGTGGTTTCTGTGACGGTCGTTTTGTTTCCTACAGGACGAGTAATGGAAAGAGCTCTGTCATCAACGCCATGCTGTGCGATAAGGTGCTGCCCTCGGGCATCGGGCACACCACCAACTGCTTCCTGCGGGTGGAGGGCACAGACGGAGCAGAGTCCTTCATCCTGACAGAAGGGTCTGAGGAGCGCAAGAGCATCAAGGTAACACCAGCCAGAGCACAGGGTTTGGAAAGGGTTTAGGAATGTTAAAGGTTGTATAGAGGATTTTCCAAGGAACGAGAAATCCAGCGACTGTTTGTCCTTTTTCAAATGTTGCGCATGCGTGAAACCACCCCCCCTCCCCTACAGCTCCTACGTAGAAACGCCTCCTCCCGCCTCCTCCTTACGCCAGAAACCGGTGCGCTGCACATGACTTGTAAACAACTAACTACAGTGTTGGTTAGGCAAGACGGAGAAGTGAGGAGCGGGGGGAGGGGGTGCGCGGACATTTCGTGCGCGGACAAGAAGTGAGAAGCAGGGCGAAGAACGGAGCGGGGAGTGAGGAGAGGGAGAGAGAGGAGAGGAGAGGGGAGCAGTGCGTGGAGATTCCGTGAGGAGCAGGGAGAAGAGCGGAACGGGCAGAGAGGGGCGCGGAGATTCCGTGCGAATGAACTAGCTACTACTACAACACGCAGCAGCAAGCGGACTCTTTCTTTGCCTTGAAAATTACGTTTTCAGACATAGGATATCGCATTCATGTCCTGAAAAACGTTTGTCTAGCTCTTGGAAATAAAGTACGTTTTCATAATAAGCAGAAGTTTCCTGTCCAGAAGTAATTTGTGGACCAGTGCGTTCAGTCTTTAGACCCTGCGTCTGCTTCAATTGCGCCATCACTGGAATGAATCTTCAAGAATCACCTTAGTTTGGTTTCGCTGCTTTTCCCCTTGTCTTCTTCTTTCAGCGACCTCAAAAACGGACTTTGTTTTGGGGCGAACTGCTCCTGGATTCTTGTCGCCATCGCAACAAACTTTGTGTGAACTGCGAGGAAGATATAGGTCAAAAAAGCCTCTAAGAACTGTTGCGTTGGTGGAGTAAACAGCGTCTGTGCGTCTGTGGACTGTGTGACAGTCGTACGTAAACCACGTACCGGCGGCGCAGGCAAGTCAGTTACACTAGAAACGTAGGGAGTTTGATTGACAGCCTGTCAGCTCACAGATAACGAGGCAGTGTCGTTATCTATTGGCAAATGTTTAGCCCCACCACGTCCAGAGTTGATGAATTTTTATTCTCTTTTTTTTTGGTCATCATAATTACAAGGCTACTGCATCTCTATATTGCTATCATTGACAATTTGAAACTAAAAAAAAACAAAAAAAATCCTCCATACAACCTTTAAGACTTATACATTTGAGCTCAGTGTGCATTTAAAGGTTCATTGTGTAAAGCAAAAGATGTTCATTTTGTCTTCTTATATACTTTAACTTCTTGGGTTCTTTTTAAAGACAATGCAGTAAAGTGTGTTTACCTTGTTGACATGTTTCGGCTGCTTCTGCGAGCCATCTTCAGAACTGTCCACAGTGTTGGTGGTGACGTGTCGTATATCAGCTGTTGTTACTTCCTGTAGGCGTGGTCAGCCCGATGTCACACTACCATACATCAGAGGCATAACCGAACCCATCCAGAGAGCCATGAAAAAAACACAACATAAGCACTGTAGTAAAACCAGACACAAAACTCCGCCAACAGCTCGTACACCCCAAAGACAAAATCCCACAAGAACAAAAATGCAATGCCATCTACGAAATTCAATGCAAATCATGCAATAAATCATACATAGGGGAAACAGGCCGGGCATTTCACATCCGAAAAAAGGAACACCAAAAGGAATGCGAGAAGGAAACGTCAGGGAGACTCACCAGAACACAAAAAGACAAAGCAGAACAGGAAAACCTAAAATCCGCCATATCAGACACTGTAAAAAGAACAACCACATTATGGATTTTGACGGGGCTCAGGTCATTGGATCGGAAAACAACAAGTTAAAACCCTGGATCAAGGAGGACAATGAAATCAGGAAACGAGGCACGGACAGCGTTAACCGTGATGACGGAGCGTTCCTCCTTTCACACACCTGGGACACCCTCCTCCAGAGACACCGGGCGACGGGAGGCGTGGTCAGTCTGAGTGACCTGCAGGTCCATCAGGTCTGACCACGCCTACAGGAAGTAACAACAGCTGATATACGACACGTCACCACCAACACTGTGGACAGTTCTGAAGATGGCTCGCAGCAAGCAGCCGAAACATGTCAACAAGGTCAACACACTTTACTGCATTGTCTTTAAAAAGAACCCAAGAAGTTAAAGTTCATTGTGTAACTTTACTCGTGGAGGGTCCGTCAAATGCTTTTCTCCATGAAGATGTTTTGCTTTGGCTATGGTCTTAAACCTTTCTATGTGCATGGAGACCAAACCAGACCAAGTTACAGGTCAGATCTGTGGAGAGGCGACCCCGCTCGCAGTCAGAATGTTTGTTTTTCTAGATATTTTTGAGCTTTAAAACCACCTGTAATTGAATAAACGTAAAGTAGAGCTGTTTAATGTCACACTGTGGAATATTCCAGGCAGAGCAATGATGTATCCATAGAAACAAGCAGGTGATGGAGCCACAACCAAAACGTTACGTAGAGCGCCTTTTTAATGGTCCTATATTACACAAAATGGTGTCTTTATACTGCTGTTATTTCATCAAAACAGACCTGGACTTGTGTTTTGTTTACATCTCCAAAGCTCAGAATGCTCTGTGCCCACCTTGTGATGTCATGAAGCGGTAGTTTTCAAGTTAACCTCTCCCTTTTTACTCTTTGTTTAGTACAAATTGGAAATTCCAGGGCCAAAATTATCCAAATGATTCCAGTGAGAGTTTAAAAACACAGTGGAGTACTTCCTGTGTCACCACATGACATCACAAGGTGGAACAAAGTGTTTTCTGTTTTGAGAGAAGAACTGAAAGCCTAAATATTCAGAGTTTGTGTGTTAAACTTGTGCATTTTCTGTTTAATTTCATTCACTCTAAAGTTCTTGTAGAGGAGCAGCGACTTAAAAGTGAAAAAATACAAAAAACGCTCAGATGGCTGAAAAAGCTTTTTTAAATTTTTAAAAAAAGTTTTGGCAAAAGGCCTTCGTCAGGTAATTTTTCTTGCTTTGGACCACAGTACACAAACCTCCCATTCTTTGGATATGAGCTCCTCTCCTGGCAACCATTTTGTGTACTGTGATCCAAAGAAAGAAAAATGATCTGATGATGGCTTTTTGCCGAAACTCTATTTAAAAACAGAATGGCCTATTCATTTTTTCACTTTTAAACTTGTGAATGAGACAAAACACAACTCCAAGTCTGTTTGTGATGAGGAAATAACATTAGAACATGGATCAGGTCATGCAAGGTCATGACTGCGCACTTAACACTTTCAACCAAAATCAAAACTCAAACCAAAAAAATCAAGAGCACATTACCTCAATTTTAGCGTCGTTGCACCGGCGTCCAGGTTCGTTTTAGAATTGATTTTAAGATTTTCATAGTTTGTTTTTGAACCTTTTAAATGGAAAGGCCCCGCATCCACGTTACGTCTCGGGCCTCATCCAGATTTACTCTCCTGCGCGCTCTGAGGTCTGAGGTCCAGCTCCAACTCGTGGGGCCTAAGACGAGACTTAAAACCAGAGGAACAGGACCTTCTCTGTGGTTGACCCTAAGCTCTGGAACGTTCTGCCCTTCCACGTCCCAACAGCCCGACAGTGAAGAGTTTTGAGTCTCGTTTTAAAACCCACTTTTACTCTCTGGCTTTTAACACCGCTTGAGTTGTGCGGTCCTTTGTGTCTTTTATTTATTTTATTTTTATTTTACGTATTGAAAGCTATTTTACGATTCTTATGGTTTTGCTTTTATTTGATTTTACTGGTTTTATTGTTTTAGGACAAAATTTTAGCAGTTTACCTTTTTGTTGTCTTCATTTTCTGATCTCTGCGCAGCACTTTGGAAACTGCTTTGTTTATAAAATGTGCTGTATAACTAAAGTTGATTTGGATTTGGATCAGAACTTGGTGTAATATGGGCTCTTTTTTGTATTGTTTTATATAAATATAATGCTGTGACTGTGTGCAGACGGTGAATCAGCTGGCCCACGCTCTGCACCAGGAGGAGGAGCTGGACGCCGGGAGCCTGGTGTGTGTCATGTGGCCCAAAGCAAAGTGTGCTCTTCTCCGGGACGACCTGGTGCTTTTGGACAGGTAACTCCCTCCACTCCTCCCGGTCCCCTCCTTAGAACCTCATCAAAACAAATAAATTATCCCAGATTTAAAGCCCCACATCTTTATTTTAGCCAATAACTTGACTATATTTTTTAAATTGCTCAAAAATACAATGGGAGAACATGTGTACTTAGTAAAAACAGGCTTGTATTTTTAGACTTATTTGTCTCTCTCAGTGGTCCATGCGCGTATACTCGTCTTATATTTCTTCTGATACAGCTCAAGATCATTCTAAAGCAATTCAGGAAAGGTTAATTTCTGTCCTGTCAATGTGTGAGACTTTTTTTTAGTATCAATACCTGCTCAAATGAGTGGTTTTAGTATTGATTTACGTCTGATTTTCAATACTTTTGGCAACCCTACAGTCTCGTGCTATGCTTTGTCTATACTTAAAGGTGCATTGTGTAACCCTTCTGACAGAGGGTCTATCACCTGCTTGTTTTCTATGCCTGGAATGTTCCACAGTATGACATTAAAACAGCTCTACCTTACATTTATTAAATTTACAGTGGTTTATAGCTCAAAAATGCCTTGAAAAAGAGACATTCTGACTGGGAGCGGGGTTGCCTCTCCACAGATCTGACCTCACTTGTTGAAATAACATCTCCATGAAGAAAAGACGGACCCTCCACCAGAAAAGTTACACAATGCAGCTTTAAAGTGACAAATCTGGTTTAGGCTTTGTAAGAAAAAAACTAAACCAAACAGAAGCCCCACACTGTTCCTGGGATATTGATTCTGCCTCTGCTCATATTATACAGCTATATTTCTTCCATATATGGTGCTTCCTCTTCCTCCTCTTCTTCCTCTCTGATGTGCACACTGTGTCTCTGTGTGTCTGTGCCCGCAGCCCTGGCATCGACGTGACCACAGAGCTGGACAGTTGGATCGATAAGTTCTGTCTGGACGCTGATGTGTTTGTGCTGGTGGCCAACTCCGAGTCCACGCTCATGCAGACGGTAAATTATGCCCGCTTTAACTCACGCCTGTGGTAGCTCATGCCCACTGTAACTTATGCCCATGGTAAGTCAGGCCTACAGTAACTTGTACCCAGTGTAGCTCATGGTAGCTCATGCCCGTGGATGCTCATGCCCCCGGTAACCCAGGCCCGCAGTAAATCATGCCCACGGTAGCTCGGGCCCGCAGTAACTCATGCCTGCGGTAACTCATGCAAACAGTAAATTATGCCCACGTTAACTCATGCCCACGTTAACTCATGCCCACGTTAACTCATGCCCACGTTAACTCATGCCCAGGGTAACTCATGCCCAGGGTAACTCATGCCCAGGGTAACTCATGCCCAGGTAACTCATTAACTCATGCCCAGGTTAACTCATGCCCAGGGTAACTCATGCCCAGGGTAACTCATGCCCACGTTAACTCATGCCCACGTTAACTCATGCCCAGGGTAACTCATGCCCAGGGTAACTCATGCCCAGGGTTAACTCATGCCCACGTTAACTCATGCCCACGTTAACTCATGCCCACGTTAACTCATGCCCACGTTAACTCATGCCCAGGGTAACTCATGCCCAGGGTAACTCATGCCCAGGGTAACTCATGCCCACGTTAACTCATGCCCACGTTAACTCATGCCCACGTTAACTCATGCCCAGGTTAACTTGGGCTCACAGTAACTCACGCCCACTGTAGCTCATGCAGACAGTGAATTATGCCGACGGTACCTCATGCCCACAGTAACTCACGCCCACTGTAGCTAATGCCCGCTGTAACTCATGTCCATGGTAGCTCATGCCCACTGTAAATTGTGGCCACTGTAACTCGTGCCCACGGTAAATCATCCCCGCGGTAACTCACACCCACTATAACACGGGCCGACAGTAACTCATGCCCGCGGTAAATCATGCCCACTTCCTGTGCCCAGGTCTGGGGTTGGGAGCATCAGGACAAAAAGAATATGTTTAATACTTTGTCATGATCTTAATAATTGATGGTATCTGATCGTTCATTATTTAAGAGGACGGATCAAGTTTAGCCACAGCAACATTTCCACGGCTCTTCTCGCTCGTCTTTGTGTCTCGTCAAAAGTCTCAGGTCTCAGGTCAGTTTCACAGGACGACTGGTCAGGGAGGGTCAGCCGGTCTGTGCCAGCCGGTCTGTGCCAGGGCAGATTGAGGAGAGTAACATCCCTCAGTATGGTTAATCTTAAATGTATTTGTCTATTTACAATAACCCAACTTTTGATTACATACTTTAACTTGTTTTAATAAGGTTTTGCGTGTGATGTGTCACGTGATTTAATGTTTGGCATCCATACTGGAGGTCAAGACTGGTGGTATTCAGTTTATTTCAGTGTAATCATGGTGACTTTAAACAGCGCAAATGACATAAAACTGTCCAAAATCTCCAGCTCGTTAGATCAGCGTCATTAGAAAGGTATAAAGCTAAAGTCGTCCTCCTGGGTTGTGGAATAGATCCCGATCTAATTCCGATGGAGCTTTGTCAGTCTAATCAACGCTCGCTCTGTGTCCGACCTTTAGTATCCAGATATTTACAACGACTTCATTCGACATCGTCCTACACCAACCAAGAAGTTAAAAGCCACACGGGGTTAAAATCATATAAATATTTTGTAGCCCAATGTGTGAGATCTTTGTTGATCACCAAACATCACATCTGTTCCTGATAACAGCCAGGGGAAGTGGAACGGGGGTTAAAATCAGAGCCGGAGCGACCCGGGATGATGGAAATAGAGGCCGGAGTGGGGGAGGGGATTCTGTGCTAGTACACCGGCGAGAAAAATACTTTTGGTGTATATAATTTCATTTACTCTGTGGTGGCGGGGTCGTGCTCCTTAATCCAGATCTCCAGCTCGGGACTGACCATCTGCAAGAACTGTTCCAGAATCAGCTTTTCACACACTTGTTGGATTGTTATTTTTTCTGGCTGAATCCACCTCATGAACAGCTCCTTCAGGTGGACATACAGCTCCCGTGGCATCTCACTGGGCTCGATTTTCAGGGATCTGAAGCGGCGGCAGTAGGTCTCTGACGTAATTTCATATTTGGACAAGATGGCCTCCTTCACCTTGTCATAGTCCTCTGTGTCTTTCATGTCCATGGGAACATAGGCACTTCGGGCTTTGCCTGTCAGCAGAGGTACCAGGCGAACAGCCCACTCTTTTTCTGGCCATCGGCAAACCTGAGCCATCCTTTCAAACGTGGTCAGGAAATGTTCAATGTCATCATCAGGAGCCAGGGGAAGAAGCTTTGGCTCCCGGTATGGCCTGTGAGGGTAACGCGGCCCCTCATTTTCTTCATCCTCATACTCCTCCTCTGTTGGCGTTTCTAGTGTGACTTGAATGGGCCTTGAAACCCGCTGTGGATGCGCAGATCGCTCTGGCTGCATCCTTAATAGCTGCTGCTGGAGTTGCTATACCTGAATCTCCATGTTTTGCCAGCGCTGGTCCTGTTGGATCCGCTCAGTGTTGACAGTTTTGTCTCTTATGGTCTGGGCATCAATTAGCGACTTCATCATCCCAGCCAATTCCTCCATTTTCTCTTCCACACCACTTGCCTTTGTCCCCTGGTGGTCAGCCATTGTCGTCCCAGGTTCCTCGTCAGGCTCTTCAGGCATTTTCTTTCCACCTTGTCTGGTATTCATCGTACCTTCTCACTGCGGCATAGGACCACTCCTGACACCAAATGTAACGTAGGTTGACCGTGAGCGGCTTGGGGTTCAGTGAGCAAGGTTAAAAACAAAAAGTAAACCGTGGACCACAACTACCTGTCTGTGTCTGGATTTGTTTTTAACCTTGCTCACTGAACCCCAAGCCGCTCACGGTCAACCTACGTCACACCACCTCTGTCTGTGATCTTTATCAGCCGGGATCCGACAGAAAGACACTTTGGCCTCCTTCTTTAGCAGATTGACTCCAGCCAGAACATCCAATAGAAACGCAGATCAAGACCGTTGTTATTCAATTCAAACTTTATCACACACAAATACTACGCGTTGGTCCAGATGGATAGTTTGACTCCAATATGGCGGCATCAACACCAGGTCACGTGATTTTGTGATGTAGACGCAAAACCTTAATAGATTGTAAAAACCTTTCACTGCGAGCTGGGATGTTGTGATGTTTGCATTTTTAAACCACTATGCTTCAAGTCCACACAACTTTTGGTGCGGCGCAAAAAAGCATTTTCCAACACAAACATTTGATTAATACTTGCTAATACAGTCGATACGATGCTCCACATTTACCGTAGTTATGTAAAAAACTCTACTACTCTAACTATACTTGTTTTATCTGAGCAGGTCGATCGATTGGCTGAAATTGTCTAAAACGTCGCTCAGAGTCCCTCCTCTTCCCGAACCATATCGACCGATAATGTATAGAACTCACTTCAAAGTGCTGCTCGTATAGATTTTAGACAAACTTTATTGATCCACAAGGGAAATGGTTTGGACACGGCAGCTCACACATCATCAAGATGATAATAATAATAACAAAGAACAACAATATAAATGGTGATAATAAAGTCAAAATAAGTAGAAAAAATAGCAAATAAGTTGTAAGTATTGTATTGTATATTTCGCCGACAAATAAAAATGTAGAAATATATTTACTGTATCTTGGTTATATACAAGGTCATATGCAAAGATGTAATAAAATTTGACAGGACATAGGATTGGCTGTTGTAGGGAGTATTATCTGTTACATAAGGTTGAGTTGTACAGTTGTAGGGAGTATTATCTGTTACATAAGGGCGAGTTGTAGTACAGTTGTAGGGAGTATTATCTGTTACATAAGGGTGAGTTGTTTACAGTTGTAGGGAGTATTATCTGTTACATAAGGGTGAGTTGTAGTACAGTTGTAGGGAGTATTATCTGTTACATAAGGGTGAGTTGTAAGTACAGTTGTAGGGAGTATTATCTGTTACATAAGATTGAGTTGTATAGTTGTAGGGAGTATTATCTGTTACATAAGCGTGAGTTGTTTTACAGTTGTAGGGAGTATTATCTGTTACATAAGGGCGAGTTGTAGTACAGTTGTAGGGAGTATTATCTTGTTACATAAGGGTGAGTTGTTGTACAGTTGTAGGGAGTATTATTTGTTACATAAAGGTGAGTTGTTGTACAGTTGTAGGGAGTATTATTTGTTACATAAAGGTGAGTTATTGTGCAGTTGTAGGGAGTATTATCTGTTACATAAGGGCGAGTTGTAGTACAGTTGTAGGGAGTATTATCTGTTACATAAGCGTGACTTGTTGTACAGTTGTAGGGAGTATTATCTGTTACATAAGGGTGAGTTGTTGTACAGTTGTAGGGAGTATTATCTGTTACATAAAGGTGAGTTGTTGTACAGTTGTAGGGAGTATTATCTGTTACATAAGGGCGAGTTGTAGTACAGTTGTAGGGAGTATTATTTGTTACATAAGGTTGAGTTGTACAGTTGTAGGGAGTATTATCTGTTACATAAGGTTGAGTTGTACAGTTGTAGGGAGTATTATCTGTTACATAAGGTTGAGTTGTACAGTTGTAGGGAGTATTATCTGTTACATAAGGTTGAGTTGTACAGTTGTAGGGAGTATTATCTGTTACATAAGGTTGAGTTGTACAGTTGTAGGGAGTATTATCTGTTACATAAGGGTGAGTTGTAGTACAGTTGTAGGGAGTATTATCTTTTACATAAGAGCGAGTTGTTTTACAGTTGTAGGGAGTTTTATCTGTTACATAAAGGTGAGTTATTGTGCAGTTGTAGGGAGTATTATCTTTTACATAAGAGCGAGTTGTTGTACATTTGTAGGGAGTATTATCTGTTACATATGCGTGAGTTGTTTTACAGTTGTAGGGAGTATTATCTGTTACATAAGCGTGAGTTGTTTTACAGTTGTAGGGAGTATTATCTGTTACATAAAGGTGAGTTATTGTACAGTAAATCTCACAGTTGTTTTGTTTGCGGTTCTTCTACAGGAAAAGTCCTTCTTCCATAAAGTGAACGAGAGACTGTCCAGCCCGAACATCTTCATCCTGAACAACCGCTGGGACGCGTCGGCCTCAGAGCCCGAGTACATGGAGGAGGTGAGTCCTGGGGACGTGCTAAACTCACACACTCAGAATACAAATGGACATGGGTAACCTGCTGGCTGACAAAACAGAAAGTGAAAATGTCACACTCCAAAAACCTCACCTCTCTGTAACTGCTGCTGTCAGACTCAATGTTTTGGTCTGAAAATGTTCATTTAAACGAGTTTATATGATCCTGGTGTGTCGATTTCAATATTTTGATATAGATAGACCGATAGATTGATTCATTCTTCATTTCTTTTTTTTCTTGATTTCTTTCTTTCGTGATCTCCTTTTCTTTCATGATCTCCTTTTCTTTTGTGATCTTTCTTTCTTTCTCTTTCGTGATCTTTCTTTCTTGCTCTCTTGATTTCTTTCTTTATCTCGTTATTTTTTCCTTCATCTTTTTCTTGATCTGTCTTTCTTGAGCTTTCTTTCGGATATCCTTTTCTTTCGTGATATTTCTTTCGTGATCTCTTGATTTTTTTTCTTTCTTGATTTCGTCTTTTATTCATCTTTTTCTTGATCTCTTTCTTTCCTTGATCATTCTTTCTTTCGTGATCCCCTTTTCTTTCTTGATCTCTTTTTGATCTCATTCGTCCTTCTCTTACTTTCTTTCTTGATCTCTTGATTTCTTTTTCTTGATCTCCTTTTCTTTCTTAATTTCTTGATCTCGTTATTTATTTCTTCATCTTTTTCTTGATCTCTTTCTTTCCTTCTAGATCTTTCTTTTGTGATCTCTTGATTTCTCTTTCTTCTCTCTTTCTCGATCTCCTTTTCTTTCATGATCTCCTTTTCTTTTGTGATCTTTCTTTCTTTCTCTTTCGTGATCTTTCTTTCTTGCTCTCTTGATTTCTTTCTTTATCTCGTTATTTTTTCCTTCATCTTTTTCTTGATCTGTCTTTCTTGAGCTTTCTTTCGTGATCTCTTGATTTTTTTCTTTCTTGATTTCGTTTTTTATTCATCTTTTTCTTGATCTCTTTCTTTCCTTCTAGATCTTTCTTTTGTGATCTCTTGATTTCTCTTTCTTCTCTCTTTCTCGATCTCCTTTTCTTTCTCGATCTCCTTTTCTTTCTGGATTTCTTTCGTGACCTCTTTCTTTTTAGATTTCCTTCTTTCTTGTTTTAGTTATTTCTTTCTTGATCTCTTTCTTTCTTTCTTTCTTTCTTGATCTTTCATTTTTCGGCAGCAACAATGAAACAGAATAATAATAAAACAGCAGCAATTCATCATTTTCCCACCTGATCGTTAATAACCGACACATCAGGACTCAGACTCTAATGGGACAGGTGCACTCATGCCTGTAAACACACTGGCTGCCGATGGAGCTTTTGAACAGTTACAGATCTGCATGTTCGGTTTGTAGACACGTTTACCATCAGGGTTCAGAGAATGTGACGCTGATACAGATAAACCCCTCACACAACAGAACCTCACAGCTGCGTGTCCCCGTCTCTGTCCCAGGTCCGGCGTCAGCACATGGAGCGCTGCACGGACTTCCTGGTGGAGGAGCTGCGCGTGGTGGAGCGAGCTCAGGCCGCCGACCGCATCTTCTTCGTGTCGGCCAAAGAAGTGCTGCAGGCCCGAGTGCAGAAGGCCCAGGGGATGCCCGAGACCGGTACCGCCCTCTTCACACCACACCTGCACACTTTTAAAGGCCCGATATCACACAGAACTGACTCCTGTGAGCTTTTAGTCATGTTATACCTCATCAAAAACAGACCTGGAGTTGTGTTTTGTTTCACTCACAGTCTAAAGGCCCCGTCCACACTAGTTCGTATTCATTTTGGTTGTGGATGCAGTGTTCGTCCATCCGTATCCGATGGAAAACGGCTCCAGAGATGAGACGATCTGGTGCCGTCTCCTCCCACGAATTCATCAGAGTGCGGATTTGGTTCGGCACCGTGTGGACGCCTGAAAACGATGATACGCTGACGTAGGAGCTAGGGATGGGCATTCGATGAAATTTTCTTAATCGATCGTTGGAAGAATTAACGATCGATTATCAATTAATCATTAACGTTTTTATATTTAAATGATCATCATTATTATTAGTATCTGCACTACTAATCTGCATAAATAAATTCAACTTTACGACATATAAACTGTAACGACTCTAGAGCCACATCAGCCCGTTTGACATTATAATGTGTTTAATTCAGTTTTGTGCAAATCTCACAGAAACAAAACTTAAAACCGCATCACTAATTTGCATAAACTCAGTGAAGATAAAACTCCAGCTCTTGTGTCGCTGATGTGGTTCAATTTCTGTCGGATTAAAAGACATGACTCAGTGAAATACAGGTTAGTGTGACCAGATTTGTGTTTGTCAAAACCAGGACAGCGTACGGGGGGAGGGGGGCGGGGCCTCGTCATCCACATTGAGCGACTCTCACCTGGAAAAACTTTTTCCCACTGGACACAGAAACATATGTTCCAGCTTTATCCACTGTGCACATGGACTCACACTTGTCCCGAACACAACGGAAAGTGTGGAATTTCTTGTACAAATCATCGTTAAATCCACATTTGTGCTTCGGTTCGTTACAGACTGACCGACTATTTCTGTCTCGCTCCTTCTGATGCAGAGACACATGTACACACCTGTTTGGTCACACTACGATACACACAGCAACCTACATTCAGTTTGTCGATTAAAAAGAACGTAATCGATGAAATTCTTAATGATCAATTATCGATTAATCGATTAATCATGCCCATCCCTAGTAGGAGCTCTAGTCGCGTCCTTATTGGACCGCGTCACTGTGACTCGCTCCTTATTGATTCACTGGGTTCATGTGATCGGTCGTCCACACTCTTGAGCCGCCGCGCTCGTCTTAAAATCCAGTTTACATTCATTAACAACTGAACCTCGTTGTCGATCCACGTTAAGACTTTTTCACGCTTGCCATCTTCCTCAACTGCAACATCTTCCTTGGCTGCAACTTCAGACACGGTGCTCCACTTTTTACCTCCCATGTGACGTCGTGACGGCAGCCTAGTCATGTGACTCGTGTTTCAGGCGGTTTCGCGTAACTGTGTGGAGGGAAGGTTTTGATTGCGGACACAGAAACGACGTGACTGGTCATTTCCGATTCGGTGATACAGTGATTTGTTTCAGTGTAAACGTAGCCTGAATCTCCAAAGTTCAAAATGCTCCGTTTCACCTTGTGATGTCATGAAGCAGTAATTTTCAAGTTAAAAGAAAATCGAGCTGCTGCCTTTTACCTTTTGTTCAGTGGACATAGAAAATTCTGGGGTTGAAATCCTCTAAATGATTCTAGTGAAGGTCGTGTGAAGCAAAGGGCGGCAGCAGCTCAGTTGGTTGAGTGTTTGAGCACTGATCCGAAGGTTGGCAGATCGAATCCCACTCTCATTGGTTGAGGTTTGATGTGTGTCTTTAGGCAAGACACTTAATCTGCCAAGCCCAGGGTCTGTATGAGTGTATGAGTGAGCGGTACCTTGTTGTAAAGAGCTTTGAGTGCCTTGAAGGTGGAAAAGCGCTGTATAAACATTTGTGCTGTCAAAAGTATCACGTTATTAACAAGTTAACGCAAAATAATTTTAACGCAAACTAGTTTTGTGGCCACAGCTGTAACTTTAGAAAAACTACAGGATCTGGCTGTAAACAGGAAGCAAAACAATTTGTACGAAACTGAGAAGCCCTATCATGTGTGCTGATGTTACACTAAATAAACTCTGCTCACGCTGATCTTCGGTAAGGACTGTGGATAGAGACAGAAGTTTTACAGGTTCTCCTCTGACTGTTCTCACGTCTCCGCCTTGTTGTTACATCTCACGGTATTTTCTCTACTAAAAGTGTTGGCTCTCCTTATGGCTCACACAGTTGCAAAAAAACAAAACAAAACAAAAAATCTACAAAGTAAGCCTATCCACTTTTCTGTGCTGATAGGAGTATAAAAATTATTATTCAAGGGACAAAAATGTGCACTTAATCCTGAGTTAAGTATAACAATTCATGGGATTAATTGCGATTAAATATTCGACAGCACTAATAAAAATGTGACTTTATGGAGTTTAAAGGGCCACTAAACACCAAAATCACTTTTTTTCTACTGATTATCTGTGCAAATGGGTCTAAAATAGAAGTGTATACCTATCCCTGCTCTTATTTTGACATTTTAGCGCATATTTGTTAAAAATCTGACATTTGGGTCAAAAGTCGTGTCTGTAACGGCACAGTGGAGCACTTCCTGTACTACCACATGACATCACAAGGTGGAAATGGAAGTGGTGGGAGTGTTTTTTGTTTGAGATAAAAACTCTAAAAGCCTAAATCTGCAAGGTTTGTAAGTTAAACATGTGAGAATGAAACAAAGTATTTTTTAATTTTTGGTGAAGAAACAACATTATAACATAGATCATAAAATAAAGTAATAGAGACGCTTTAACGAGGAAGTGTTATGCTTTTTTTTCTTCTTTTTCCCACGTTAAACCATTTTTCTCTCATCAAAAACATGCCTGAAGAGGTTTTAGATCCATACATTCATGTTTAATTTAGCGATCTTTCATTTCTTAATGCTAAATAATTAGAATGAACTGTTGTTTTATTTGGGTAGAAGGTAATAATAGTCTTTTTTAGTAATTTTGCAGTCACATACATTGATAATACAGATAATACTCGTGTAAATGACTGGATTTTTAAAGTCTTGTAAACATGTTTTGCTTTGTTCCAGGAGGAGCTCTGGCTGAGGGCTTTCAGGCTCGAATGTTTGAGTTCCAAAACTTCGAGAGAAGATTTGAGGTACGACTTTCACAATGCCGCTCTTTATTACACATACAACAGTAACTATGTATTATATTCATGCAGTTGTTTTTGGGTGTGCGTTGTAGGAGTGTATTTCGCAGTCTGCCGTGAAGACGAAGTTCGAGCAGCACACGGTGAGAGCCAAACAGATCAGCGAGGGCCTCAGACGCATCATGGAGTCTGTGCACGTGGCGGCGCAGGAGCAGAGGTCAGTAGAACGAGGGAGGGAGGGAAGGAGAGTATGATGATCTCGTACCATGATACCAGCTTAAAGTGGGTCCCAAGTTTAGCTCTGGTTGGTGAAGAGACTGGACAGACGTGTAGATCTTCATCAGTGTTTACTCAGACCAAAGATCTGCAGCTGCTCCAGGAGAAAGTGAAAGTAACTTAAAAAGACTCTTACCTCAACTATCTCAGCTACTGAAAAAGCGATTACCGTATTTTCCGGGCTATTAGATGCGCTTTTAAGCCTCTAACCGCATCAAAAAACGACCGCGCGCCACAATCCAGAGCGCCCTATACACGAATCCACTCTGGTGTCCCAGCACGACTTCAGTAAAGTACAAACGGAGCAGACAGCGACTGCACAGCGAAACACACCCACAGACACACTCATCACTCCACGCCGACGAGGAACGGAACGGAAGAACGAACCGAAAAAGCGAGCGCAATGTGCCAAATTGAGTCATTGCGACCGATCCGTTGGTCCCAGACAGCACCCTCCCTACACGCCACAACTGAACAAAGCCCAGAGTCACCGTGAACGCCACAAAACAAAGTCCCACTGACCCATCCAACTGTTGTGTCCAGTGCGGTTTATTTGTGAAAAAAAGTTTGAAAATAGCCCATTTAATGCAACCAATAATGCGTCTTATAATCCAGAGCGCCTAATAGCCCGTAAAATACGGTAACTGAAAAAGACCCTTACCTCAACTATCTCAGCTATTGAGAAAGCGATTACATGCACACACACTGTTTAATTCATGGGACTAATAACCGTTTCTTATTTTTTAGGGTTGCTTGTTGTAGAATTAGTTTTAAATATTTCATAAATGTGACCTATACGTGACACCTGTTCTCAAATATGAAGTAAACGTGTTAAAAATGCTATTACTGATAACTCTAGTTTATTCTTCATTACAAAAACATTGGACTTGATATAAAGTTTCTAATCAGAAAGCAGCATGAGCCTCACACTGTGGAATGACTCTAACTAAACCCAGTTGGTTTACATCTTAAACCTGTTAAAGACCTACTAATGCTGTACAATTAATTGGATTTTGATCGCGATTTAATTCATTTATCAAACGATCTCAAAACTCATATAATTGAGGTGAACGATTTAGCTTAACAAAGTTTGTTTTGGGATATTTTTATATAAATTTGTATATTCATTTTATTGTTTTAAATATAGAGATTGTAGAACAGCTGGATATTTAGTTTATTTTGGATACATTTTTTTTTTTTCTGCCTTATTTATATTTTAAGTATATTTTATTCATTTTATGTTTTATACTATCGCAAAACTGCTCTAAGGTTCATATTTGTAGCCTGTATTTATTTTCAATTTGAAAGTTTTGCGTAAATTATCAATAACAAAGTTTTGTTGTTTTTTTTGAGAGAGAAAGAAATGCTGAATAAATGCATCGTGTAACTAAAAAAATAATAATTTGAATAATCGTGAATTTGAGTATTGACCAAAATAATCGAGATAATGATTATTTCTTTTTACTCTAATTTATTCTTAATTACAAAAACATTGGAAACTTTATATCAAGTCCAATCGGGAAGCAGAATGACTCTTAACTAAACCCAGTTGGTTGACATCATAAATCTGTTAGACCTGAATAGTCACTGCCTAAACCCCAGCACCTCCAGCCAATCCTGACTCAGTGCTAGTGCAGCCTCTGCAGCTCAGGGAGGGAATTCTGCAGGTTCTGAGCTTCACATGAGGCTTGTCAATATGCTGAGAATGAGACAACCTGGGATGTGTCTATCTGCAGGTTTTTATTAATTTTTTATGAATCATTGCATTTATATAATGCCTTTCAAGATCCCCAAAGCACTTTACAGATCATTATTCATTCACTCCACACTCAGTGGTGGAAAGATATTACTGTAGCCACAGCTGCCCTGGGACAGACTGATGGAAGCGAGGCTGCCAATCAGTGCCATCGGGCCCTCTGAGCACCACCATCACTCACACACACACCACTTTCATACTAGACAATGTGGTTGAAGTGTCTTGTCTAAGGGCACAATGGCAGTTTTGTGACTGGCGCCCCCCTGTGGCACCTGGAAGTCCCTGTGTTTCCCATCCAAGTCCTGACCAGGCCCGGCCCTGCTGAGCTTCTGAGATCTGATGAGATTAGTCTTTGACAAGCCGGTATGACCACAGGTGAAGGCTCCGTGGACACAGGTTCAGTGGTGACTAATATTTTTTTTTTTATAACCAGTAAGGATGTCAGCTACATGTTTTACCTTCAGATCTCCTAACTGATTATTGCTCTGTCATAATAATATCCTCCTTCATCTCTGTCCCTGTTGAATCAGTTACAGTTAATTTAACTTCAGCAAGATTTTATGTTGTTTACTTTATTTCCCACAGGATCTACTGCTTAGAGACCAAAGACGACCGCCAGGACCGTCTGGAGTTCCTGGATAAACAGCTGGACCTGCTGACGCTGGACTGTAAAGCAAAGATCAAGACGATCACAGAAGAGGTGGAGAGACAGGTGAGCCGTGGTCAGGTGACATTACTCTGGTGTGTGTGTGTCGGTGTTTGTGTCTGTGTTTACGCTCTAAGTTCCTCTGGGATGTTCAGGTGTCCAACGCGATGGCCGAGGAGATCAGGAAGCTCAATGTCCTGGTAGACGATTTCCACCTGGACTTCCACCCTTCCCCTGTGGTCCTCAAGGTCTACAAAAATGTAAGTCACGCTCAGAAACAGACACATGCTCCCTTCAGAATAACGGCAAACATTTTAGGGCTCTGGGCTCAATCATACGTTGTAACTCTTTACAGATCTTATATTACACAGAAGTGAATCTCGTGAGCTTCAAGCCGTGTTAGAACGCTGATACCTCCTCAAAAACAGACTCTTTATTATTAGTCTGTCCACATCTTTAAAGCTCAAAATGCTCTGTTCCTCCTTGTGATGTGATGAGGTTGTAGATTTCAAGTGAACAGCTTCTTTTACCTTTAGTTCAGTAGAAATTGGCCATTTCAAGGCTCCAAACAATTCTACTCAAGGTGTATGGAGTTTAAAAAGACAGTGGAACAATTATTGTATTACTACATAGGCTAAATCTGCAGGGTTTGTGTGTTAAATGTGTGAATGAAACAAAACTCAAAAACGCAAATCCAGGTCTGTTTGTGACGAGGAACCTACATTAGAACAAAGATCAGAAAATGGTGTAGTATGGGCCCTTTAATGCTACAGCAGGGCAGCCGCAGGGTCTTAAAAGTCTTAAAAAGGTCTTAAATTTCATGTTCCTATATTAAGGTCTTAAAAAATTCTGTTGTCCAAGTCTTATTTTTTCACAAAGCCTATTTTTATTTATTTTTTGTAAACTCTACCGGGCTGCAGCGCGATTTAAACGGAGGGAGGAAAAAAATACAACATGTAACGTGAATGAGCGTCTAATTTGGAGTTTGCGCAAACAATACTTTGGTTTCTGACGCCAGCAGCAATGAGTAAACCATCAGCAGTGTTGGGAGTAACGCGTTATAAAAGTAACAAATTACAGTAATGTGTTGCTTTTTGCTGTAACGCAGTAATGTGGCGTTACAGGGGAAAAAACTGTAATATTTTACTCGGTACAAATGTGAGTAACGCGCGTTACAATGCATTTTTAACCTGGACTGAAGTGGTGTGTTTTTCTTCATACAAATTCGTTAAAATCACCGCGATATCAGCAGCGATGAAACGCTGGAGACGTGGCCGCATAGACCGCCAGGTAACCGCGGTAAACCGTAACGACTCTAGAGCCACATCAGCCCATTTGACATTATAATGTGTTTAATTCAGTTTTGCGCAACTCTCACAGAAACAAAACTTAAAACCGCATGGATAATTTACATAAACTAAGCGAAGATAAAACTAAAGCTCTTGTGTCGCTGATGCTGTCAATTTCTGTCGGATTAAAAGACATGACTCAGGTGAATACAGGTTAGTGTTTCCAGATTTGCGTTTGTCAAAACCAGGACAGCGTACGGGGGGAGGGAGGTGAGGACTTATCATCGACATTGAGCGACTCTCACCTGTTAAAGCTTTTTCCCACTGGACACCGAAACATATGTGCTGCTTTATACACTGTGCACATGGACTCACACTTGTACAAGAAATTCCATGCTTTCTGTTGCGTTCGGGACAAGTCATCGTTAAATCCACATTTGTGCTTCGGTACGTTGCAGACTGACCCACTGTTTGTGTCTCGCTCCTTCTGATGCAGAGACACATGTACACACCTGTTTGGTCACACTACACACAGCAACCTACATTTGATTTGTCGATTAAAATTAACGTAATCGATGAAATTCTTAATGATTAATTATCGATTAATCGACTAATCATGCCCATCCCTAGTCCGCAGTACAATTTTGTTGCTTATTTAGTGGAAGGAAACTTGTTTAACACTTGTTTAACACTTGACATATTGACTGTTTTGATGATTGAAATAGATGTGTTTCATAATAAACTTTGCACAGGTTGTAGTTTAAGAAAGAAATACTGTTGTTAAAATGTGTGTGGTTCTTAAAAAACAGAAATATATCATGAGCCATATATCGTATTGAATCGTGAGGGACGTAAACAAGATCATATTTCGATTTTTATGGTCTTATCAGCCTGTCCTCCTTATATGATCACGTATCTGTGTGCAGGAGCTTCATCGTCACATAGAGACCGGTCTGGGCAAGAACATGTCCCACCGCTGCTCCACCTCCATCAACTCTGCTCTCCAGACCACACAGACTGAGATGATCGGTGAGACCTCCTCCTCATGTCCCTCTGTGTCCTAAACTCAGAACATGTTTGTACAGATCTAAACTACAGGGTTTAAGGTTTTATTCAGAATAAGACTGGAGGTTGTGTTGTTTGCGGAGGAGGAAATTATGGTATTTCCAAATTTGCAGTTGCAGTTGTGATTTGCTAATGTACTTGTCCTACTATGATATTATATGATCTGGACATTAGATACTTGCACTGCTCTGCTTTAAAGGTTTTATTTAAACTTAACTTAGTTCCATAATGTGCCTTTTTAAATCGTAAAAGTAAATTGTCTTACTTGTGTTAGAAATTTAGTTTATCAATCTCTTTTATTTGCAACCTCCAACCTTTTTCCTCTGGTGAGCTACTTTTACAAAACAAAAGTGCCAGAGAGCTGCTCGTTTGAGAGGTACAGGCCAATATAAGCAATAGATGCAGCAAGAATTTCGGACTTCCGGTCATTGCGCAATTCATACTGGGAAGGATTTTCCGAAAAAGTGAGCATCAAACCTCCATGTTTGTTTTCCCAGTGGGATGTGTCTATTGTCAAAGTCGATCTTTTCAAGTCTTTTGAACCATATCACTTTTGTTTCTGGTTCTGATATTGTCATATTTTAGTTTTGGGATTCGGACATCGTAATTGTGTGGTTGTTGGATCCTAACAGCGGAAAACGGCTTGAGAAACGGGTTTCAAAAGTTTGTGAACTCCATAACTGCAAAAGTAAATCAGATGTGTGTGACTGCAAACCTCTGTTCAAACTGTTTCTCTTCCCAACGGAATTGAAAAATAGTGAAAGGTGAAGGTGATGGGCAGGATTGATCCACAGGAAGAACCAAAAAGGAAACATTTGTCTGACTAAATCATCCCGAGTTTACAGAGAACATTTTGTATGTGAAGCACCAACAAAGCAAAACCCAGATCCCTCGCTCAACCTCGGTTACGAATTTAAAAGGTCAACGCCAAAGTGAAAGGCTCCAACTGTTCACCAAGAAACACCTTCCACTGCAAAGAGACCAAGACGTGATGTTTCTGTAAAACCACAAGAACAAGAAAGTGCAGCTCAGTCTGTTTGTCTTCTGCTCCTCTCCATTAACAAACGGGATTTTGCTTTTGTTGTCGCTCCACATACAAAATGTTCTCTGTAAACTTGGGATGATTTAGTCAGTGAAATGTTTCCTTTTTGGTTCTTCCTGTGGATCAATCCTGCCCATCGCCTTCACCTTTCACTATTTTTCAATTCCGTTGGGAAGAGAAACAGTTTGAACAGAGGTTTGAGTCACACACATCTGATTCACTTTTGCATCTATGGAGTTCACAAACAAATTTCTCGAGCCATTTTCCGCTGTTAGGATCCAACAACCACACAATAACGACATCCGAATCCCAAAACTAAAATATGACAATATCAGAACCAGAAACAAAAGTGATATGGTTCAAAAGACTTGAAAAGATCCACGTTGTTTTCCTGGTGTGATGCGTCTATTGACAAACATGGAGGCTTGATGCTCACTTTTTCGAAAAATCCCTTCCTAGTATGGATTGCGCGATGACCGGAAGTCCGAGATTCTTGATGCATCTATTCTTGGGATTATAATAGAAATAATTCACAACAAAATTTTGTCAAGGTATTTTAAAAGCCAAAAAGTGTCCCATCTTTAATTATTAGCCTCTTCAAAATATCGCAATAAATATCGTACCGTGAGATACAGATTGTGATAATATTGTACTGTAAGATTTGAGATTTGGATATTGTTACATCCCTAAATGTTTTACCAAATGACTAGTCAAAGTATTTTGTAATGTCAGTCTTGTTATTATGTATAATATCGTGATATCGTGAGCTTTCCCACGATATCGCAATAAATATCGTACTGTGAGGTTCATACCGTGACAATATCGTATCGTGAGACTTGGATATCGTTACACATCTATCAATAAAGGTATATTTATCTCTCCATCTCCCCTTCTCTCTCTCACAGAGGGTCTGAAGCCCCTGCTGCCCTCCGAGGTGTGTGAGCAGGTGGATAAGCTGGTTCCCCGTCACTGCTTCAGCCTCAGTTACGATCTGGCCTGCGACAAACTCTGCAGCGACTTCCAGGAGGACATCGGCTTCCACTTCTCTCTGGGCTGGACCATGTTAGTGAAGCGTTTCCTGGGGCCCCAGAACACACGCAAGGCCCTCACAGGCTACAGCGAGGTGAGGACGCGTTAAAAAAAAAAGTCTGTATTATGTCAAAGCGAGAGCGTTTTTACCGCACAAAACACAACTCCAGGTCTGTTTGTGATGAGGAAACAAAATGGGTCTATAGTTTTGTCTTAACTCTTTCCCCCATGAAGACGACATTTGACGACCCCCCCCTTGTTTCCTTAATGACGTGTTTTGACTCCTCCGCTGTTTCACTAAAGACGTGATTTGACGACCATTAGAAACGGTTCCTGTTTTCACATGTAAACAGAGGCTGTGACAGGTGGGGGCCACTACAACCCACACTAGGCTGACCAATAGGATTCAAGGATACGTTTTCGCCAATTTTTTTCCGAAGTTAATCAAAGTAGTGACAATTGTAGCTTCTGGAAAAACACAACATGAAACACGAGCAACTGCGACACACAGTTTTAGAAATAATGAGGAGCGGGTGTATTTTATGGATAATTTTAGAGAAAGTGACTTTTATAGATTTCAAAGTGACGATGAAAGTGATTATAAAGTAGGAAAACAGCGACAACATCAACTTTATACTTGATTATGAACCAAAATTGCCCCAAAATCTGGATGTTGCTCAGGCCAGTCCTTTAAAATATTTCAGTCTTTTTTTCCAAGATGTGATGTATAACAGAACTGCAACACCAACAAACTCTTATGCGAAGCTCTGTGCGTGACACCCACTGACGGGGAAGAGTTTTATTATTATATTATAATAAGTAATAAATTAGTTGAATAAGTTAAATGGAAAAAATTTATTCGGCACAAACAGGTGAACAACAGGTAAAAACAGGTGTACACTTGGATTTACTGTATGTGGTGATATGAAATCTGTTTAAATACTTCGACAAATATATATATATTTTTTATAAATATAGTGCTCAGAACATGCATATATCAGATGCTGAATGTAGTTTTTTTGTTTTCGATTTTGCACCTGACCAGGTAAACTCTCATTTTCAATGAGCTGTTATAAACCTGTAAATGAGTTGAATCACATTTAAACATCCATAAATGAAGAGTTCAGAGTCTGAGGTTTCCAGAGATACAAATATGTCTGTGTTTCAATTAAAGGTTGTATAGAGGATTTTCCAAGGAACGAGAAATCCAGCGACTGTTTGTCCTTTTTCAAATGTTGCGCATGTGTGAAACCACCTCCCCTCCCCCACAGCTCCTACGTAGAAACGCCTCCTCCCTCCTCCTCCTTACGCCAGAAACAGGTTTGTTTACAGCCGGTGCTGCACATGACTTGTAAACAACTAACTACAGTGTTGGTTAGGCAAGACGGAGAAGTGAGGAGCGGGGGGAGCGGGTGTGCGGACATTTCGTTCGCGGACGAGAAGTGAGGAGCAGGGAGAGAGAAGAGGAGAGAGGAGAGAGGAGAGAGGAGAGGAGAGGAGAGGAGAGAGGAGAGAGGAGAGGAGAGAGAGGAGAGAGAGAGGAGAGAGGAGAGGAGGAGAGAGAGGAGAGGAGAGAGGAGAGGGGAGAGGAGAGGAGAGAGGAGAGAGGGAGCGGGTGTGCGGAGATTCCGTGCCCGGAGAAGTGAGGAGCAGGGAGAAGAGCGGATCGGGCAGCGGGGAGAGGAGCAGGAAAGGGGTGCAGAGAAGGTTGTGCGGAGATTCCGTGCGAATGAACTAGCTACAACACGCAGCAGCAAGCGGACTCTTTCTTTGCCTTGAAAATTACGTTTTCAGACATAGGATATCGCTTTTCGTGTCCTGAAAAACGTTTGTCTAGCTCTTGGAAATAAAGTACGTTTCCATAATAAGCAGAAGTTTCCTGTCCAGGAGTAATTTTGTGGACCAGTGCGTCAGTCTTTAGACCCTGCGTCTGCTTCAGTCGCGCCATCGCTGGAATGAATCTCCAAGAATCACCTTAGTTTGGCTTCGCTGCTTTTCCCCTTGTCTTCTTCTTTCAGCGACCTCAAAAACGGACTTTCTTTTGCGGCGAACTGCTCCTGGATTCTTGTCGCCATTGCAACAAACTTTGTGCGAACTGCGAGGAAGATATAGGTCAAAAAAAGCCGCTAAGAACTGTTGTGTTGGTGGAGTAAACAGCGTCTGTGCGTCTTGCGTCTGTGGACTGTGTGACAGTCGTACGTAAACCACGTAACGGCGGCGCAGGCAAGTCAGTTACACTAGAAACGTAGGGAGATTGATTGACAGCCTGTCAGCTCACAGATAACGAGGCAGTGTCGTTATCTATTGGCAAATGTTTAGCCCCACCACGTCCAGAGTTGATTAATTTTTATTCTCTTTTTTTTGGTCATCATAATTACAAGGCTACTGCACCTTTATAATGCTATCATTGACAACTTGAAACAAAAAAATAAATAAATAAATCCTCCATACAACCTTTAAGTTAATGAGTGTGAAAATCATTTATAATACTCGTGGAAGTCTGTTTTCTTTTATGCTTTTATGCTCTATGGGCCTAGTCATATATGTACGGGTTGTTCCTAGTCGGCGTCCAAGGGGGAAAGAGTTAAAGGGCCTCTATGTGCGGCATGTCTGTAATAGAAGGTCATTTATATTCAGTCCTGAGTAACTACTGACTGTTATTTTTATAGATTTACGTTACTGTGTCATTCAGTGAGAACAAGAGTGTGCAGCTGAGAGTGTTCAGTCAGTGCGCTGCTGCTTGTACAAACAATATGCAAAAGAAAAGAGAATTGCTCCGCAAACAGAAGTGTGATAAGCCACGGAGCTGAACTGAGCCCTGAAAGAGACTCTACAGCTCGGCCCAGTCGGAGGAGGTGGGCCAACGTGCTCATGTACACGCACAGTTTATGTTTGCAAACCCTGTGTGCGGGCGGGGAGAGGATGGAGGATAAAGTGAACGAACTCTACTCCAAAACTCACAGCAAATCCGCGTTTAGGACTGTGACGGACAGAAGTTTCGAAGCCTCATCTCCTGTTTGCCTTTCTTGCTTTTGTTAAATCCATAAACTCACAGGAGCATTTTCACAGTAGGACTTGTTATTATTTATTGATTATTATAATTACAGTTTAATAATAAATATTTCAAGTTGCTGGACCTGTTTTCTCCACTAAAACGGTAGCACTTCTGCGCAACATATAAAAAAAGAAACAGGGCGGCTTAAAAGTCTTGAAAAGGTCTTAAATTTCATGTTCTTAAATTAAGGCTTTAAAAAGTCTTAAATTATGTTGCCCAAGTCTTAGTTTTTCCACAAAGGTTTTAAATTTCATTAGCCTGTTTTTTTGTGAACTCAACCGGGCTGCAGTGTGATGTTAAATGGAGGGAGGAAAAAAAACAACAACAAAATGAAATCATGTAACGTGAATTTGTTTACTCATTGTGCCAATAACCAATCAGTAGAGTGGAGGAAGAAGCTGGATGAATCATGGGGAGGTGTAGGTTTAGTCCACAGCGGCTCTTAGATTCTAGATATAATACTGTAGTTGGTTGGTTATTTATTCGAATTTGATCTGGTGTTTTTTGCCCGTGTAATCGGCACGATGTTGGTCTTAAAGGTTGTATAAAGGATTTTCCAAGGAACGAGAAATCCAGGGACTGTTTGTCCTTTTTCAAATGTTGCGCATGTGTGAAACCACCCCCCCTCCCCTACAGCTCCTACGTAGAAACGCCTTCTCCCGCCTCCTCCTTACGCCACAAACAGGTTTGTTTACAGCCGGTGCTGCACATGACTTGTAAACAATTAACTACAGTGTTGGTTAGACAAGACGGAGAAGTGAGGAGCGGGGGGAGCGGGTGTGCGGACATTTCGTTCGCGGACGAGAAGTGAGGAGCAGGGAGAGAGGAGAGGAGATAGGAGAGAGGAGCGGTGCGCGGAGATTCCGTGCCCGGAGAAGTGAGGAGCAGGGGGAAGAGCGGAACGGGCAGCGGGGACAGGAGCAGGAAAGGGGTGCAGAGAAGAGTGCGCGGAGATTCCGTCCGAATGAACTAGCAACAACACGCAGCAGCAAGCGGACTCTTTCTTTGCCTTGAAAATTACATTTTCAGACATAGGATATCGCTTTCATGTCCTGAAAAACGTTTGACTAGCTCTTGGAAATAAAGTACGTTTTCATAATAAGCAGAAGTTTCCTGTCCAGGAGTAATTTGTGGACCAGTGCTTCAGTCTTTAGACCCTTCGTCTGCTTCAGTCGCGCCATCGCTGGAATGAATCTACAAGAATCACCTTAGTTTGGCTTCGCTGCTTTTCCCCTTGTCTTCTTCTTTCACCTCAAAAACGGACTTTCTTTTGCGGCGAACTGCTCCTGGATTCTTGTCGCCATTGCAACAAACTTTGTGCGAACTGCGAGGAAGATATAGGTCAAAAAAAGCCGCTAAGAACTGTTGCGTTGGTGGAGTAAACAGCGTCTGTGCGTCTTGCGTCTGTGGACTGCGTGACAGTCGTACGTAAACCACATACCGGCGGCGCAGGCAAGTCAGTTACACTAGAAACGTAGGGAGTTTGATTGACAGCCTGTCAGCTCACAGATAACGAGGCAGTGTCGTTATCTATTGGCAAATGTTTAGCCCCACCACGTCCAGAGTTGATGAATTTTTATTCTCTTTTTTTTGGTCATCATAATTACAAGGCGACTGCATCTTTATAATCTATCATTGACAATTTGAAACAAAAAAATAATAAATAAATCCTCCATACAACCTTTAATTTTCATGTAAGTGGTCTTAAAAATGTCTTTAAAAAAGTCTTAAATTTGTGATAGTCAAACGCGGAGATACCCTGAGAAAACTCTGTGTGACGACATCATAGATCTTTTTCACAACGGCCTGGAAATGCCGCGCTGTAGGTTTGTGGAACTTCCGGTTAATGATTTTCTGTGGCAAAATGTGTGTATGAAAGTGTCTGTCGTATTCTCCAGCAGCTTCATAAATCTGCCAAATCACCAAATCTTCAACAAGCTCCACAAAGGATAAACATTCTGACATGAAGAATTTATCCACAACTATCAAGGGAAGAAAGACGAAAACTTAAAGGAGAACGACGACGACGCATTAGTGACACACTGAACGAAACTAACGTATTTTAATGAGTAAAACATGGCTGACTCAGACTGATTCTACAATTAAAATAAAAAAATTGATTTTATGATGTCGATATTACTACAGTATACTATTACTGTCGACTGTGAGACATGTAATCTGTGAACATCTCATTTGGACTGCACAAATCTCTATCTATGCTAATATTTACATAATTTATTTATTTTTTTTACCTGGTCCCCGAAGGTTTGACCAGGTTTTGTATTCACCATGTATCTGTGTGTGTGTCCACCCACGATAATTCCGCCATTTATGGACCGACTGTCACCAAATTCGGTACCCGAGTCAATCCCCCGTGCCCGATGCCTCAAAAAATATAATCTGGTGACGATCCGAGGTCATTTGAAGTCACACGGGTCAATTGAAAGGTCACGCCGTTATAAAGGATCGGCCATTTCGGCAATTTCTGAACCATCTGCGAGCTTAAATATTCACCCGATCATCACACAAGTTGGCACACACATAACCGGGGTATGGGCCGGGCTCCTCATAAGCTGGCTTCCGTGGTGATGCCTCATGGGGGACCAGGTTGCCATCTCTGATTGCGCTTGTTTTATTCTAGAATCAGTCTGAGTGAACAAGTTACTCATTAATGAATTACTTATTACTCCTGTTTTATTCATGACCATAACATTAGTTTTGTTCAGTGTGTCACTAATGCGTCGTCGTCGTTTTCCTTTTAAGTTTTCGTCTTTCTTCTCTTGATAGTTGTGGATAAATTGTTCATGTTAGAATGTTTATCCTTTGTGGAGCTTGTTGGTTGAAGATTTGGTGATGGGGCAGATTTATGAAGCTGCTGGAGAATACGACACACATTTACACAGATATTTTGACTAGAGCCCGACCGATATATCGGTTGGCCGATATGAGTAACGGAGGCCATATCAGCTATCGGCCGATATACTTGCTGATACGGGCCGATATTTCACGTGGGCATGTTATACCTCGTTATAAAGCTTTGACTCTCTACATTATGTTCATTTAATCCAATTTACAGAGAGATAAATGTCCTAATATGTGGCTCTACGTCAGTATTTATCTGTCGTGTGTGTGTGTCCGTACTGTGTCTGAACACACCCCCAGAGTCACGTGCGTTTGTTTACACCCGCAGCCGTGCTCAACACTGAGATTATATTCTTTTTAAGGACAATCAGAATAACAATAAATGTTGCCTAAATAAACCCAGTTTAAAATCCACCAGAGCCAAACCTAAGTTTTTTTTTAAATAATTAAAGATTTACAGTGAATTTTTACATCACTAAATATATCGGCGATTATATCGGCTATCGGCAGCTCCAACTCCCATTATATTGGTTTCATATCGGCCACAAAAAAATCCATATCGGTCGGGCTCTAATTTTGACACAGAAAACCATTAACCGGAAGTTACGCAAGCCTACAAAGCGGGACTTCTGGTCGTTGTGAAAAAGCTCTATTGGGCTGTGACTCAGGTTGTGCAGGTGAGTGAACGGCTCAAAAGTCCTAGTGTGAGTGTGACCTTTCTGACGCTGCTCTCAGAGGAAACTTAAACATATCACAGTTATTATAAATCTTCGAGTAAATCCGTGCTGTGTCGTCCCTCGTCGTACTGCACACGTTGTTCTCGTCTAAACCTGAAGCGGTACATGACACAGACTCTGATTGTGGTTCGGCGCAGGTCCCTCGGCCTCTGGCTCTGACCCCGGTGAACCCCAGCATGCCCCCGTTCCCCCAGAGCACGGTCACCCAGGAGGAGCTGATGGTCTCCATGGTGACGGGCCTGGCCTCCCTCACCTCGCGGACGTCCATGGGCGTGCTGGTCGTAGGCGGCGTGGTAAGTTTATGTGTGTTTGTGTGTTTGTGTTTATGTATATGAATCACTTTTTACACATTATCAGTCTGGAGTGGAACAATTTACAAATATTTTCAGCTGATTGGACGATTGGTAAATAAACGTGTGGGCAAGTTACTTCAAAACTGTAATTTATTTATGACTTGTTTCTGTCATTTCGTAGTAACTTGTTATATTACAATATTACTGTGTTTAAAATGTAAAATATTACACGACTATTACAACACTTTAACTTACTCTCAACAAAATAACTGAGAAGATGCCGAACCTTTGCGTCGTATATGGACTGAACCAGGACTAAACCAGGACTGAACCAAGACTAAACCAGGTCTAAACCAGAACTGAACTAGAGCTGGACCAAGACTGAACCAGGAGGACTGAACTGAGGAGGACTGAACAAGAGCCGAACCAGGACCTGAACAAGAGCCGAACCAGGACCTGAACAAGAGCAAGACCTGAACAAGAGCCGAACCGGGACCTGAACAAGAGCCGAACCGGGACCTGAACAAGAGCCGAACCGGGACCTGAACAAGAGCCGAACCGGGACCTGAACAAGAGCCGAACCGGGACCTGAACAAGAGCCGAACCGGGACCTGAACAAGAGCCGAACCGGGACCTGAACAAGAGCCGAACCAGGACCCGAAACAAGAGCCGAACCAGGACCCGAACAAGAGCCGAACCAGGACCCGAACAGAGAGCCGAACCAGGACCCGAACAAGAGCCGAACCAGGACCCGAACAAGAGCCGAACCAGGACCCGAACAAGAGCCGAACCAGGACCCGAACAAGAGCCGAACCAGGACCCGAACAAGAGCCGAACCAGGACCCGAACAAGCGCTGAACCAGGACCTAAACAAGAGCTGAACCAGGACCTAAACAAGAGCTGAACCAGGACCTGAACAAGAGCTGAACCAGGACCTGAACAAGAGCTGAACCAGGACCCGAACAAGAGCTGAACCAGGACCCGAACAAGAGCTGAACCAGGACCCGAACAAGAGCTGAACCAGGACCTAAACAAGAGCTGAACCAGGACCTGAACAAGAGCTGAACCAGGACCTAAACAAGAGCTGAACCAGGACCTAAACAAGAGCTGAACCAGGACCTGAACAAGAGCTGAACCAGGACCTGAACAAGAGCTGAACCAGGACCTGAACAAGAGCTGAACCGGGACCTGAACAAGAGCTGAACCGGGACCTGAACAAGAGCTGAACCGGGACCCGAACAAGAGCTGAACCGGGACCCGAACAAGAGCTGAACCGGGACCCGAACAAGAGCTGAACCGGGACCCGAACAAGAGCTGAACCGGGACGAACAAGAGCTGAACCGGGACCCGAACAAGAGCTGAACCGGGACCCGAACAAGAGCTGAACCGGGACCCGAACAAGAGCTGAACCGGGACCTGAAACAAGAGCTGAACCGGGACCGAACAAGAGCTGAACCGGGACCGAACCTGAACCGACAAGAGCTGAACCGGGACCTGAACAAGAGCTGAACCGGGACCTGAACAAGAGCTGAACCGGGACCTGAACAAGAGCTGAACCGGGACCTGAACAAGAGCTGAACCGGGACCTGAACAAGAGCTGAACCGGGACCTGAACAAGAGCTGAACCAGGACCTAAACAAGAGCTGAACCAGGACCTAAACAAGAGCTGAACCAGGACCAAGCCAGGACTAATCTTGGAATCTCGGACCGCCCCTGAGAGAACCCCAAGCCCATGGAGCAGGGCGTCCGCAAAGCACGATCGTGGAGTTCTGCGTCGGTCCTTTCGCCCGCGGTCACCCGACGGTCTACACGGGCGGGCGCACCTCCGGGCCCGTCCCGACATTCGGAACCGTAACGATGGCGTTTCTCCGCTGCTGATATCGCCGTGATTTTAGCAAATTTGTATGAAGAAAAACAAAAAAAAAGCCACCACTTCAATCCAGGTTAAAAATGCATTGTGACGCGCATTACTCACATTTGTACCGACTAAAATATTACCGTGTCTTTCCCTGTAATGCCACGTTACAGCAAAAAGCAACACATTACATTAACTCTTTACTTTTATACCGCGTTACTCCCAACAATAGCAACGTAACATGGAACCATAATTGTGAGTAACCTTAAATGTCTGATCACATTTAAAGCAGACTGGATTATTGCAGCTGTTTGACAAAGATGGGGTAATGATATTTTTATTTGCATCAGACTAAAGTAAGAGAGACGCTGCACTCTGTTGTCATTGGTCCTTGAACGGCAACAGTAGATTCCAGTCCTGCACACAGACTTACACATGCAGACAGATCTATGTAATCGTCTAAAAATAAGTCCAACTGTTGTTCTTCTTTGAGCCTACAGGCCATAGTGTAACTACTCATATCACTGATAATGAACGACATGCAGCGTTGGGGAGTAACAGATTACATGTACCGGAGTTAAGTAATCAGAGTACAAATTATGAGTAACTGTATTCAGTTACAGTTACTGTTTCCGTGAGTGGTAATTGGATTACAGTTACTTTGCTGAAATAAATGGATTACATGGCGGGATTTTCCTGTTTTCACATTTGGGCTATATCCCTTTTTTTTTTTTTGTAATTCCACTCATTGCCGGACACTAAACCAAGACTAAAACCAGGTCTAAACCAGGTCTAAACCAGGTCTAAACCAGGTCTAAACCAGGTCTAAACCAGGTCTAAACCAGGTCTAAACCAGGACTAAACCAGGTCTAAACCAGGACTAAAACCAGGTCTAAACCAGGTCTAAACCAGGTCTAAACCAGGCGTTAAACCAGGTGTCTTAAAACCAGGTCTTAAACCAGGTCTTACCAGGTCTTAACCCAGGTCTTAAACCAGGTCTAAACCAGGTCTAAACCAGGTCTAATTCTTACATTTGGCCCATTCATATATAGGTACAGCCACATTTTCTTTGTGTTTTGGTCGTTGTTAAGCAGCTTTTCTGCATTTTACCGAAACAAATGACAGTTTATGTTTCTATTTACTGTCAAAAATAGAGACACCTGTATAAAACTGGGACAAATCAGTGGTTTTGGATAAATCTACTGGGACAGGACACAGGGCTCAAAACTGGGACTGTCCCAGGGTAAATAAGAACGTCTGGCCACCCTAGTGTTTCCTCTTCTCTGATTTGCTGTATGTTTGTGTGCTTCCTCCTCTCTGATTGGCTTTATGTGTGTCTCCTCGTCTCTGATTGTCCGTATCCGTCCGTGTGTCCGTGTGTTCAGATCTGGAAGGCGGTGGGCTGGCGTCTCATCGCTCTGTCCCTGGGTCTGTACGGCCTCCTGTACATCTACGAGCGCCTCACGTGGACCACCAGGGCCAAAGAGCGAGCGTTCAAGAGGCAGTTTGTGGACTACGCCAGCGAGAAACTACAGCTCATCGTCAGCTACACGGGGTCTAACTGCAGCCACCAAGTCCAGCAGTGAGTCCAAATCTCCAAATGACTGTATACAAATGTATTTATTTAAAAAAAAATATAGGGACAAAACACATTAATGAACATATACATGATATGTAAATATGTTATCAGATTATAGCCCAAGGCTAATTTCCATCTGCTGTCCCTAGGCAGGTTGATGTAATCATAAAACAAAAGCACAGTAAAAACAATACACCCCGACAGACAATACAATAATACAAATAGACAGACACAAAGAGCTGGTCAGTCACAAGATCACAGACACAGGTCAAGCAAAGGATGTTGGATTATTTGATCAAAATTGCACGCTGCCTTGTTTAGTTAAGATGCCAGTGTATAGATATTGCACACAGCCCATTGCTAAAATTACTATAAAGTGCTTTTCTACAATGTATTGCACGTGCCCTCGAAGGTAAAATTCTTTAGTATATTACATATTGCCCGTAATTTAAATATTAAAATACTTAATAAATAGCATATTGCACTTTGCCCATTGCACATTGTAAACTATCGTAAATGATCACACACCTGTGTCGACCTGAGCCATGTCTTTAAATGGCCTTTAAAAGTCGTAAAGCTGGGGGAGTCTCTAACTGTGGGTGGTAAACTGTTCCACAGAACACTGCCCTTATATGAAAACACATTTTGACTGAAAGAGGTTTTTCTATCAGGCACCTCACAGTCACCTCTGTCTGTGGCCCTGGAGGAGCGACATGTAACACTTGACCTATACCTGATATAATCACTGAGTGGAGGTGGAGCTAAACCGTGCAAAGTCTTATACATCAAACAGGCATTTCTAAATTTTATAAAATTCTGAAAGCTCTTTAAGGCTATTTAAGCCTTCCAAACGGTCGCTGTAAATCCTTGTTCGTGGTGTTTTCAGGGAGCTGGCGGGCATGTTCGCTCAGCTCTGTCAGCAGGTGGATGTGACGAGGCAGAATCTGGAGGACGAGATCAACGAAATGAACCAGAAGATCGAGCAGCTGGACGGACTGCAGAGCAAAGCCAAACTCCTCCGGTAAGAACCACCAAAAGTACAGACGACGACTAGAGCTGGGGATCATTAAGACGCTCCCGATACGATTCAAATCCGTGTATCGTTCGTTCATTCGTTTTTCAATATAAAACCAAAAATAAGAAAACGAAAAAACAACTATTTTTTTTATTATTTGTCTCCAAAACCGAAATGAAAAAACAGATAATGATTTGTTTTTTCAGTTTTCGATTTTGTGTTTAAATGAAGAATGGAAAAAAACTGATAACGTCCGTTTCCCGTTTACGTGACTTCCGTGACTGAGATGCCGGACTTTTGAGCCGAATACGAACTGAACCAGCACTGAACCAGGACTGATCCAGGTCCGGGACCAGACCGGGACCAGAGCGGACTCCGAGCTTTGACTCTGAGCCTCCGCAGGGTCCGAGCCTCAGCTTCGAGCTCCGGCCCTGCAGTGGGCTCTGAGCCTCCGGCCTGGTCTCGGTCTCAGTCTCGCTCTGGTCCCGGTCTGGTCCCGGTCTCATTTCTGATCTCAGTCTTGGTCTGGTCCCGGTCTGGTCTTGGTCTCAGTCCTGCTGTGGTCCCGGTCTCAGTTCTGATCTCAGTCTTGGTCTGGTCCCCCGCTCTGGTCCCGCTCTGGTCCTACTCTGGTCCTGATCTGGTCTCGGTCTGGTCTCGGTCTCAGTCCCAGTCTGGTTCCGGTCTTATCCCGTTCTGTTTTTTCATTCTTCATTTAAACACAAAATTGAAAACTGAAAAAACGAATCATTATCTGTTTTTTCATTTTGGTTTTGGAGACAAATAAGAAGAAAACTGTTGTTTTTTCATTTTCTTATTTTTGGTTTTATTTTGAAAAACGAACAAATGACACACAGGATTCACCGAGACTGTTTTTTGATTGGTGTAATTTAACATAAACTTTAAATATAAACATTGGAAATAGAGGCCGAAACCTGCTTTTTGTTTAACACTAAAACAGAAAAATGAAATAACAAACTGTTTTCCCATTTTATTGTTTTTCGTTCTTAATTGAAATTCAAAAGACACAGCTCCTCCTTTTACATTTATTCAGTTACAGGTGGTTTTACAGCTCCAAAAATACCTCGAAAAACAAACATTCTGATCTGATCTGACCTGTAACTTGGTCTGGTTTGGTCTCCATGAAGATAAAAAGGTAACGGCTTTATCGCTCTTGTTTTTAACTAACTGGGTTTTGTGTTTTTTCTCTCGTCTCAGGAACAAGGCGGGCTGGCTGGACAGCGAGCTCAACATGTTTATCCAACAGTATCTCCAACACAGCAGCAAGTGAAGACCTCCCCAGCTCCTCCTCGAGATCTGCTCCAGACCCAGACCTGCTCCAGACCCAGACCTCCTCCTCGAGATCTGCTCCGGACCCAGACCTCCTCGAGATCTGCTCCAACCCAGACCTCCTCGAGATCTGCTCCAGACCCAGACCTCCTCCTCGAGATCTGCTCCGGACCCAGACCTCCTCCTCGAGATCTGCTCCGGACCCAGACCTCCTCCTCGAGATCTGCTCCGGACCCAGACCTCCTCCTCGAGATCTGCTCCGGACCCCAGACCTCCTCCTCGAGATCTGCTCCGGACCCAGACCTCCTCCTCGAGATCTGCTCCGGACCCAGACTCCTCCTCGAGATCTGCTCCGGACCCAGACCTCCTCCTCGAGATCTGCTCCGGACCCAGACCTCCTCCTCGAGATCTGCTCCGGACCCAGACCTCCTCCTCGAGATCTGCTCCGGACCCAGACCTCCTCCTCGAGATCTGCTCCGGACCCAGACCTCCTCCTCGAGATCTGCTCCGGACCCAGACCTCCTCCTCGAGATCTGCTCCAGAGGGAGGATCCACCAAGCAGGCCTGCTCCGTCTGACCTCTGAGCGACGGGTCTGGGGCGCAACCACGTATTAACCGCAGTCTAGAGGACGAGAAAAGAACAAAATTATACAAAAAAAAAAAAAGATATTAACCTTAACTTAAGCTATTTATTTTCTTCTGCTAGAAAAAATGACTCTGACGTATCGCGATAAGAGAAGGATTTTCATCGTGTAACTTTTCCGGTGGAGGGTTTGTCGAGAGCTTTAATTCGTGTATCGTTTGTGCGTTCGTTTTTCGGAATAAAACCAAAAATAAGAAAACTAAAAAAAAACAACTATTTTCTTCATTATTTGTCTCCGAAACCAAAATGAAAAAACAGATAAAGACAGTTTCCTGTTTACGTGACTTAAACTCCGATGCTGGACTAAACCAGGACTAAACCAGGACTAAACCAGGACTAAACCAGGACTGAACCAGGACTGAACCAGGACTGAACCGTTTTCAGTCCTGGTCTGGTCCTGGTCTGGTCCTGGTCTGGTCCTGGTCTGGTCCTGGTCTGGTCCTGGTCTGGTCCCGGTTCCGGTCTGGTCCCACTCTGGTCCCACTCTGGTCCCACTCTGGTCCCAGCTTCAGTCCTGGCTTCTGTCCTGGTCCCGCTCTGGTCCCGGCCTCAGTCCCGGCCTCAGTCCTGGTCCCGGTCTGGTCCTGATCTGGTCCCAGTCTGGTCCCAGCCTCAGTCCTGGCCTCTGTCCCGGTCCTGGTCCCACTCTGGTCTCAGTCTAGTCCCAGACTCAGTGCTGGTCTGGTCCAAGTCCTGGTTTCAGTCCCGATCTGGTTCTGGTCTTGTCCCGGACCTGGTTTAGTCCTGGTTCGGTCCGGCATCGCAGTTAAAAGCGAAAAATAATGAAGAAAATTGTTTTTCGTTTTCTTATTTTTGGTTTTATATTGAAAAAAACAGTGAACGAATGACACATGGATTCGCGTTTCTCCATGTAGATGTTATTGCTTTGTCTGGAATGTTCCACAGTATGGCATTAAACCTTTCTATCGTCACGGAGACCAAACCAGACCAAATTCCAGGTCAGATCTGTGGAGAGGCGACCCCGCTGCCTGTTTGTCTTGGTATTTTTGAGCTTTAAAACCACCTGTAATTGAATAAATGTAAAAAGGTAGAGCTGTTTAATGTCACACTGTGGAACATTCCAGGCAGAGCGATGACGTATCCATGGAAACAAGCAGGTGACGGACCCCCAACACCTTTAAAAGTACACTGTGTAACTTTTCAGGTTGGGCGTCTGCTTCCGTGGAGATGCTTTCCCAGGATTACTTAGCCTGGAATGTTCCGCAATATGGGATTAAACTTATATAAGATGCATTTTTTTTCGATTTTGGGTGTTTTTATTTCGCCTCTCCACAGATCTCACCTGTAAACTGCCCTGGCGGTGTCTCCTGCTTGTTTCTAGGGAGATTGATCAATTTAATCCCATTCTTTTATCGGAGGTAATTCATAAGTAGTAACATCTCCACAGAGACGACTAACTCGTAGCAGGCTCTCTACAAGGAAAGTTACACACTGCACCTTTAAATTCAGTGATTTTCAAACCATAAAAGGATGAAGTACGTATTTAAAGTGTTCGCTTTCTTTGGCTCATCGCTGGTGTTCACATACAGGGTTTCCAAAAAATGTGACATCATTCCGCGGGGCAATAATTTAGTCAGTTCTTGTTGAAATAACCTCAGACTTTCACAGAATGTTTAGAAACAGATCAAGATTTTGTATTTAATGTTTTATTTTTGTTCTGTTTTCAGGTTGAGCCGTTCACTCCCAAAGAGAAGTCAGTTTGCGTCTTTGAATCTGCTGCACAAACTCATCCAAGACTGAGCAGCAAAATCTGACAAACTTCACCAACTGGAAACAAACACATTTGGACTTGGTGCCAAAAATTTAAAAAGAAAGGATCTGGTTTCGCCAAACCGTCATTTGAGGAATCTGGGTTTCCAAACTTGTTAATTCATGTGTCATTTGTTCATTCGTTTTTCAAAATAAAACCAAAAATAAGAAAATGGAAAAAAAAAAAAACTATTTTCTTCATTATTTGTCTCTGAAACCAAAATGAAAAAACAGATGATTCGTTTTTGTCAGTTTTTGATTTGAATAATGGAAAAAATGGAAGACGGACGTTTCCTGTTTCTGTGACTTAAACTGCGATGCCAGACTGAACCAGGACTGAACCAGGACTGAACCAGGACTGAAACCGTTTTCGGTCCCGGCCTCGGTCCCAGTCTTGGTTCCGGACCTGGTTTAGTCCCAGTCTCAGTCCCAGTCTCAATCCTGGTCTGGTTCCGGACCTGGTTTAGTCCTGGCCTCAGTCCTAGTCTCAGTCCCAGTCTCAATCCTGGTCTGGTTCCCGACCTGGTTTAGTTTTGGTTTAGTCCTGGTTTAGTCCAGGTTCAGTCCAGGTTCAGTCCGGCATCGCAGTTTAAGTCACGGAAACGGGAAACGTCCATTATCTGTTTTTTTCCATTTTTCATTTAAACACAAAATCAGAAACTGAAAAACAAACATCGTTTTGGAGACAAATAATGAAGAAAACAGTTGTTTTTTTCATTTTCCTAGTTCTGCTTTTATTTTGAAAAAAACGAATGATACATGGATTCTTGTTCTGCTCACACACCAAGACACAAAATGATTTCTCTTTGGGAGTGAACGGCAGAACCTGAAAACAGAACAAAAATAAAACATTAAGAATAAAATCTTGATCTGTTTCTAAACATTCTGTGAAAATTTGAGGTTATTTCAACAAGAATTGCCCAAATTATTGACCTGCGAAATTATGTCACATTTTTTGGGACGCTGTATTTTTCGTGACGCAGGCTGGACGCTCTCATCCTCAGAGTAACGCGGCGACTTATCTGACTTTTTTTGCGTCACTTTCAATAAAATCTCGAATTCAATGCAACGTAGAGTGATTCTGGGCCTGTATTTGCACTTTTTAGCGTTTTGTTTTTGGTAAAGGATGTGTTTTAAGCTTTATGTGAAAACTTGAGTGTGAAAAGGGAAGAGGGAAGAGGACGCTGCACTGAACACGACCGCACTGTTCCCTTAAAAGGTCCCATGTTGTTACGCTGTTTTCTGATCTGTTCTAATGTGGTTTCCTCATTATAAACAGACCTGGAGTTGGCTCTGTTCACGTTTACAGGAAGACGTATTAATTAAATGAAACTTTAATTACCGTATTTTTCAGAATATAAGTCGCACCACCCAAAAAATGCGTAATGAAGAAGAAAAAAAAACACATAAGTCGCACTTTTCGGGGGAAATTCAGAGACCAGGAACCGACATTTGATCTTAAAAGTGAAGTTCTAGTAAAAAGAGTAGAAGAGAGAACAACAGACTGTTAACGTCACATATGAACAGTTCTTCAGATAAACTAGTTTACCAAACTCTCCATCTCACTCCAAATCACTAAATCCATTGTCACTTCTGAACAACTCGGCCTCGACCTCCGGAGGTAAACAATAAAAAAAAATACAGTGCACTTTCAGTTCGATACGATATATTTCAAATCGATTCGATACGGTTCAATAAAAAACAAAGGCTAAATCATGTCTGTGATACTAAAAGTCTTTGTAAAACCACTTCGTCTTGTGCAAAGTTCATATGAAACACAAACATTTTACTCATCAAAACAGTGAAAATGTCAAATGTGTCGCTTAAACGAGTTTCCTTGCACTGAACAAGAAACAAAATTGTCGCGCTGTAACAAACCAAAAAAAATACTCTTGGTGATATATCGATACAGCAGCCCACGATATCGATACTGTATCATCGCATTCAACGATACGATATACCGATACTTTGATATTTTCGCACATCCTTACTCAGCATCAGTTCCAGTTAGAATTATTCTGGTCTTTCTGAATCCCGACAGGATGGTTTCGGTGTCACTGAAGTCCAGGAAACTTTCTTTCTGCCGCTCGATTATCGTTTTCAGATGCAGATTTCACGACTTGCAGTTTGTAATCTGCAGAATCTGATTTTGTTTTCGGGACATTTGTGTTCAGTCTTCTCAAGTCTTTGTCTTTATAAGTTTAAAGTTTAAATAGTTCAGTGGTGCAGAAGTAACGGTGCGATCGACTGACATGATACAGACAGGACAGAGGCTCTTTCTGCAGGAGACATGCGCAGTAAAGCCAAGTGACAGTGGTGCAGGAGGAACAGGAGCAGCAGATACTCACACACAAGCCCGCAGCGCCCTCTTGTGGCTGTCAGTGTGAAAATTTTAATATATAAGTCGCAGGAAACATCCAAACCATGAACTAAAGTGTGACTTTAGTCCAAAAAATATGGTATACAAATTAATCCACAATTTATAAAAGGAAAAAAAAGACATGTAGATGAAGAAAACCCGTCCATTTTCTCACTTTCCCAGATTTTGTCAGAGTTAAATCGCCAACAAAACCCGAAGGAAGTCGTCATCCTCACGTTTTCAAATTTAGTCTTCTGATTTTGTGCCCGTTGTGTTTTGTTTCATTCACACGTTTAACACACAAACCCTCTGAAAACGCCGTGTTTTTAAACTCCACACACCTTCACGAGAAGCATTTGGTTGATTTCAGCCCTGGAATTGTAAATATGTAATGAACTAAAAGTAAAAAGGAGCTGTTAGAAAGTCCTGCTTCATGACATCACAAGGTGGATCAGAGCTTTTTGAGCTTTACAGATGTAGACAGAATAATAGGGCTGGTAAGAAGTAGCCGATACGATACTTACCGCGATACAGTGAGCTTTCGATTCAATACGATATATATTTCAAATCGATTCAGTACGGTTCAGTAAAAAAAAAAAAAAGGCTAAATTGTGGCTGTGACACTAAAAGTCACTTCTTGTGCAAAGTTAATATGAAACACGCCCGTTTTAATCATCAAAACAGTGAAAATGTGAAATGTGTTGCATAAACGAGTTTCTTAGCCTGATTCATCAGACGGTTTCAATTCGTGGAAACCGTCTGACCTCGCAGCATTAGGATCCGTTCGTTCGTTTTAAAACTCCACACACCTTCACGAGACGCATTTGGATGATTTCAGCCCTGGAATTGCCGATCTCTACTGAACTAAAAGTAAAAGGAGCTGTTAAACTCCTACTTCATGACATCACAAGGTGGAACACAGCATTTTGAGCTTTAGAGATGTAGACAGACTAATAATAAAGAGTTACTCAAACATGTGATTGAAACAAAACACAACTCCAGGTCTGTTTTTGAGAAGGTAACAACATTATAATGATTTAAAGCTCAAATTTTGTGTTATAAAGGACCTTTTAAACAGTTTGTGGTCAATTCAAATGATATATTTTGTTAAAAATAATCGAAACTGGCCTAAAAATATCGGCAGAGCTCATCAGCCATTGTTTGCTCTGTGATCCAAATATCGGTATCGGCCGTGAAAAAAACCCATATGAGTTGTTTTTCTAATGTGAAGAGTGCACAGAGGTGGGATTATGTCGGACAAACTACAGTAAATGTGCTGCTTTACAAGAAATGTTGGAGAAATGTTGGAACTCTGCGTTAAAGTTGCATTGCGGAACTTTTCTGGTGGAGGCTCCGTCAAACGCGACCCCGCTCAATGTTAAAATTACCAGTTTTTCGAGGTATTTTTGAGCGTTAAAACCACCTGTAATTGAATAAATGTAAAGTAGAGTTGTTTAAAGTCACATTGCGGAACATTCCAGGCCGAGCAATGACACGACCCTCCACCGGAAAAGTTACACAATGCACCTTTAGAGCGCAAACCTTAAAATGCACACGACGGGTTGGATTATTAATTTCACTGAAACAAAGTTAACGTAAAAAAATCTTGCCTATTTTTTTTTTCTATTTTGAAATTTTGCCTAGCGACCATCATGACGACAAAAGCCTAAAGTCTAAATTACACAAAAGCTGTGATTAGACAAAAATAAAAAATTAAATGATGGTTTAACTTGTCAGAAAAATGCCTTCCTTTTGCATAAACTCGCTGGATCTTGGATGATTTTGTTTTACAGCTCAGCGCTACTTCTGTATTTTTGCACTTTTCTTCAACTTCTCTCCCCAAACTGTCACTGAACTCAAGGGTCCCCAACCCCCGGGCCACAGACCACAGACCACAGACCGGTACCGGGCCCTAAACCCAGGACTAAACCCAGGACTAAACCAGGACTAAACCAGGTGTTAAACCAGGATTTATTCAGGACTTAACCAGGACTTAACCAGGTCTAAACCAGGACTAAAACCAGGTGTAAAACCAGGTCTAAACCAGGACTAAAACCAGGTCTAAACCAGGTGTAAAACCAGGTCTAACCCAGGATTTATTCAGGACTAAACCAGGATTTAACCAAGATTGAACCAGAACTAAAACCAGGTCTAAAACCGCAGATCAAAACCGGGATTAAAACGGGTCTAAACCAGATCTAAAACCAGGTCTAAAACAGGAGTAAAAAGGATGTAATCAGGTCTAAAACCAGGACTAAACCAGGACTAAACCAGGACTAAACCAGGACTAAACCATGCCGCACCACTGCAGCCCCCAGTCCTCGAAATCTTGTCGGGCATAAACCCGGTCTGTGGAGCTAAAAAGGTCGAGGACCACTGACCTGACTGATGTAAATCTGTGTTAAATATCGACCAGAGCTACTTTCCACCAAAACTATTAAAAAAACATAAAAAACCATCAACAAAAAAGTCACGTGACCTGTAGATACACGTCTCCTCACCTTTAGTCTCTAGTGCAGTCATGTCCCTCATCACGCTTAGCTCCTGATGCCTCCGGTCCTGTAGAGACTGACCCCGGGTCCGCCTCTGGTCCTGTAGAGACGGACCCCGGGTCCGCCTCTGGTCCTGTAGAGACTGACCACGGGTCCGCCTCTGGTCCTGTAGAGACCGACCCCGGGTTCGCCTCCGGTCCTGTAGAGACCGACCCCGGGTCCGCCTCTGGTCCTGTAGAGACCGACCCCGGGTCCGCCTCTGGTCCTGTAGAGACCGACCCCGGGTCCGCCTCCGGTCCTGTAGAGACCGACCCCGGGTTCGCCTCCGGTCCTGTAGAGACCGACCCCGGGTCCGCCTCTGGTCCTGTAGAGACCGACCCCGGGTCCGCCTCTGGTCCTGTAGAGACCGACCCCGGGTCCGCCTCCGGTCCTGTAGAGACCGACCCCGGGTCCGCCTCTGGTCCTGTAGAGACTGACCCCAGCTCTGCTCTGAGATGGTTTGTTATTGTACACAGAACAGATCGTTGTTCTCTGATCACACTACTGAATAAAATGATCCAGTATCTGCGCCTCATCTCACTTTATTTGACCAATTTTATGCAACAGAGTCAGATCTGTTATTATGTCCTGATAAAGTCTTACACTTGTTATTTGGGGTGTAACGGTTCGTGTGCGATGTAACGTTATGTGACCAGACCAGTTTGTCGAAGCCTGATCCCGTCAGATCTCAGAAGCTCAGATGCTGGAACCTGGTCTGGACTTGGATGGAGACACTGGGAAAATCAGGAGCCACAGGGAGGCGCCAGTCACAAAAACTGTTGTCGTGTCCTTAGGCGAGACACCTCACCCACATCGCTGGCTCCCTGTACAAGGTCCTCCTCATCACCTACAAGTCCCTCCATAACCTGGACCAGGGGTGTCAAACTCATTTTGGTCCGGGGGCCATATCCAACCCACTTTGATCCCAAAGGGGCCGGATCAGAAAACTCATGTCATATAAACCCTAAAAATAACAAAGTTCAAATATTTGCGTAGAGAAACACATTTAATTGATGAACTCTTTTTTTTTTCTTTTTTTTTTCTTTTTTTACAAAATATTATAATATTATGAACAACCTGAAACTTTAAGAAAAATACAATTTCAACACAATGTTTTAACATGAACTTGTATGTAAATAGGAATAAGTTCATTTATCTTGTAAAATCCTGCACTCGGCTCCACTTTTCTCATGTTGGACATTTTTCTGATGAGGGTGTCACGGTCAACAGTCAAAACGATCGTCCTTTAAGAGCGTTTGGAAAGAGACAAGTCTTCATTTGTGCTGCTCTGGTGGGAGGGGCCACGTACAGAGACGCTGGAGACGCTGCTGTGATAAACACCACAGAAAATTAACAAGATTTTAATAGAAAATATAATTCAAATATTTTAGTAAAAAATCACCCAAGGGCCACATTAAAGGTCTTGGAGGGCCGGATCTGGCCCCTGGGCCTTATGTTTGACACCTGTGACCTAGACCCTCCTGATCTCACCGACTTCCTCCATCTGCACTGTCCCTCCCGCCGCCTCAGATCAGCCCACACCAACCTCCTCACTCCCCTCGTCAGGACAAAGCGCCGGACCTTGGGGGACCGAGCCTTCACCGCCGCTGGCCGCCGCCCCTGCCCCCTCCCTCTGGAACTCACTCCCAAAATCCTTCAGGAACTCGGACTCACTGCAGCTCTTCAGCTCACTTCTAAAATCTCACCTGTTCAATCTGGCATTCCCCTCACGATTTCCCCGTTTTCTACAGTGTCACTTCTTTTTTGTTTGTAAAGCGTCCAAAAAAAATGCTATATAAGTCCGATGTATTATTATTATTATTATTGCCTAGTGTGAATGTGGAGAGTGTGTGAGTGTTGGTGTTGGTCAAACGGACCAATTGGCTGCCACTCTTCTGTCAGTCTGCCCCAGGGCAACTGTGGCTACAATAGTATCTTAGCACCACCGGGTCTGGAGTGACTGAATAATGCTCTGTAAAACGTCTCTGTGACAAAACGTTTGTGGAAAGCACTATAGAAATAAAGAACTAAATTACTTACGATATCCACGTCTCACGATACGATATCATCAAGGTACGATATTTATTTCGATCTCGATATAGCGAGGAGGCTCACGTTTAGGGATGGACAATTATCCATTTATTGCGATATTTTGTGGAGACTAACAAAACTGTTAATATGCTACTTTTCCCTCTTAATCCAAAGAACTAAGAGTTAAAAGTGTTAGAACTGTTATTTCTTCTTGTCGTCTGCACAGAAATGGAGCAAAGGATCATGGTCTATGTAGTTCTCTCTGTCTTTTTTATCTATTGCTGCACCATGACTTAATTTAAGCAAAGACTTGTAATTCGATATATTGTGATCGTCCACGGTATTATTGTGAGAACTGTAACGATACGATATCAGGATATTTAGTTTTTTGTTACATCCCTGCTTGTAATTCACTTTCCACATTTGTCAAAGCCCCGCACTTTGTCATTATTCATTCACTCCACTCTCTTATCCCTCCTCTTTAACACAGCACCAACACTGATCATTAACGTGTCCGACAGACTCACTCCCTCACGTCGGCGGCTCCCCTGGGGTTTTGGATGGTCCCTCTGGGTCTGTTAAGCTGCAGAAGTTACAAACTCCACTCTCATTTCTCTTCCTTCTTCTCGATTCCTTTCCTCAATTCTGCAGGAGATGGATGAGAAGCCGTCCACAGAGGAGAGTCAGGAGGAAGCACGAGCTGAGGGTGAATGAGACACTTTCCTCAGGTGCTGGTTCTGACCAAAATGACCCTATAATGAGAATTATACTAAAGATTATATTATTAAATTCATGTAGTTATTTTAAGATAAATGTGTTAAAGTGTCATTTTAATGTCATATTTAGGATTAAGCACCACGTCAGGCTTTGCTGCTGTCTCTGTACTTGTGTAATGACAATACAAACTCCTCACTATGAGACTATTTTAACTCTTGACCCTCCCTCGTGTTTCCTTTGTCGTTTCCTTCCCTTGTCTCCTCAGGATTCAAGGACAAGGAAGCGAGGAAAGAGAATTGAGACGTGTCCGTGTGCACATAAGTGTGAAGAAACATGAGACAGTCAGTGATGTCAAAAGGCGTTTTTATTTCAGTACAGATGATGTTGAATGCCCTTTTCTGTGTTCTAGTCTAGTCATCGTAATACAAACCTGTGGAGCTACAAACCCACCTCCTGCTGCTACGCTAGACTACAGCTACACACAGGAAACTACTGTTAGTATCAGAGCTAAGGACGCCAAGGCTTTTAGTTGTTCACTTCCAATCCAACACCATGAATGAGAGTACAAATACTATGAGCTGTGTTCTAGGAGGAGCTGTGCTCGTGTCCACTGTGTGAGACAGCGCCCTCTCAGGCCACAGCGGAGCATCGCAGCAGCTGTCTCTTCTGAGGTAGTCAAAGGTACAAACATGTCCACACACACTTGAGCGTCGTCTAAAATGGTCAAACTGCTCAACTGTAACATAGTTCAAAATCTATTCATCTGATTAAATATATGACATGGAGGTAGAAAACATGACTACACATTACTGCAGCTATAGAAAAATCTGTTTCAAACCTACACTTGTAGTTTCAATCTAATAGCAAAAATAACTATATTCAAAGAGTAATAATAAAAAGTGTAACGGCAAAGAGAGAACAAGTGTTAAGTGCTTAAACCTGACTGAGGCACAAGGGGCATAAGGCATCAAACCCTCTGAGGCACCGCTGAGGTCTGCCAACACTCCTGTGGAGTGTGCTGCCCCCTAGTGCCTGCTCAAATACTACAGATCCACAGCTGACACATCCACTGTGTCCCAAGTCCATATGAAGAAGCAAGTCACACAGCTGCCCGTCAGCCTGCCACTCAAAACAGTCACGTTCACGTCGACGGGAGAGTCCGGGTTTGACCTCCTGACCTTCTCAAGGTCAGGTCAACAGGCCAAAGGGAAGAAGTGCATCTACGATTCTGAGTCACACTAGAATAAACTGGAAATGGAGTTTAATAGTCGAATCCCGTTCAGTCTCTGGGACAAACTGAACCAACAGTGACGTCGCGGGGCAGCGCGCGGCGTCACAGGGGGCGTGGCAGGAACGTGGCGAGGAGCTGTAAGTGCCTTCACTGTAAGTCTCTAAGTCTCTGTTCAAGCATTGCTCTAGACGCTGAGGTAATACTGTGAGGTGTTTGGTTGTGTGGAGCTGTGCGGGGGCCTCACTGAAAGGCCTGGTAGTAGTGAGGTAGGGCGCTGGAGGGGCCGGAGCCCCCGTAGGCCTGAGGTAGCTGGTTGTGGTTGTGGCTTCCGGCCGCTGGGGGCACTTGGGTTTGAGCGGGCTGCAGGAAGAAGGGCCCCGGGGCCTGCGAGGTGAGCCCCGCGGAGGACGAGGGGGAGGAGGAGCTGGTGGGGGGGTAGTTCATGACCAACCCTCCCATGCCCATGTGGGCGCTGTAGGGGGGCAGGCCGAACGGCAGGAAGCCCAGCAGGTTAGTGGTACAGGACAGCTCCGTGCCCTCGGCCAGCCCCTCCCTCTGGGGCGAGGGGCACCCGGGGCCCACGCTGTTGAGGTGAGGCGGGGGGGCGCTCTGGAGCTCCAGCAGGAAGCTGTCCACGTCAGAGCGCGGGTATGAGGTAGATGAGTGCTGGTATCTGCCCACGCTGCTGTACGGCTGCTGCAGCGCGCCCGGCTGGGGCAGGGGCGGGGCCTGAGGGGTCACGTGACGACCCATTCCTGAGGGCAGCGCCCCCTGTGGGAGGCCATGGGGGGGCATGGGGTAGGAGCTGTACATGTCCCTGCAGAAGGGGTCCAGGGACTCCTTGGACAGGGGGCCCATGTCACAGTTTCTGGGCGAAGGTTCCTCCTTGACCGGGCACTGGGCGGGGGTGGGCGTGGCCACAGGAGTAACAGGAGCTGCGGGGGGCGGGGTCATGAGGGCGGGCTCCTGGGCGTGGCTCTTCTTCAGGTGGCGGGTCAGGTGATCCCTGCGGCCAAAGCGCTGGGCACAGCGCGGGCACAGGAAGTCCCTTCGGCCGGTGTGCACCACCGCGTGGCGCCGCACGTCTTTACGGGTGTAAAAGCGGCGGTCGCAGCGCTCACACGAGTACTTCCTCTCTCTGACAGGGACCACGGCGGCGCCCTCTGGAGGGGGGGGCCGGTCTGTGTGGCCACCCAGTTGTTCCAACAGAGAGGGGGGGGTCTGGGGACACAGAGGGGCCCCTGCAGTGCTGTGCGCCGCCACCAGGTGTCTCCTAAAGCCCAGCTGCGTGTTGTACTGCTTGCCACACTCCTGACAGTGAAAGCGCTGGCGCTCCTCTGGGGGCCCCTCTTCAGGCGGGCCCCTCAGGTGGCCCTGTGGGTTATACATGCTTCAACACCAGGAGCGGGGCACCGTACGCCGCACATTCATATTCTTCTCTCCAACGCGCTCTCTGGGACTGAGGGGGCCAATGTTTTTAGGAAAGTCTCTGTGTACCACTTTGCTTCTCTGAGAGCTGTTGCCATAACAACAGCGGCGGGCAGCGGGCAGAGCAGGGCAGCGACAGGTGCTGGGCAGGGCAGCGACAGGTGCTGGGCAGGGGCAGAGCAGGGGCAGCAGCGTGAGCACTCACAAAGGCAGCTCCTCTGAACCATCCTAGAAACAAAAACAAAGTCAAACTTTTAGTTCACAAGATTCTTCAGCTCCAGGTTGGAACTCTACAACACAACTGACACATTTAAACTACTTTAAAAGCTGCACTATGGAACTTTTCTCCCTCTGGTGAGGGCTTGAGCTGCTTGTGCTTTGTCCACAAGGTCCCACACAGATATATAAGCATATTTCTCTTACATTTACTAGATTACATGTGTGTTCTTTGTGCTCTTTTATTCTGTTCATCTTCTCACACTGAGCAGGTGTCACTTGTATCTTTGGAATGTTCCAGAGTATGGCATTAAACGCATCTTCAGACAAAGCACTAACATGTCTATGAAGTGTAGCAGGTGTCAGACTCTGTCCAATGTTTGTGCGCAGATTGGTCCTGTGAATTAGAATCGTTCCAGCTCTGCACAACACTTTAGTCACTTGTGCACATTCTGCAAAGTGCGCACGCTGCAGGGCCTTTAGCGCCATCTGGTGGCTTTTCACGGCGGAGCAGCTGGAGTTTTTATGCTTCTGTTTGAGGTTGCGAAACATGAAACTACCCACAGAAATGAGAAGAGTCGTTTGTGACTCTCATTCTAACAGTAAATGCACCGTAAGCCGGGCCCGGGGCTCCGTTCGGACCTGCGGCCGACTGGACCCGCAGCTCCCGCGGCACTCATGGCCGCTCCGTCTGCCCCGACCGCGGGGTGAGACAAGTTTTGTGCTCGAGTATGTGCGCGTTATAACAACACGAAACCAACACAAGTGTTTTAACTACGGCCCCTGTGCGCCGGGGGAGAGTTACGGGCCACAGAACCGGGTCCGTGCGCCACATCCAGAGACTAGCGGTTCACCAAGTTGTGCAGGAGTTTGCGCCGCAGGAGCTAACTCTGTTTACAGCCACAAAAGCGGCTCCTGCCCCGGGGACCGCGGACCACGACACGGCACTACTCACCGGAGGAGCCACAGAGCCGCGGACCGTCCAGCCGTCAGCCCGGCTCCAAGCGCGCATTTTGGGATGACTTTTGTTGGTTGTTTGTGGCCTGGGCCTGGGCTGGATCTGGGGCTGGATCTGCGAGGGGGCTGCTGAGCGCGGTGCTGCAGCGGGGCATGCTGGGTAATGACGTCACTCCCCGCAGAAACCCCTCTCCCCCTCCCCCCCGTTTCTCCCCCATGAATCTAGAATAAAAATATTATAGTATATTATTGTACATACACTGTGTTCTTCCTCCGCTCCCTGCGCCGCGCTGAGGCCGTGGTCTTGGCTGTGCTCCGTGGGTTATTTATTTTATTTTATTTGCAGTGTGGCTGTGGGAGGGCATCTGAGTTTTAATGCGGTACAAAAACTAAAAAAACAGTGTCACTCTTCAACATCTCACAAAGAGGTAACGATGCGCCTTCTGCCCCCACAGACTCGAGCCCGTCTCAGCTCAAACTTATGTCCCAAAACCCTCCACCTCCTCCCGCGGTGAGAGTCTGAGCTGTGATCTGTGAAAAAAAACAAAACAAAACAAAACAAAAAAAAAAAAAAACATGAACTGCAGTCACAAGGTCTGAATCTGCCCCAGGGCAGCTGTGGCCTCAGGGCAGCTGTGGCACAAAACTAGTCCAAGACTTGAGCACGAGCCGAGAGCGGTGAAGGAAAGATGTGATGTGATGTAACTGTGAGTTTCTAAAAAAGCCCAAGAACAAAATGAAATGTTTACATCACCAAAGACAGAAAACGACACGAGCTGTTTTTAAACTGTTGTTTTTTGTGTGTAACTCACATTTGATCCGAGATTATAAAAGGTAAATGTGGCTGTAGCAGAATCTCCATTTTCTCCCTGAATCCTGTCTTTGACCTTTGACCTGCTTGCTGTTGCGTTCCGTTCCGCTCGCAGAAGCGGAGCTGCGGCGCTGTGTTCGCGTCCAATACCGCGAGAAGAGCGGAGAGCGCGCGTAAAGCGCGCGGTACCGCGGCGCAGCGCAACGGCTTTGAAGCGTCTCGCTCCGCTCCGCTTCGCTTTGGTCCGCTCCGGTTCGCTTTGGTTCGCTTTGGTTCGCTCGGCTCCGCTCGGCTCCGCAGTCCCAGCGCAGCGCAGAGGCAGTGCTAGCTTTGGAAACATCCACAACACACCAGAGACATGAAGGACAAACAGAAACGAAAGAAGGAGAGGACCTGGGCCGAGGCAGCTCGTCTGGTAAAGAAAGCTCCAGTGAACGCTCCGATTATTGACGCGTCTGTTTGGATCACGATATAAACAACGTTAGAGCTGCTATTTCCTCTCGCAGCGATGCTAACTTTGTGTACGGAACATGTCCACCGTGAGTCCGTGTGTCCTCTGCTGAGCACAGACACAGAGGGCTGGACATGTGTGGACAGTGTCGCTTTTGTTGAGTCCAAAACAAAACTAAAGAGAGTCCCGTGTGCGTGTTAGTGTGTTAGCTTTGTTAGCATGTTAGCTTGTCACTCCCCTGCTGCAGATGCCTTTGTTTGCTACTCTCTTTATTCAGTCCGTTTGGACCGCGGTGTCCCCTGGAGCTCAGCTCATATGGGCCACTTTACTATTCACACTCCCGCTGTGTTTGACCCGGTTCCGCCGTCGCGGCCGCGGTTCGTTAAAGCCTCTGAGGCTCTGTGTGTGTGTGTGTGTGTTAGCATTAGCACTGTTAGCGTTAGCAGAGCCGCAGCTCAGCCCCCTCCGCGGGGAACAGAACAACACACGGCCTGGATCCTGCTCCAGGTGCCCTCACTCCACACATGTGTTCTCTTTATAGATATGACAGAGTGTGTGAGCCCGTGTGTGTCTGTGTTTGTGTGTGTATGTGTGTGTGTGTGTGCGCGGGGGGCAGTGCCAGCTGTGGTGCCAGTCCCTGTGCTGCGTTCTGATCGTGCCATCTCAAATTCCTTTGTAGAGGCGCGTTAGTGAGGGGGAGGTCTGCGCACAGCTCCTACACCACCGTGCGCTTTTGTACTCCAATGTTACACTCTGTGGACATTTAGGATCAGAATATGTTAAATAATAAATGAAAGGCCCTCACGGTCTGTGACATAAACACAGGACATGTGCAGCGGGACAAACACCGACTCCGTGTCCAACTGTGAAAGCAGGACCTGCTCACTGACCGCAGACTCCCTCAGTGTCATTATCAGGACTGAATGAGGAGCCTCTGGGACAGTGTTTGTAAAGCAGGAGGTCACTGTAACACGTGTGAGGTGTGATCTGCAGCTGAAGTAAATACAGAAGATAAACAATAATATTGGAACTAATTTATGTCACTGACACAATAATCCAAGAGCAGGATTACTATACTGTACTATACTGTTAAAAACATGAGCTGAAGTAAATAAACAGCAGAATCAAACACTTAATGATTAGTTTGTCTTTATAATGAGTCACAGAATTTATTAATTCAACCTTGTACTGCTTAGATCTAATAGTATAAACAAAGAATAACCACAGATTTCTTATTAGTTCAAAGAAAATGTACAAATGATAAATACAGACCCCAAAAGTTATTCTATCGTGTATTGAATAAGTCGATATTGTTATTGTTTTGCTTTTATATTTATGATTTAATTTAGCAATGAATAAACATTTTAGAAAGCAGCACAGACTGAAGTTGTCAGAGGAAGTCAAAATAAACTTCACGATAAATAAGATCAATTTCAACATATTTTGTATCACATGAACATTAAGTTTGGGAGAACTCCTGCTGGAAACTCAAACTCTGTTCAAGATACAGAGAGTGTTCCAGCATCTGAAATCCAAACTGTCCAATGTGTGCGTGACAACATACTTCAAAGATACTTGATACATGGCTCTTTATACGGTGATACCTGTGATAATCGATATATAACACATGATCCTCTGTGATATTCTACCGTTTTGTAGGAACTAGACACATTTTAGCAACAATATTTCTTTGTTAAAGCACCACCTGTGTAAAGTCAATATAAAATGAATCTATTTTTATCATCTAAACAGTGAATATGCCAAGTTTTTTACATAAACAAATTTCGTTCTACTAAATAAGCAACAACATTGTAATGCGGTCCCCAAAAAAATGCTAAAAGATACAAAAAAATTACCCTTTTAACATGAGGGGCCCCTGTGATGTGAGGGAACCCCGGTGACGTGAGGCACACACTGATGGTTCTGTCTGTGCAGGTCCTGGAGAACTTCTCAGATGCTCCGATGACTCCCAAACAAATCCTCCACGTGATCCAGACCAAAGGACTCAAGGAGATGAGGTCAGATGGACTCTGTGTTTTTCACTCAAACTCTTGTTCTTGTATGAAGATTCAGTCCACCAGAAATGTGCAAAAACATGTCGAGATTTAGACTCAAACTCTTTCTAATTGTGCCTTGGTTTGGTGGGATTCTACCGCTGATAAATATTTAAGGTCCTGTGTTACGCAAAATGGACTCTTGTGAGATTTAAGCCACGTCTCCTCAAAAACAAACCTGAAGTTGTGTTTTGTTTCATTTACATGTTTGAATAATCCTTTTTTATTAGTCTGGCTACATGTCCAAAGCTTAAAATGCTCTGTTCCACCTTGTGATGTCATGAAGCGGTAGTTTCAACTACATTTTACCTTTAGTTCAGTAGAGATTGGCAATTCCTTTGCTGAAGTTGGAGGTTAAAGACACAGTGGAGCACCTCCTGTATTAGCACATGACATTACAAGGTGCTTGAGAGAAGAACTAAATCTGCAGGGTTTGTGTGTTAAACATGCCTGAATGAAACAAACCACAAGTCCAGGTCTGGTTTTAATTATTATTCTAACACGGTTTAAAGGCGTCTTGTCATCTCCGGGTGGGTGGAGAGTCCCTGCCTCAAGTGGAGGAGTTCAAGTATCTCGGGGTCTTGTTCACGAGTGAGGAAAGGATGGAGCGTGAGATTGACAGGCGGATCGGTGCAGCGTCGGCAGTGATGCAGTCGCTGTATCGGACCCTTGAAGGAGCTGAGTCGAAAGGCAAAGCTCTCGATTTATCGTCAATCTCCGTTCCTCCCCTCACCTCTGGTCATGAGCTCTGGGTAATGACCGAAAGGACGAGATCGCAGATACAAGTGGTCAAAATTAGTTTCCTCCACAGGGTGTCTGGGCGCTCCCTTAGAGATAGGGTGAGGAGCTCAGTCACACGGGAGGAGCTCGGAGTAGAGCCGCTCTTCCTCAACATCGAAAGGAGCAGCTGAGGGGAGGGCATCTGTTCTGTCTCTCGGGAGGTGTTCCGGGCATGTCCCACCGGGAGGAGGCCCCAGGGAGACCCAGGACACGCTGGAGGGACTATGTCTCTTGGCTGGCCTGGGAACGCCTTGAGGTCCCCCTGGAAGAGCTGGAGGACGTGTCTGGGAGTCCCTGCTTAGACTGCTGCCCTTAGATAAGAGGAAATGGTTGGATGGGTTTAAAGCTCACAAGAGTCAATTTTGCGCCATATAAGGCAATTAAACCTTTTTATTTTTTATCTAAAATTTTTATGAGTCTAATCCAGGGGTGTCAAACTAATTTTGGTCCGGGGGCCGTATCCAACAGACTTTGATCCCAAAGGGGCTGAATCAGAAAACTCATGTCATATAAACCCCAAAAATAATAAGTTCAAATATTTGTGCAGAGAAACACAAATCTATTACAGAAATATTTTGTAAAAGAAAGTTCATCAATTAAAAAAGATTATAATATTATGAACAACCTGAAACTACGAAAAATGCAATTTCAACACAATGTTTTAACATGAACTTGTAAGCAAATAAGGAATAAGTTCATTTTTGTTGGAAAGTCCTGCACTCGGATCCACTTTTCTAATTTTTGACATTTTTCTGATGAGGGTGTCACGGTCAACAGTCAAAACGATCGTCCTTTAAGAGCGTTTGGAAAGAGACAAGTCTTCATTTGTGCTGCTCTGGTGGGAGGGGCCACGTACAGAGACGCTGGAGACGCTGCTGTGATAAACACCACAGAAAATTAACAAGATTTTAATAGAGAATATAATTAAAATACTTTAGTAGAAAATCAGCTGAGGGCCAGATTAAAGGTCTTGGATTGCCGGATCCAGCCCCCGGGCCGAAAGTTTGACACCCCTGATCTAATCCGAAAAAGAAGGTAATTTAGAAGTTTTGACCCTTTATAGTTTCTAAGTTTCTTTTAGGGACGTCCACTTGTCTCCATCCAGTGAAATTACTTGGGAAAGTCATTATTTACTCAATACTAGTTGCATAAATGTGCCATGCCAGGGTTCAAACATGGGCTTCAGGGAAAAACTGTGCCCACCCAATGCCCACTTTCCCAATGCCCATCCTCAGTGCCCCCTCTTGTGCGGTAGAGGATCCAGTTTTTAATGTTTATTTTATTACATTACATTTCATTACATATTCTGTCAATGGGCTAACTTAAAGGTGCACTGTGTAACCTTTCTGACGGGGGGGTCTCCATAGCGATGTTATTGTTTTGACTTTGAATGTTCCAACGTACGGCTCGGACATTACGATCTGTTTCCATGGATGGAGACAAGCGGGCGATGCCACCAGGCCAAGTTACAGGTCAGATCAGAGGAGAAGTGAGCCCATTCACAGTAACAATAACAACAACAATAGAATCGAATGTTTTTCTTTTTTTTTCTTTTTTTTTCCAAATTTCAGGACAAACAATCACATCTCCATGGAGACAAGCAGTGCGCAGTCCTCACCAGAAAAGTTCCATAGTGCACCATTTAAAGTCGTAGGTTTATTTTTTACCTCAGAGGCTCTTCCAGACTTTACAGAAACAATGTCCAAACTTTAAATTTCATGTTCGATTTTAGCAGAGCATTTGCAGTTAGGAGCAGCTAGGTGGCGCTGTCTTCCCTGTCAGATCATTAACTGTGCTTTCGTTCTGTGTTCCCGGACTGGTCGGACGCATTTGTGACCACGGACACTTGCTGCACACGACAGGAGGTAGGACACGGACGCAGGAACACACCACTTCACAAACTTGTACATTAAAGCCACAGTATGAAACTTTCTAGACAAAAACGACAAACAACAACAACAGCAACAGCTACAGTTAATTTTCTTCAGCTTGTTTTTGTTTTCGTCCTTACTCTGAGCGGGCTTGCTTCTCCACAAACCTGACTCCTTATTGGGAGGAAGGGCTCCACCTGCTTGTCTCCATGGAACCTTTGGAAAACGGTTCATGGATCTGTACGTTTTTATTAAATTTTTTGTTAAATTGTGGAAGATTATGGCCGTAGTGTGGTTTTAACTTTCTGTTTCCGTGGAATCATGCAGGTGACGTGCCAGGACCGCCTTCAGAAAGTTCCATACTGTGTCTTTAAACGATTTTGGGGGAATAGGGATGAGCTGTTTGTGTTTTTAGACTTGACTTTAAAGAAACACGTTGGTCAATTTTCATACAATCTGGAGACCTGGAGCTGTGTTTTGTTTCATTCACATGTTTAAGTAACTCTTAATCATTAGTCTGTCTGCATTTTCAAACCTTAAAAAGCTCCATTCCACCTTGTGATGTCATGAAACTGTAGTTTTTCAGGTTAACAGCTTCTTTTACATTTAGTTCAGTAGAGATTGACAATTCTAGGACTGACACCGTCTAAATCACGGGTCTCCAACCTTTTCCTCCGGCGAGTTACCTTTACAAAACAAAACTGCCAGAGCGACTAATTTTAACGCTCACGAAAAATTGAGTATAAGAGCCAAAACCTTCGAGGGGAACAGTTGGACGCCACTGAAACCTTTCTCCATTTATTAGTGCACAGAGTTAGACATCGAAATTATACGTTTACAATCATAATGGGCGTTTAATTAACAAAATTGTAGTTAATTTCAGCACAATACTTATAATTCTGAAACCCTTTGGCGAGATACTTCGAAGTGGGTGGAGAGCCCCAGAGCTACAGGATTCTAAATGATTCTAGTGAAGGTGTATGGAGTTTAAAAACACAGTGGAGCACTTCCTGTATTTCCTTTGAGAGAAGAACAGATCTTTAAATCTGCAGAGTTTGTGCGTTAAAGATGTGGGAATGAAACGAAACACAACTCCAGTTCTGTTTGTGACAAGGAAACGACATTTTAAAGAAGGTAACTTTTCTGGTGGAAGGTCCGTCAAATGCTTTTCTGTTATTATTTCGGCTGGAATGTTCCACACTATGGTATTAAACCTTTCTATCTTCATGGAGACCAAACCAGACGAGGTTACAGGTCAGATCTGTGGAGATGCGACCCCGCTCACAGTCAGATTGTTTGTTTTTCGAGATGTTTTTGAGCCATAAAACCACCTGCGATTGAATAAATATAAAGTCAAGCTGTTTAATGTCACAATGTGGAACATTCCGGATAGAGCAATGACATCACCATAGAAACAAGCAGGTGATGGACCAGTCCACGTGTCATCGTTCATTTGTTTTTCAAAGTAAAACCAAAAATAAGAAAACAAAAAAACAGCTATTTTCTTCATTATTTGTCTCCAAAACCAAAATTTAAAAAAACAGATAATGATTCGTTTTTTCAGTTTTTGATTTTGTATTTAAATGAAAAATGGAAAAATCAGATAACGACCGTTTCCACTTTACGTGACTTAAACTGTGATGCCGGACTGAACCAGGACTGAACCGGTCTCAGTCCCGATCCTGGTCCTGGTCTCAGTTCTGGTCTATTACCGGTCCCGGTCTGGTCCCGGTCTGGTCCCGGTCTCGTCCCGGTCTCGTCCCGGTCTCAGTCCTGATCACCCCGACAGTCTAGGTAGGCGCACCTCTGGGCCCGTCCCGATACTCAGTCCTGGTTTAGACCTGGTTTAGTCCTGGTTTAGTCCTGGTTTAGTCCTGGTTCAGTCTGTTATCTGTTTTTTCCATTATTTATTTAAATATAAAATCAAAAACTGAAAAAACAAATCTTTATCGTTTTTTTTTTTTCATTTTGGTTTTGGAGACAAATAATCAAGAAAACTGTTGATTTTCATTTTCTTATTTTTGGTCTTATTTTGAAAAATTAATGAACAAATGATACATGGATTTGGACCCTCCACCAGAAAAGCTACACATTACACCTTTATTGATCGATACTAAATATGACATTTTTTAAGACTGAATAAAAAAAATAAAAAAAAACAGTAAATGTCAGATTTTTGAGGCCAGTTTATTTTATTTATTACAAAAATAGTTTCCATAGCGACGCTCTGTCAGCCTCCACAGCCCTGGTGACTCACTGTTGTGTGTTGTGTGTTGTGTGTTGTGTGTTGTGTGTTGTGTGTTGTGTGTTTTGTTGTGTTGCAGTGGCACGGCTCCGTTGGCGTGTCTGGTCACTATGCTGCACTCCCAGGTGAGAGGAGACCGCGTCAAGAACAGCATCTTCTTCAAACTGCCCGGACGCATGAGCCTGTTCACTCTCAAGGTGCGCCTCACACTCACAAGACACACACACACCCACACTTACACACACTCACAAGACCCTCACACACTCACACACACCCACACACACACACACTCACAAGACCCTCACACACTCACACACACCCACACTTACACACACTCACAAGACCCTCACACACTCACACACACCCACACTTACACACACTCACAAGACCCTCACACACTCACACACACTCACACTTACACACACTCACACTTACACACACTCACAAGACACACACACACTCACACACACCCACACTTACACACACTCACAAGACACACACACACTTACACACACCCACACTTACACACACTCACAAGACCCTCACACACTCACACACACTCACATACACACACACACTCACACATACACTTACACACACTCACATACACACACACACACACACACACACAAGACCCTCACACACTCACACACATAAGACCCTCACACAAGACCCCCCCCCCCACACACACACACACACACAAAAGACCCTCACGCACACACAAACACACACAAGACCCTCACACACTCACACACATAAGACCCTCACACACTCACACACATAAGACCCTCACACAAGACCCCCCCCCCACACACACACACACACACACACACACAAAAGACCCTCACACAAGACACACACACACACAAAAGACCCTCACGCACACACAAGCACAAACAAAACCCTCACCCACACACACACACACACACACACACACACAAGACCCACACACACTCACACACACCAGACCCACACACACTCACACACACAAGACCCACACACACACAACCCTCACACACTCACACACACACACACAAGACCCACACACACTCACCCACACACACTCACCCACACACACACAACCCTCACACACTCACACACACAAGACCCACGCACACTCACCCACAGACACACAACCCTCACACACACAAGAAGACCTCACACTTACACACACACTCACACACACACACAAATCCCTTACACACACACACGACCCTCACACACTTACACGCACGCGCACAAAACACACACTCACACACACACACACGACCCTCTCACACACACACGCACGCGCGCGCACACACACTCACAAGACCTCCACTCACACTCAGCAGACTTGGTATTTTCTGATATTTATTTGTAAAGGGGCAGATTACAGAACAAGTTGAATCTGTTTTTATTTAAACACAGTGTTTCTTTGTACTTTTTCTTTACAAATAGTAGTTTTTGCCTGAGCTCCCCTGCAGGTGTAAGTCTTGTGAGTCAGTTTTGGGTCAGACACATAGAGATACAGAATAGTTTTGAGTAGAGATACTGGTATCGAATATCGGCGCTGATAATGCAAAATTTGCCGGATCGGATATCGGCTTTCAAATACTGATTCTGCCGATATCCTTGCTGGACATATAAATTGATGTTATAAGACTGTTTAGTGATCATTGGCCCACAAACTCATAATGTTTGAACTTTTGGGTCAGTTTTGTCTTATTCAATTCAATTTAAAAAGTTTAGACAAATTTCCATATGAGCATATAAAAAAAAATAATTATGTTCTCACTCTCAATCTTCCAAATTAAATAATAAAATAAAAGGAAAAGTCCAAAGTCCTCCCAGAGGGCAGGAGGCTGAACAGATTGTGTGCTTTTGTATTCTGTTTGGGAATAAATGCTGTGTTCAGTTTCTGCGCTGGTATCGGTTCATATTGGATTCTTAAAGCTTTAGTATCAAAATCTGTATCAGAACTGAAAAGGCTGGATCAGTGCTTTTTCTTCGACTATCTGATCATTAGGACATGTCTTCAGTCGGCCTTAAACCTTCACTTAAGCCTCCTTGTCTTGTGCAGAAAAACGCCCTGCAGTGGACCAAGATGGCGGAGGACGCGGAGCTCCAGGCCGAGGCGGGCAGCTCCAGCAGCAGTCCTCATGAGGCGGGCTCCGCGGGGGGCCCCTCAGACGCCACAGAGCAGGAGAGCTGTGACTCCACAGAGACCACAGTGGCGGTCAGCGGAGACAACGACGGTACGACTGTCATGTTATAATCTTTACTCATCAAAAAATGCTTGAAGAGGTTTCAGTATTTTAGCGACTCCTCCTGGGCTCTGTTCAAACTCTCCTCACGAATAACTAGAAGATTCTGTGCAATTCTCAGGCCACAAACCTACAACATTTCTACATGACAAGTCTCCATAAATGATGTGCAGTAGTTTCATTAGCGGAATACACGTCGAGTGTGTTGTGATCTGAAGAGCGAGTGAAACTTATAATACTTTGTTTTTGGTGAATATATCATTATTCAGTCAGTATAACTTAGAGCAAATGTGACCTGGTGATCTAAATATATTATGTGTTGGACGCGAGTACCCCTAGAATTTAAAAAGAGTCCGTCTTTATTCTTATTCCATCACTGGTCTTTTTGTTAAAGTGTTTTCATTGGGAATGTGCCGTTGAAATGGAGATTGTTGTTTTTCAGCGTCTGTGGATGAGAGCTCCTCCAGCCCCCTGTGCTCCACAGAGACCCCGCCCCCGTCAGTCACCCCCAGACCCGACTGAGCAGAGCAGCCCAGAGACCAGACGCCCAACGCCAGCCTCCCCCCCACGCCCAGACCAGACTGAGCCGCTCCAGACAGGTGCGTACAGGTGCAGGTGTCCAGTGGTGTCCAGGGAGGAGCTCTGCTTTTATAATATTATAATATGTTTGTGTACAGTCCGGGAGACAGAGGAAGAAAGCCGTCATGATGCCTCGTGTGGTCCTCACGCCTCTCAAAGTCAACGGAGAACATGTGTCATCAGGTAAGCACAAAGACGCAGAGAGAGTCTGGAACAGCATTAGGCCACAGCGTAAGCGTAGAGTAATCCAGAAAATCAGGACAGCCAAAATCTGTGACACTAATGCTGCGCCCGGACAGAGACACAGCAGGAGCTCTGAACTGGAGTGAGTGCACACGGGGTAAAGAAGTACTGGACCTTAACTCCTCATTGGGTCAGTGGCTTTCTGGACTTTTAGAACGCCTGACAACACCAGCTGTTTTTATGAACTGTCTCCTTTATATGTATACTGTATAAACACAGTGTCACATTACGCCCCCTGCTGGTCGTCTTTAGTAGTGACACACACTTTGACCTGCCTCAAAACACCAAACTGACCCTGTGCTCTCCCAGGCCCCATGAAGAGTCGCAGAGGAGGAGTGGATGTGGACTTTGAGACTCCAGGGTCCATCCTGGTCAACACAAACATCAGAGCTCTGATCAACGTGAGGACCTTCTCCGCCTTCCCCCCACACTCCCAGCAGCAGCTGCTGCAGCTCCTGCCCGAGGTGGACAGACAGGTACGACACTGACATCTATGCACTACCCGCCGTGGTCAGTTTCACATCATAACAATTCTGAGGAAAATGTTCTAACAACAAAAAGGTCTAGTTTTGTTCCTCACTGTACTTCAACTGGAGAGCTGCTCTGTGTGTTAGGACCTGATCAGATGAAGTGATTTTGAATATGACTTACGATCATTTCTGGAGCAGTTCTGAAAATGTACCTGAAACTGACACAATTTCACACATCATTAGTGTGACAGGCCTCCTGACCCTGCTCTCTGTGTCTGTGTCCTCTGACTCTTCTCTCTCTGTGTCTGAGCAGATTGGAGCTGATGGAATGGCCAGACTCAGTAGTTCTGCTCTCAACAATGAGTTCTTCACTCACGCCTCACAGAGCTGGAAGGAGCGTTTGGCTGAAGGTCTGTCTCTGTTCACTACATGATTTACCTGTAACATGTACGAGTAACTCGGGACTAACTCCCGTCTGTGTTTTAGGGGAGTTCACTCATGAGATGCAGGCGCGATTCCGACAGGAAATGGAGAAAGAGAAAAAGGTGGAGGCCTGGAAAGAGAAGTTCTTTGAGGAGTACCATGGACAAAAGTAAGTCTGTCTGAAGGTCCCTGTGACCTGTTAAACATCTGTGATATAAGTCTAGTATATTTGTCTGACTGTGCCCTGCTCTCTCGTCAGGCTCGGGCTCACCCATGAGGAGTCCCTGCAGCTCACCATGACCGAGGCCACAGAGGTGGCTGCCACGGTGCTGGAGGAGGGCGTGGCCGCCGTGGCGTCCAGTACCCCCAAGAGACGCAGCGTGGGGCGCAGGAGGAGGGACGGGCGCATGAGGAGACGCGCCAGGGCTGACCTGAGGCGCAGAGCCCGCCGCCCGCTCTGCAAACCCGCCCCTGTGCTGCCCCCCACAGACACAGAGGCGCCGGCCGCGCCCCCGGAGGCTCCTGAGGTGTGCGAGGCCGTTCCTGTTCCTGACACTGTGGTGCTCACAGACCCCATCGAGTTCCCCGCAGAGAGCACGCCCATAGAACCCGAGCCCGTGGAGCCCGCCCCCATGCCGGAGCCCGACCCCCCCTCCAGCCCGAGCCCCAGCCCGGCTTCCACCAGCGCCAACGAGGACCCCGAGGTGCCCCCCAGCCTGTCCGTGGAAGAGCCCGCCGCAGCCTCCACCTCGTCCCTGTCCTCCTCCTCTTCCTCGTCCTCGGCCTCGTCCCCCGCCTCGTCCCCGTCCTCCCCCTCGGACCCTCAGGTGTTTGGAGCGGGTCTGGACTCGTCCTCTTCTGCCTCCAGTGCCGCTGTGGTGGCCGATCCTCTGGATGACACGGCGTCTATCGTGACCTCCGTCACCGGCACCGCCACCAGCAGCCGGGAGAGCAGCCCCTCTGCCAGCCCGGCGCCCACCCCCGCCCCGGCGCCCACCCCCGCCCCTCAGCCCAAGGAGCAGAAGAGGAGACCAGAGACCCACGACTTTCGCAGCTTTCCCGAGAAAAGACCCCGGCTCAACGACCAGCAGTCCTTTCGTACCACAATTACCGGTGTGTGCTCCGAGAAGCCGCAGCCAACAACAGAGGAACCCAAGGTGCCGCCTATACGGGTGAGTCTGCGCCCCACACGCCGGGTCCTGTAGGGACTTATTTGAGTTTACACAACCAGTAAATATCATTGTTCAGTCGTGGGCCGCTCCAAACTTTACCAACCCCAGTTTGCATTTGAAACGGCCTCGTGCAGATGAAGCTGGTGTTTTTTATTGTCTCTTCTGTGGGTTTAGGCGCCTGTCAGGTTTCCCTCAGGACTTTATTGCACCAAGTCCAATCTGACCTCATGTGTTTTGTTTGTTTCAGATTCAACTGTCCAGGATCAAACCTCCCTGGGTCAAAGGTCATCCCACCTATCAGATCTGCCCCCGGATTGTGCCCCCCGGCCAGGGCTCGCAGCGGTCGGGGACGGGGGGCGCGAGAACACTGGCAGACATCAAGGCCCGTGCCCAGCAGGCCCGTGCCCAGCGAGAGGCCGCTGCTGCTGTTGCGGCCTCTGCCGAAGGACCCTCTCCGAACACGCCTGGGGTGCAACATAGCCCTGGGATACACCATAGTACCAGCGCCCGTGAACCAGAGCGCCCCCTGTCTGCAGAGGGACGCACACCTACAGGCTCTGATCCAGCTGGAACACAACTACAGCTTCCCCATGTAGACACCCCGCCCAGCGCGCCACCCAGTGCCCAGCCCTCACCCGCCCCATCCACTACCTCCACGACAGTGTCCACAGAGCCGTCGCTCACGCCCAGCCCCCACCAGGACGCCGCAGAAGAGGACAGAGCCGCTCCGCCTGAAGACAAGTCCAGTGAGACGCAAACTTGCTCCTCCAAATCTGACTCTGAGCAGGATCTGCCCGTGGACAATGCCTCCGCCCCCACAGAGGTCCTAACAGACGCCCCCACAGATGCCCCCAAAGAAATCCCTACAGAGGTGCCCACCGAGGCCCGAACAGAGGCTCTGACCCGGACTCTAACCCCCACATCCATCCCCGACACACTGCCCAGGTTTGGAGCTAAGGGCGTGGACGTGAGCCAGAAACTGCCCTGTGCCCGCCCAGAGGAACCTGCCCCGGGCGTGATCCAGCACAGCTCTGAGGTCAGTCCTCCGGCGGTGACCCCTCCCTCTGCCCCTCCCTCCACCTCGCCCACCTCCCTGGCCCTCAGTGTGAAGGAGGAGGACGACGGAGCTCACAGTGACTCCACGGAGACGGCCTCAGACGGGGAGACAGAGGGACAGCAGGACCGGGGCTGGCGCTCCTCAGGGGACAGTCCTCGGCCCAACCACAAACCGGTCATCCAGTCCCACGTGTCGGGCCGCTGCGGGCCCACGGTCATCCAGCACTGCTTCATGAACGGCCTCTCCCAGCCGCACGACTCCATGGACGGTCTCTGTGACGGGCCAAAGCTCAGCGAGGTGAAGGTGGAGCCCGGGGAGAGACTGAGTCCTCCTGACCCAGACTGTGCCAAACCCAGAAGAGCCTTGAGCGCCGCCCGGCCGCTGTCCAGTGTGGAGGCCAACAACCCCCTGGTGACTCAGCTCCTGCAGGGCAGCCTGCCCCTGGAGAAGGTGCTGCCGTCTCATGGAGCCACCAGACTGGAGTTCAGGGGCGTTCCCGCCGCTCAGCCCGCGTCCCCCTGTGTGGAGGCCCCCGCTGTGCCCCCCACTGGGGCCCTGCAGCAGCAGGTGCCCGTCATCACCTCTCACCCCTCGGGCTCCTCCAGGTGTAAACCTGAACTCTCAGACTTTACTCCCAAAGACACTGTTTGTCCCCAGCCCTCTCAGGGGGCCACTCTGGACCGGACCATGGCCACCAGGACCATGCTGACGGACCCCTCCCCTCCCCACGCCGACCCCTGTCCCACCGAGACCGTGCCCCACATGAAGCCGGGCTCCTGGGCTCCTCAGACGCCCGCGGCCGCCGTGAAGAGTGAGGGGGGCTTTCGGCCCTCGTGTCAGGACGGGGCCAGTCCCTCGCCGGCCCTTCCCGTTAGTATTACCAAAAAGGAGCTGCTGAGCTCCGTGGACGGGTACCTGAGCGGGGGGGCCATGGAGGGGCTGCTCAACATGGAGCTGGCTCTGGCGCGGATGGCAAAGAAGGACCAGCACAAAGGCGGCGGCTCCTCGGGGCCCCTGCCCTTCCAGCTGTACGGGAAGCTGCCTAAGCAGGGCCCCGGCCTCAGCTACACGGCCAACGTGTCCGTGATGGACAGCGGCCTGTCCCTGCGCCCCCTGCAGGCCTTCAGCGACACTACAGAGGAGGTGGCTCTGAAGTGCTCGTGCCGCCTCAAAGCCATGATCATGTGCCAGGGCTGTGGAGCCTTCTGCCACGACGACTGTATCGGCCCCTCCAAACTGTGCGTGTCCTGCCTGGTGGTCAGATAGTCTGCCCCCGCTGGCTGCTGTCGGTATTACAGAGCCGGAGGAACAACATGAACGAGTGTAAAATAGAACAAGTGTTATTGAGCGGAGCAGGTTTGCTGTACTGGTTTATTATTGATATAATTCTGGTTAATATAATTGTACATTCTGGGCATGATGGATTTGTAAGTTGTGCCTTTTGTGTTTACTTGGAAACATTACCTCATCTTTATGCCATGTCTTGTTTTGGTTGCCAGCGTTGTCTTGGTTCCTTGTTTGCTTAACAGGGGCTTGTTATTTTCTTGTGCAAATAAATATTTTTTTAACCATGAAAGTCATTTATTTTTGTTCATCTGTAGAGCACAAAGATCTAAACATTTGGTCTTTAACACCTTCAGATGTTCACACAAAAGGTTCTTTAGGTCTTTTGTTAGAATTATATTTTAGATTCTTATGGTCAGACTCTGTTTATTTCAGAGTTTTGTGATGTTGTTGTGACGTCTGTCAACAGATTTTGGTGTTTTCTTACTTGAAGCAGCCGCCATCCTGCTCCAAACAGAAAAACTGCACCAAAATCAGTTTAGATGAGCCGACAGACACGTCACAGAAACATCACGAGACACTTCGGAGGAGGAGCGAGTGCAGCCTGAACTGTCGGAAACTCGCTCATACTGGAACATTTACAAAAAAGATTGATTATTATTTATTAAATTATAAACTGTCAAAACTGTCTGAAATAAACAGAAGTCTCTACATAACTAAACTAACTTTTGTTTGACATTATTACATTATTTGTCTGTTTAATTGCATTAACTGTAAATCATCAAAACAGGGATTATGTCTTTTGTGTAAGTATTAAGTTCTTATTATTGAGTAAATCTTTGCTTTGTAACTTCATTTTTCTGCTTTGGGTAATGTTTATTTTAAGTGGCCGTTATATTTCACCCCTAGTGATCACCGGAGGGAAGTTACAGAAGAATATCTTTTAATAAACCAAGGTGACCAGACCCAGTACAGTCCCAGTTTTGAGCCATGTCCCAGATTTGTCCCAGATTTGATCTAGTTTTATACAAGAACGATCCCAGGTGTCTCTATTTTTCACCAATCTCACTTTCCCAACAGTAAAAATTGGAATATATCGACATTGTTCAACTAAAGTACAGAAAACTTGAAAATCAGGCAAAAAAACCCGACAGAAATCCATCTTTTATGACTGACACAAATGAGTCGAGAATCTTTTCAGTTTTATTTATACCGTCCGTCTCAACCCGGGTGTGTCCCAGTTTTGAAGTTTGAAACCCTGGTCCCTGCACGCTTCAGGTCCCAGATACGGCAGCGAAACTAACCGCGAAACAACAGCCTCTCCGGAGTTTTTACATCGACGTGTGCGAAATCTGGAACAGCCGTTTTTGAGACTTTAGGATTTATCGTTTTCATTTTAAGATCTGTGTTTTACTTGTGTGACTTTTCCGATGGAGATGTGATTCCTTTGTCTGAAAGGTTCCACAGTGTGACATTAAACCTTTCTATTTTCACGGAAACCAAACCAGACACAGTTACAGGTCAGATCTGTGGAGAGGCGACCCCGCTCACAGTCAGAATGTGTGTTTTTCGAGGCATTTTTGAGCTTTAAAACCACCTGTAATGGAATAAATGTAAAGTAGAGCTGTTTAAAGTGACACTGTGGAACATTTCAGGTGGAGCAGTGATGTATCCATATCCAAAAAGTTACACAATACACCTTTAAGTACATTTTAAAGTGGATATTTTTTTTTACTTCCGTATATTTGAGAGCAGGTATCTGTACTTTCTGCTCTCTCTTTCTACATTTTTGAACAGGATTGAAAAGTAAAAGTATTTTTTGAAAAGGCTGAGGGTTTAATTTTAACGCATTTTTAGCTTGAGATGAAATAAAATAAAATAAAAACAGACTGGAAAAAAACCCCAACTGTTTCTGTTCAACAAAATTCAGCAGAAATTTGTGTCAAAGTCACTCCATCTGAAGCTTTAATAGATCTCAAAATACTTTTACTTTTTACTCTTTAAGTACTTTTACAGATTTTTTTCATGTGTTACTTTTACTTGAGTGTTTTTACTTAAAGGTGCACTGTGTAACTTTTTGGTTGAGGGCCCATCACCTGCTTGTTTCTATGGATACGTCATTGCTCTGCCTGGAATGTTCCACAGTGTGACATTAAACAGCTCCACTTTACATTTATTCAATTACAGTTGGTTTTAAAGCTCAAAAATGCCTCAAAAAACAACGTTCTGATTGTGAGCGGGGTCGCCTCTCCACAGATCTGACCTGTAACTTGGTTTGGTCTCCGTGAAGATGGAAAGGTTTAATGCCACACTGTGGAACATTCCAGACTAGGGTGAGCAGACGTCGCTGTTGACCCGGGACAGTCCCAGGTTTGAGCCCGTGTCCCGTGTCCCAGCAGATTTATCGAAAACCAGTGATTTGTCTCAGCCTGATTCAACAGATGGTTTCATATGGAGTAAGAAAGCTGTCAAAATATTCGTGCGCGTAAAATAGAAATCTGTGCGTATTTGGGAAATCCGTGCATATTTGGCTGTAGTTGCGCATAAAATAAATATTTGTAAACTCTCAAATGAGTCCAGTCGTACATAAAATATATTGTGTGTATTTTATCCATCAGAATACGAATTGAAAAATTACGACGTCATGAATTACAATCACGAAATGAAAATTTACGATTACGCTTTCATCAGTACGAATACGAATTCACAGACGGAACTTTACTGTCAAAAATACGTCATCACTTCACAGACATTATTCATCGAGCAGAAGAAACATCGATCAAGATCAAGACTGTGCAGCTCAAGTTTGTAGCAGAGTAAAAACAGAGTAATGACACAAGAAGCTACAACAGCGACCGACACGTGGGTTAATTAAAATCTATTGTAAAAATGTCTTGAATTCGGGAACCGAACGCTGCTGTATAATATTGTGTAGAAACACCTCCTTTCAACGGGAAATTGCACCTATATGTTAGAAAACATAGTGGAGCCAGTTGGCAACATCAGACGTAACGTTATCCCAGGGCTAATTAACAAATATCAGGTTCTCTGTAGGTTTAGATTAAAACATTCACGGCTACAGCCACTCTGTTTTTACCCTCTGCTACAAACTTGAGCTGCACAGTCTTGATCTTGATCGATGTTTCTTCTGCTCGATGAATAATGTCTGTGAAGTGATGACGTATTTTTGACAGTAAAGTTCCGTCTGTGAATTCGTATTCGTACTGATGAAAGCGTAATCGTAAATTTTCATTTCGTGATTGTAATTCATGACGTCGTAATTTTTCAATTCGTATTCTGATGGATAAAATACACACAATATATTTTATGTACGACTGGACTCATTTGAGAGTTTACAAATATTTATTTTATGCGCAACTACAGCCAAATATGCACGGATTTCTATTTTACGCGCACGAATATTTTTGACAGCTTTCTTACTCCATAGTTTCACTTTGTACAAACAGTGTGACCTCGCAGCTTTAGGATCCGTTCGCTCGACTGTAGGCGGGTATTTTTTTATTTAACCAGTCGCTGCTGTTTGGTCGTGACGTATGTAATGCGCCGCTAACAGGACTAACTGGTATTTTAAGCTTTTCCCAAATCCCGTAGGAAGAAGGACAATAACTTCTTTGCTCTTGATAAAATTCACCAAACATTCTCTTTTTTCTGGCTTTAAATCCTCGATCTTGGGAATCGTTGCCAACACAGAATGTCTGTCTCTTCTCTGATTTGCTGGTGCCCAAACTTGCACTTCCGGGATTCTTGCAAACCGTCGTCTGTATTCTGATTCCTGAACTAGTCGCTGGAGAGAAATGAACTTGAGTGGAGACACTAGGTGGCACCAGCCTGGCTAGATTTGTCCCAGTTTTATACAAGAAATGTCCCAGGTAAATTTGTTTCGGTAAAATACAGAAAAGCGGCTTAAAAATGACCAGAACACAGAAAATGTGACTACACTGACTCACGTGCAAATCTGGGTGTACACTGTGTGATTTTTTGCCCTTTTTGAGCAGATTTTTCACTCAACAGTTTTTGGGGTCGGTTCGACTTTTGGTTTAATCGTGTGTGGTGCTTCGTGTAGTAAACGTGAGGTAATGAGAACGATTAATACTTCACGACCAGCTCCTGATCACCAATCGTGGGTCGCAAGAAAATCAAACCTGTTTGAAATCCAGTCGCCTCATGAGGGTTTCACACGGAGCATCAAGTGTCGGATCGTTCAGTGTGAGAACATGAATCTTGAGCTGTGAACTTTTAAACCCTGAGATTTGGTCGTACAGTTTGAGCCGGGGCTGAGTGAAACAATCAAAAATATCGCACAGTGTAAGTCTGGTATTAATCATGAATGGACCGAGAACAGTTTTCCTTAATTACTCGCTCGTTTCACAGTTTTATTATTTCCAACCACAACACAAAGTTTTTGATTCTGAAAATCTGGTCTCCATATTCCAGAGCAGAACGGACCCTCTACTGGGTCGATCCATATGAAAATCAGCCGCCCTCCCCTATGAGCCATAACAGATTTGGCTGAAATTTTTTCATGGTCTTCCCTTATAACAAACAAATAGTGTTTAAAGGTTGTATGGAGGATTTTTTTTAGTTTCAAACTGTCAGTGAAAGATTAAAATACCATTACAGAGACGCAGCAGCTTTGTAATTATGATGACCAAAAAAAAAAAGAACAAAAATCTATCAACTGTGGACGTGTTGAGGCCAGATAAACATCAGCCAATAGAAAACGAGGCTCCCTCATTTTCTATTGGCTGTTAGGTTGTCAATCAAACTCCCTAGTGTAACTGACTCGTCGGAGCGCGGGGATTACGTGGTTTACGCAGCGGTTTCTTAGACGCTTTTTCGAACTGTCGCTTCCTCGCATTTCGCACAAAGTTTGTCGCGACGGCAGACGAGAATCCACGACCGGTTCACCGCAGAAGAAAGTCAGTTTCTGAGGTCGCTGAAAGAAGAGAAGGAGAAAAGGAGCAAAGCCAAACTGAGGTGATTCTTGGAGATCTCGTCCAGCGATGGCGCAACCGAAGCAGACGAAGGGTCTAAAAACTGACGCGTCGGTCGCTGAATTACTTCTAGACAGGAAACTTCAACAGTAATTCTGAACGCGCACAAGGACTGTCGCTGTATTTCTCTTCCCTTAAAAAAATCCTCTATACAACCTTTAAGTCTATTATAGTGTTTAAGTATAGTAAGTGAACCTTTCAGTCAGGTGGAAAAGTACCGAAGCTCCACCAAAAATGACCTGTGAGAGCTCATTTTCATAAGTTCCGTTTGAAATGA